TATTAATCAGTGTTTCCAAGCAGGGAATAGAGGAATGGTTTCTCCAGCAGAATCACTCCACCCCTTCTTTTCCCGCCAAAAAAGCCTCGGGGTTCGAATTCTGCCCCTTTTCTGATAGGGCGAATCCATGTCTCCATGACAACCGTTGCTCTGGACAACAAGAGATGCTCGAGGTTCTGCAGCAATACCAGAGTGGTATGCGCAATGCGGCAGCGTCTAACTTATCTTTAATCAATTCAAGAAAAGGCTTGTGGCTTTATAATTAGAAGTAGACAAACGCCACAGGAAGTGAGTCACTTAAGAAGAAGACGAAAAAGTTGTTTCTTTTTTTTTAATAATCGAAGAAGCAACATGCTTTGGGCACAGGACTTGCAGTCATTGCAGTTCAAAAGTTAACCGCTAGATAGCAGCACTGTATCCTTCATTAAAAAAAAAACAAAGTAAAATAACCAGGAAACAAATTTAAAATGATTCAGATTTGTATCCAGAAAAGAGGGCGTCAACAATTGTATCTGTCGCGCAGCATTCTCATGAATATAAACACCAAACGCCTTGTTTAAGCCTCAACCAGCTGCCCCCTAAAAACCGTGTTATTGTTCCGGGAATTGTTATTGATAAAGTTTGAGTTTGAACGCTTACTGCAATAATGATGGCGGCTGATCAAAATTTGCTCGGAGTTCCTCCTTCCCTGTCTGCTAAAGTGGTTGGGTATGTTGACAGCCTGATGTAACAAATGTGTGGCTATGCTCAATAATGCAGTTAAACTGGCTCTATAACGTTAACAAAAGGCCGCCGTGTTCACACCATACGTTCATACGACAGCATTAGCTTTTTTTGCTAAATATGCATGCATACATTTGTAAAAGCTGAATGCAGACAAGCAAACAACGGCGTTGATTCAATTAACGTAACCAATACATTCCTGTTGATGGCAACGTAATGCTTGCAGATCTCACTGTTGCTGTCTAAATGTCTGCAAAATAAGTGCCAAATGAAACATCTTTTGCTAGGTATTAGCTTACTAGCTTACTTTAACACACACCTGCTGCAGTGGAGGTGGAAGTGAAGCATTAATGGCTGTATTGTTTCTCTGCAGGTCGTTTGCTTATTTGACAGTGAGAGACAGATTGCCAACTATCTTGACCAAAGTCATAGACACGATACATCGCAACAAAAACAAGTTTTTTGAAGAATATGGAGAGGTAAGAGTTCTTCCACTTCAGTAGCTAAATTCGAGTTGTTTCCGTCACAAACAAAATACGGAAGTATGACACCCACTTGAAGACTTTAATTTGGTCTTGCTTGTTTTTTTATTTATTTTTTATTATCATTGTCATGCAGGAGGGTATCCAGGCTGAGAAGCAAACAATATCTCTGCTGTCCAAGATGAGGAATGAGTTGCAGACAGATAAACCAGTGCTAGCCCTGACAGATTGTCTACAAGACACAGAGTCTTGGAACCAGTACCTGCAGAGACACCAGATCGAGGGGGATGAAGAGTCTGTCAGCTGGTTTAAGTCTCCATGGCTTTATGTGGAGTGCTATATGTACCGCAGGATACAGGAGGCCCTCTGGCTTAAGTGAGTATCATTTGCAAATTGAAATGGGAACCTTTTGTAGCTGCCTTATTTCCGGCTCTTAAGTATATGGCTAAATCCAAATGTTAGAGACTTCTGTCCTGCTATATGCAAGACTGCATTGCTTTATAATTATAATTTAAACCTGAAGATTACTGAAATGGAATGCACTTTGGATTCCTCTCAAGCCTATACTTATCCGTGATGTGGTTTATGTATTGTTTTAACAACGTAATTCTTCTCTCAGATTTCACCAGACTTCTGAAAGTCAGCAAAAAAAAGCTGCCCCTTTTGTCAAGAGGTGGAAGTCTATATTTTGAGTCATACTATGGCTTTCAAATTTTGCATGACGTCTCTATAACACTAATAGTTTAAAAACAATTAATATAGGGAATTATTCAATTATGAAATAAGCCTTGGACTTCAAAGCAACAGTTCTGTCAGCTGTCAAGTCCACCGTTCATTTTAGCTATTTTGAAATTGTCTTTTTTTTTTGTCTCTTTATTTATTGATCTAGTCATCATTTTAATTATAAAATTATTTATTATTTCAGTCCTCCCATCAGTGACTATGATGTCTTCAATGAAGGGAAGACACAGAGTTTTTTTGAGTCACAACAGGCTGTGATGGCCTTATGCACATACTTGGAGGGAGTGAAAAAGAACATGGAGGAAATCTCAAAGAATCAGTTGTTTGAGCAATTTAACAAACTGCTACAGGTCAGTGTCTTCTGTATCTTGTCATTACATTACAAAAACTGATGAAGTCAAAACTGCAACATTCAAATTATCATGTGTGATGAGAAATGGTTACCTTTAAGGATTTCCTTTCAATTGGCATTTAGTGGCCTTCAAATTAAATGTGTCGGTCAGTCACTTGCTGCTGTGGTTTTCAACTGAAATAATACAAACTGATCTGTCACAAGTGAACATATTAGTGAAAGATTTCATACATCATTCCTTTGTTTAATTTACAAATATAAGTTGATTGAGAATTGTGATATTAGAATAGAATATTTTATCACAATTACATGAACAAAAAATAATGTACATCATTTGTATATTGTATTTGCATTGCTGAAATAAGCATCCATTGCATTTTATTACATCTTAAGATAGGTCAAGATTGAACTTTAATTGACTCTTTATAGGTTTCTCTATGGGGGAACAAGTGTGATCTATCCATCTCTGCTGGCCAAGACAACTCCCAGAAGACCAGTCCAATAGACTCCCTCGACAGCCTACAACCGTTAATCCTGGTGGATGACTCCAACATGGTTTGGTCCACCCTTACATCCATGCAGAGGCCAGGACAGCCAGAGAAAATCACTGCAGGCAGAGTGGACATTGTTCTAGACAACGCTGGCTTTGAGTTGGTCACTGACTTGATTTTAGCAGATTTCCTGGTTTCCTCCGGGCTTGTCCGTGAAGTCCATTTTCACGGCAAATCTTTCCCGTGGTTTGTCTCTGATGTCACAGCTCACGATTTTCAGTGGACTATCCGACAGACCATGGCAGCCAATCACAGGTGGATGTCTAAGAGCGGTGTCCAGTGGCAGATGTATGTAAAGGAGGGCGTGTGGTCCTACCATGACCACCCTTTCTGGACACTGCCCCATGAGTTCTGTGACATGGCAACTGATGCTCCTGACCTGTATGCGACCCTGAAAGCAGCAGACCTCGTGTTGTTCAAGGGTGATCTCAATTACAGAAAGCTGACTGGGGACAGAGACTGGGATCACACTGTCAGCTTTGATACTGCCCTACGAGGTTTTGGGCCTGCTCCACTGTGTAGCCTGAGGACTCTTAAGGCCAATGTTCAGGTCGGTCTGCAGCCAGGCCAAGGGGAGAAGCTCACCTCCCAAAATCCAGATTGGATGACTAGCGGCAAGTATGCAGTCATTCAGTTTGGCAGCCCAAAGGATCAGATCTAACGATTAGCTCACTGGAAAAGCTTGGATCATGGGACATTACATTAAGAAGTACTAGAGCTGCTGCAGTAACCCCGAAAATGAATTACCACAATATTAACAAGACAACAGAGGAGCATGGAGGTCACCATCACAACCTCACCCCACCTCATGTTCAGCAGGAAACGATGGCAACTGCACTTAGCTTCTGTAATTAAAAGGCTAAAGAAGAGGTGATTCTGGTGATAACCGTTCCTGCAGTGTCAATGCTTTGTTTCAGCACCAGGTGCTGTCCAGTGTGTGCTGCGCTGCACATTGCTGTTCTGTGGTGGAAATGTTTGTTTCTGTCACTGATTGTCATCTCGTTGTTGTTAAGAAAACAAGAAATAAACAGAAGTCTCAATCAAAATAATATTGCTGCAAATCCTTTTTGCGGGCCACCAGTTGCCGACCCCTGATTCACAAATTTGCACATAAATTCACATAAATAAAAAAGGGGTGGTGCGATAATACTGCATATTGTGCAATTGAACCATCCTGAATCATCGCAGGGGGGATTTCTTTAGCATGACAGACCTAAGAAGTACCAAAGCCGGAGCTCTACTTAAGCCATAAGAACTAAAAATTAGAATCTCTACATATTTGATGAGGTTGTTTTTTTTATCATTAGTCAGCCCTTAATAATTTTATACAGAATTGCACAGTAACAGAAATATTTGAGAATTATTTTCACTACTGATTTCTATCATGTCACATTCAAAATGTTGACACTATTAGATGTCACATTTCCCAATATTTTCAACAAAGCCTTTGTTTACAGTAAGAATTTATCCAGAGGTAAGAAGTCAAGGTTGCTTTTTTTGAGTCAACAACTTGTGTTGTGCACAATTTATTATGTTACATTAGTGTTTACAGTACAATGCATATGCTGTTGTGAATTATTAATTACAAATTTGTCTTACAACATTTAAGTTCAGACCCACATTACTTGTGTTTTTGCATGTAATAGAAGAGAGTGACGAATGATTAAATATTTTTTTTAACACTGCTCAGCTCAGGTTGTTTGCTCTTCTGTCTGCCATTGATATGCATGTATCAAAACATGCAGGGAAAAAAATCCACTTCAGGCAGATGATGACATCATTTGAAAACTGTTGTGCTCACTTGGAAAGATAGTTGAGTGTTATTGTGGAAGTGTAACAACAACAGTGACGGGGTGTGCTTTTTTTTGTTTAAAATAGCAACCCAGACCTTTGAATCTTTATAGATAAAAAAGTGAATGTCTCAGATGTTATCCCTTTGCTCACTGTCGGTGTCAGTATCTCAGAGAGGAGGAACTGGATTGTTGTCTGTACTGCAGAGGGAAACTATATTGTTTATATGAAGAAGTTTCAATCAATAAAGAAGTGCACTGACTGCTCTTTTTTTCCCTGGATCGTTGTAATTCATCAGCATAACAAATGTAAGACATCGTTAGTAACGTCTGTTTCATCAACATTGTTTTTCACAAGCAATTGGCATCTGTATCTATTTGATATATTCAACATTTTATTAGTCTAAATTAACATTGATCAAGTGCAGTTATAATATTTAATTTTCATGCATATATGGCCAAAAACCTGTAAGATTATAAACCTAAAACTGAATAAATGCATCTGTAAACAGTCAAAATAATGAATCAGTATAAAGCTGTCCACTGGTAGTGGGACATTTCTGTTATTTTAGAAAAATGTGTTTCCCGTTGAGAGAGCCTAGGATCAGGAAAGATATTAGAAAAATATATTTTCAGCTTTGTATGATGACTATGTGCTTTACAATAATTTCCCAATTAGGTGAGATCAATAAATGGCATCATTTAGGCTGTTAACATTTTTTGTGAATGTGGTCTTATGAGTTAGTAAATTACAATGAGCTATTTAAGTGATTTAGCTGTTATATGTCTCACATGTTTTGTAACTGTGTCTATATGTTATTCCAGGGGGAAAGCAGAATATATGTCAGAATCAGGGCTACTTGTTTTCCATTTGACCCGAAATGTTTTGGAAATTGGGCTGTTTGTTCAAGACGGATGTTGCGCTCGACAGAGAAAATAAGCCTCTGCACCAAATGTTCAGTTTTCTTCTCAGTAGGTGAGGTGTGTAGTTGTCAGTGATCAATTTTATCTTGAAACTTTTTTTTTTTTTTTTTTTTTACAAATTTGACACGTGCGATTTGACATTAAGACATTTCAATTACAGCCTGAAATTATTTGTTTATTTTTAACATGGGCATCACAACCTCTAGAAAATGACTTGTTGCTGCATTGAAGTCCTGTCTTAACCTTTTTTATTTCACAACCTAAATTAACATTTTAAACTAACTACTACATTACCAGACTTCTTTACTTTGAAACCTGGACTAAAATGTAAAATGTTAAGCCATGTCATGAAAGGAACATCACAAATATGTCCATTGTTTGAATGAATACGCTGCCCTATTGCGATGATGTTGTGTTGTGATGATACAGTGTTCTATTATTTCTAAGATGACCTGATACAAGTAGTGATTAACTTGTCCATATTGTTGTCCCTTTGTATTGCTCATTGTATTTCAATTACATGTAACCTGTAAAGTATGATTTTTATTAAGAATGTAATACGTTTCTTTCAAATTCTTAGCAGGGGTGATAGTATTGAGGTCAGTGATGAGAAAAAAAATCAGCAATCCACTCGTTTGGGATTGTGTAATTATTTGCTATTGGAATGAGATTTGACCTGCTCTATTTGCTGTGTTATGGTGACCTGGCACTAAAACACATTGTGGTTATCGATTTGGCTGCATCTTTAACTTGTTTATCCTTTTTTTTTTTAACCTTTCCACTGTTCCAATTGTGCACATTGAGTCCAGCTAGATGTCCGAGAGCCAGACAGATGAGAGAGGAGATCAGAGCGAGGGACAGAGAGAGAGAGAGAGAGAGAGAGAAGACACCCAAACAGCCAGGCAGACACAAGGATGATCTAATGTGTAGAAGGTGATAGGTGTATCCTGCTATGTTTTAGTTTTCTTTTAGTCCCCCATTGCCCTTGAGTTTCTCATTTCCTCACTGATTTGATTTATCTGAGTGTCTCAGGTGTATTCAGTAACTGGCTACAAATAGACTGTGTGTACGTCATGCTGCGTATCAGCTAAATGAAACAGCTCAGTGATAGTTTACAGTTTCTCTGGGTGTCAGCTGCAACCAGTAAAACCCCTTTTTAATGTAATGAAAATGTGAAGTGAGAGGAGAACATTTTATAGTAGTGGACTGGAAAGTTATTTGGGAATCACAATTTTTCTGTCCATACTCCTCTTTTGCCCACTAGCCTTCCTGTCCTCCTACACATTAGTAGAGTATCAGAGGGAAAATGCTCTGCTGGAAAAACAAAACCTTTAAGAGGTTGGGAGGAGTCTATTTGATGTTATTTGTTTAAGCTTGGTGGGTGGAAGCTCCAGGAATACAGCAAAGGGACTGGAGAATAGTGGACCCTTCGATTTGCCTGACAGGCTTTATAGGAAGAAAGGGCTAGAGAGAGAGAGAGAGAGAGAGTAAAGAGAGAGGGGTAGCAGCACTCGTCTCCACTCCCCCCTCCCAGCAAATGAGAGAGCAAGTCTAAATCATTATGTTGCATATCAGTGCTGTTGTGCTGTGATGTTGCTCAGGCAGAGCCCGGCGCAGAGCAGACAGACGTGCGGACCAGCACTCAGACCCAGGACCACAGAGCTGGAGACCCTCTCCCCGCAACGTCCCTCGCCTCCACTGCGTGCCCCACTAAGTGACATGTACCCTGAAGAGAGCCGAGGGTCTGGAGGGGTAGCCACTGTGGACTTCCTGGATGGAACCTACGACTATGCCACCCCCACCCCTGCCCCGACTCCTCTGTACAACCACTCCAGCCCTGGCTACTACTCTGCTTCTCTGGACGCCCACGGACAACCCTCAAATGGCAGCATTCAGTCCCATGGCAGTGGGCCTGCCAGTCCTCTGGTGTTTGTGCCCTCAAGCCCCCAACTCAGCCCCTTTATGCACCCGCCCAGCAACCACTATCTGGAAACCACTTCAACACCCGTCTACAGGTGAGGGAGCACAGTTTGCCTCCACCACCAGGTCACTCGAGTGGCCTAAAGTATCTGTAGTGTGCTTGGGAGCGGGGGGGGGGAAGTTATTTGTGTTGACCTAAGGGGTATACGAAACTGCTGTAATTGTTTTAGAAATGTATTTTTGACTATTTTGAAGAAATAATAAAGTTACATTAAAGATAGATAAATTGTGTTTGATCTCTTCAGGGGTAAGTCATTTGTGAGAGATGGAATGTCTGATGTTTGAATCTGGTTGTTTGGTCAGTTCTGTTTGTGCGCTAGTCATTATTTAACTGCTGAGCACCGTGCTATCTAACGATCAATACATTTTTGTCAATATGGCCCCTGAGCCCTCTGAATTATGACTTGATTACAAAGTTACAGAGACTTACTAGGAGATAACTAACTCTTACTTTTTCTGTCATTCATAAAATTCTTAATTTAACTCATTTCAAATCTTGACTTAGAATTGTGTGCTTTTTATGAAGACATTATTGGCATTTGTTTAGTCCTAACGCAGTTATAAAGAAAACATAATTATATAACTACATTGCTTTTATTTTATCTCTTGCTTTATACAAAACATTGCCATTATCTGTATGTAAAGGATCAAGCTTTGCCCTGGTTTTTAATTCCACAGATTAAGGACTTTGTCAAAGACCTTGAGAGAGGGACAATACGTAATAACAACACAAGTACATGTACAGATTGTTTCCTGCCTCAGGTGGAAAATAGTGCTCTGCTTTGGTCTGTGCCATTGTCAAATTAAAACCAAAGGGGTTATTGCAAGAAATAGTGTTTAATTAAGAGGTTGACTTCTGTAATTTTTATGATGAAAAGCCTTTCTGAGCTACTTTTTGTCAAAAAGTCTGCATGTATTTTATGCCAGTAAAGCCAGTTATACTCTGAATCAGTCAATCCCCAAGTTTCTGGCCGTTCTAATTCTGAAAACTGAATCATAAAGGGAAATGTGTGAGTTTATTTTAACAGAGTTGAAATCCTGTGACAGGTCCAGCGTGCTGTCCAGTCAGCAGACGGTTTTAAGAGAGGACCAGTGTGGCACCAGTGACGAGTCATACAGAGTGGGGGAGTCTGTAGCTGGAGCTGTTGCCGGGAGCTTCGAGATGGCGAAAGAGATGCGTTTCTGTGCAGTGTGCAGTGACTACGCCTCTGGGTACCACTACGGGGTGTGGTCCTGTGAGGGCTGCAAGGCCTTCTTCAAGAGGAGTATCCAGGGTAGGTCATCTTTCTGCTCCATCCATTTGTGACCAATGGACGTCGTCCTCTCACTTGTGAAGGAGCATATCTTATTTTGTCAACGTAAAAAGTTCAGATTTCTTGATGTAATTATAAATACTCTTCTTAAACTTCAAACTCTAGCTACACAAAGAAAAGCTGCTCCTGGAGGAAACGCTCAAACTTTATTTTTGTCTCTGTTTTAAAAATGTAACTGTCTTAGAAAACATTGAAATCACAAATGTATAAATCTAAAGAACAGATAAAATGAAGAAAATGAAACTGGGTATTTAAGAATACATTTTTAATGTGTCAGCAACAAAATCTACCTGTGACCCAAGCAAAAAGCAGGTGTCCATTAAAAGCTTCATTAAAAAAAGAGAGGGAGAGCGCAAGTGTGTGTCATTATTGTATATGAGTGTCAATCAAAAATAAAATTCCCCCTCTGTTTCCCAATCACCTACAAGTTGTAACCACGTTTTCTACTTGCTGCCTTTTCTTTAACATGGTGAATGTATGAGCTGCCTCTTTCCACAGGTGAAAGCCTCTTCTGGTGTAGCTGGCTTAGTCATGTTTTGGGTTTAATCCTTCAGCATATTGATAAGTCTTACCAGAAAGGACGGTCCTTAAGAAACCAATAGTCTCCATGGCGATGACAAAACCATCTCCATCTCAGATCTATTTAAGATTGGGAATAGAGTGTTCCTGGCTACTAAATAACCTAGATCTGAGGCAAACGCTGGAGTATGGGGGGTTTGAAGTAATAGATTTCCTTCTCTTTCAGGTCACAATGACTATATGTGCCCAGCAACCAATCAGTGTACTATTGACAGGAATCGGAGGAAGAGCTGCCAGGCTTGTCGCCTCAGGAAGTGCTACGAAGTGGGAATGATGAAGGGAGGTAGGTAGAAAGAGCAGCAAAAAACACGTTTCTTATGATCTCCAGTATTATCTTTTTTATTTTTTATTTTGTATAATTTACATTATTAGGAAAAACAGCTGGATTATTATCTGTCATCCGTTGATATTTTTGCTGTTTTTATCTTGGTTGGACTGTTTTTTGTTTAATGTGGTAATTGCTTTTTTTTTTTTTTTTCTTTTCTGTAGTAAGCAGAAAAGGCTCATTTCATTTAACTTTTCTTTACAAATGTACGTACTAACAACCATCTTACAATCAGTCATTTTGCATAAATGCGAGAATGCTTGTGGATGCAGATAAGCCTGAGAATAACTTTAACATGACCTTGGAGTGATTTCCTTTTTAAGGAGTACAACTACTGATTAAAACACACCCACATTTTTGTTTTCATACTTCTTCAGTCAGACGGACACTCATACAATCTGTTCGGCTGGACTTTTGGTATGAAGTTATCTGTGAGTGTAGGGAAGGCTTGACGAGGTTGTAGGTGTTTGTCTGTATGCATTTTGTGTCACTGTTGTTCTGCATGATATTCTGTATTAAATCTCTGCTGTGTGCTCAAGGTGTGCGTAAAGATCGGGGGCGGGTTTTGCGGCGTGACAAACGACGGACAGGCACTACTGACAAGGACAAGGTCCATAAGGGACAGAGAACAGTCCCCCCTCAGGACAGGAGGAAACACAGCAGCATTTATGGAGGAGGAAAATCCACAGTGATAAGCATGCCTCCTGACCAGGTGCTTATTTATGCTGAGACTTTTATTTTTGAAATAATGTGGTTGCATGCTGACTGTTGGGCGAGAGTAAATCTGGATCTGTAAAACATAAGAAATCATCCTCTGAGGAACTTCAGAAAACAAAATACCTATTAGGCTTTGTATGTGTGGATTTGTTTGTTATCCCTTTCAAAGAGTTTAAACATTCTATCGACTGATGGTGTACCTGTGTATCTGTTGTTTGTTCAGGTGCTCCTCCTGCTCCAAGGTGCCGAACCCCCCATTCTGTGCTCCCGTCAAAAGCTGAGTCGACCCTACACAGAGGTCACCATGATGACTCTGCTCACCAGCATGGCTGATAAGGAGCTGGTCCACATGATCGCCTGGGCCAAGAAGCTGCCAGGTACGGCTCGGTGAATCAAAGTGGCCCCACCAAAAATAATTGTTAAAACAACCGTTTCCTTACAAATGAAAAATAACTATGCTGAACTATGCTGTGACAGATAAGTCACATCGACTCGTCCAGATGTTGAGATTTGGCTTTTCGTTTCCATAATCACTTTCTTTCTTGAACATTTTGTTTGTAGTTTGTCAGGAGTGTGACGTTGCTCGAGGTCTGTGACCATCTAACATATCCTGCTTGTAATGCAGTCCTCAGGGAATCATGACTTACTGTTTCCTTGTAGACCTTTTAGTTTTGAACAACTATCCTGTCAGCATCGTGTTGAAACATATTCGTAAGAAAATAAACTCTTAGAACAGATTGTGTGAATGAAACAGATAGACACAACTGCCCTCAAATGAAATAAAATCAATACAATAGAGGAAAATACGAGAAATTATTAATACATGGCAGAATGTTGAATAAGATGAAAGGAGACCAGAAAATAAAACAAATGTAAAACCAATGATTACAGAGACACTGGAAAAGGCTGTAAAAAATACTCCTAATTAAAAGATTTAAAAAATAAGTCTTTAACAGAAAGCTCTCTAGCTTGAACCCCACAGGTAGTTGTCCAAACTTCAAGATCATAGCTTTAGTTCTGGATAGATATTCAGAGGTACCTCAGTGGGATCAGGTGCAAAACATGTGACTCAGAGCTGCTGGAGCACCATGACATCTATTACATTGCTACTCCAAATAAGGATTCCACTGACCCTGCAGAAACACACTCCTTAAAAAAATAAAAAAAAAACTTGTGTTCAACCCAAATATTTCTGAGGGTGCATTTGGTTTTAATTCAGTTAAAGTGAGGAAATAATGGGGGACTTCTCTTCTTTATGTGGTGAATTCAAGTTGAATTCAAGTTGTTCAATCAGTAAATTGTCGTCTGAAGAGCATTGTTTATGATTATAAAAGATTCAAAAGTAGTGTTCACTTTTAGAAGATCTCTGCTCTGGGGATTTTAAATTTAACTGACAAAAATCTGATGGCAGGATCAATAAAGGGTTAGACAATATAACTTTTCCAGCTGTTTCTCTAATAGTCTCAGACTCCTCCGACACATTTTGAGGTTGAATTTTTTTTTAATATTAAAAAAAATGAACTCCTTAACCTGAGATAATGACATAAAAACATGATTACAATCACAAACACTTTCAGCTTCTGTTCTTTAACATTCACGTTCACAGATAAACAAATCACAGAGGTTTTTACCCTTGTTTGTTGTGATGTGACAGTTTGGCAAACAGCAAAGTGATGGGACACCTTTATGGTTAAGACACACACACACACACACCAGCACACACACACACAGCTGCAGAGCCATTATAGTGATAGTAATTACAGTCATCACCTTTGAGAGGATAGTTTGACCAATCTGCTGGCACCCCCACAGAGTCTAACTGCAGCCAGGACACATCACCCTTTTGGATGCACACACACACACACACACACACACACACACACACACACACACACACACACACACACACACACACACACACACACACACACACACACACACACACACACACACACACACACACACACACACACACACACACACACACACACACACACACACACACACACACTGCAGGTTCTCTAAGTGAGTAAATCCTGGTTTTGAGGTATTGCAGCCACATGCGTCACTAAAAGCCCAAAGGCACACAGTTTTAATTGCACGGGGTCCCAAACAGAGAGCAGAGGGGGACAAGGGGAATGAATTGGCTGTAATTACATATGAATTGAGACAGCTGAGTGCCAGCGATAAGGCTTCTTATGAGGGCACAGAGATTGCAGATGGTTTCATTTAAGTAGTTAGTCCCTGCCTGAAAATAATGGCACCCATATTTGCATTTGTACAAGTGGGATTGAAGCAATATTTACAGTCTATGGATTGAAGGTGCACAGAAAACACTTATCTCTACAAGTGTTAATATTCCTCACCACACCGCAACACCCACTGCTGCAAATAATTAGATAAAACAACACTTAATACATCAGGTTTTCACCCATATTTGGATTTTGTTTGGACTCTAAATAATTGTTGTGATAAGAGAAATGTCACCTAGTGTTCATGAATAACAAACATTCGTGATTATTATTTCAGAGCGCATATCTGGACGACTGCTAGAACTATAGAAATGTTTCATCTATGCTCTATTTGATACTTTTGGTCCTCTCACAGAAATCTTTCCTGCCTTTTTCTCAAATATAATACAGAGAAACATACAACATGTAGGGGATGCATTTACACTTACACTGGTTGGTCTTTGCATAACTTCCTGCATACAATATTTATATATATTAATATTTACAATATATTTACTTTGAATAAGAGAGAAAAAGTGTTTTGAGCGTATAAATGCGGTTAAAAACAAAAACAGTAAACTAAAGACCACAAAGGAAAAAAGAGGTAACTAGACCTCTTTACCTTGGCTCTCCGTCCCCGTGGCCACCCAGGGTTCGAGTCCGACGCCCTCAACATACGCTACATGTCACCCTCCACTCTCTGCTCCCAACGTTTCCCATCACTCTTCACTGTCCTGTCTCAATAAAGGCACAAGTGGAACCTTTAATACCTTTAAAAATAAAGAATAAAAGCATAATTGTCAAAAACAAAATAATAACTCTTAATGGAGGTATACCAAATATGAAAAGTGATGAATCTAAAAAAAAAAAAAAAATCTCAAAACCTGTCTTCATCTCCTTTTAATATTTCTCTTAAATTCTAGAGGGCTAAAAGGTTTTTGTTTGTCAAGGCTTTCTGCAGCTGACCCTGCATGACCAGGTGCAGCTGCTGGAGAGCTCCTGGCTGGAGGTGCTGATGATCGGCCTCATCTGGAGGTCCATCCACTGCCCCGGAAAACTCATCTTCGCTCAGGACCTCATACTGGACCGGTAAGCAGGATTACTCCTGACTTTTCTGAGACATCCATCTGCCTTTTCTCTCCTTTTCTACACATTTCTCTCACTCTCACCCATATCTTAAGAGTGCTACATCAGCATGGTAGATTTTCTATTTCACACCTTGCCAACCATTGTGCCATCTTAAGATGGCAGTCAGAGTGAAAGAATAATTACCTGCTCCCCACCGAGAGGAGAGCAGCCTCTCTCTAACCTGAAACACCCTCTTCATCATTACAGCGCCAAGCTAACAACCAGGACAGATGTTTAATCAGAGCCTCAATACAAGGAATGATGGAAATGGAAGGAGGACAGAGGGAGAGATGAGGGGGAGAGGGAGTTAAATGATGAGCAGACAGAGAAAAATAGAGATGCAGTGAGACATGACTGTTTTCTGCTTTTGCAGGCACAGCCTGTTCCCTCCTCTTCCTCCCCTGTTCAAAGTAAACAATCTCGCCAAACTGCAGCATCTACATCAGAGAGGAAGGGAGGGGGGCAGAGAGAGACAGACAGGCATAGCTTTTACTGTCTGATGTGTCTGATGGTCCCATTTGATTCAAAAGTGTATTACAGAGTATTATCTCAATTGGACATGATGACTAAAACGCTGTGGGTCAGGGTTGACAAATTCCCTCAGCTCTGTACTGTCCAAGTTTATCTTGCACTCCAACCACTGATATTATCCATCTTTCCATCACTTTCCAACTGTGCCCACAAATGGAGCGTTGCAGTCATTCAGTCCATTAGGTGTTTATCTGACCACTCTTTGGATGGTTTCATGGTCTCAGATAAAGTCAGGTTTACTTCAGCTCAAAACTTTAGCTCTTCTTTTTCTTAACTGATAACATTTTTTATTATCAGGGCTCTATCTGACTCTGAATTTCACTATGCATTCTTTTTTTCAGATCAGAGCTACAACAAACTTTAATATACTTCTAGATCTAATCTTTTCAACTGTAGGAGAATTATCTGTGTTTCATGAGTACAGGCTGTTGACCACAGTTCCACATACAGATGTCTATTTCTGTCTTTTTCAAGTCACATAATTGTAATTTCTAACTGTAAGCCTTAAACCTGATGAATGATTTCAGTCAGTTTGTTCACTAAAGTTAGCAGCAGCTCAATCTGCAGTACCTAAAGCTCAGCCGGCTGATGAGATACAGATGTCCGTAATAAGGTTTTAACACCTGTTCTCATCACCTTGTCTCATTATTTTTGAAAAAAACATGGGAACAATGAATATTCATATTGAGACTCATTAATTGTTGCACAGTTTACAGCCTGCCGTGTCGATGCCCTCTGCATTTCTTCTGTAAAAAACAAATGAGAAAATGTGCCCAGGGTCATCTCAATTAATCATTCGACTTTCAGGAAGTAGCCATTACATTCATTCATTTGGGACTTCAAATTAAAGAGAAAAGTAAGCATAAAAAAATCGAATTAAAAAAAACGTGTGTTTCTTTCGCTTTGTTGCAGGAGTGAAGGCAACTGTGTTGAGGGCATGGCAGAAATCTTTGACATGCTGCTGGCCACTGCTTCCCGCTTCCGCATTCTCAAGCTCAAACCTGAGGAGTTTGTGTGCCTCAAAGCCATCATCCTGCTCAACTCTGGTGAGGCAACAAGTGTGTGAAAGCTTTGTCTGCTCCTTGTGAATATTTTCTGACAAACTTATTCCTGACCCTGTAAGTGGAAAGCAAAAACCCTTCAACCTCTAATTTAACTATTTCATATCACATGGATTTGTTGCAGTTTTCAGTTAATATTGAACTCTTTCAAACAACAACCACACAGCTGTAGCTCTAAATGAAACTGAGGTTCATCAGCTGAACAGAGTGTTCTTGAAAAGCTTATATGCCCAATAAATGTTCCCATGACAACAGTAGCCAGCCAGTAGGGCTGTGTTTGTTCCAGAGGTTTTCTATATGTGAACCTGAAAAAGAAGACTCTACAGGCACAGCCGCTGGAGCGGCCTGAACTTTGCACGTTGTGTGGGCTCCTGCAATTAATGCTCTTATATTCTGTCATGAATCAGATGTTTTAGCAGGTTTTCAGCTTGTTGCAAACTAAATGTGTTCATCATATTGGAAAATAAGCTACGGTGTTTAATATATCTGTTAATTTTACGATGTTTATCATCCTTCAGGTGCCTTCTCTTTCTGCACCGGCACAATGGAGCCACTGCATGACAGCGCGGCCGTGCAGAATATGCTCGACATCATCACAGACGCTCTCATACATCACATCAGCCAATCAGGCTGTTCGGCTCACCAGCAGTCAAGGCGACAAGCCCAGCTGCTCCTCCTGCTCTCTCACATCAGACACATGAGGTGAAATTCATTTACTAAAGGTCGCCTTTGTTTTTAGCATGTCAAAGGTCCTTAAATATCAACATGTTCTGCAGAGAGTTGAGCTGCAGTGATCCTCAGTGAATCTCTGAGACAGTTAAGCTTATGGTAGGGTTTAGGGTCTTTTTCGAAACATAATTGATTTATATATTTAGATAAGCAGAATTAAAATGTTCCTTAATTTAAAAAAAAAAAGTTTGTATCCTTAGAGAACTTTCAAGATAGTTTTAGAGGACATCAAAGTGTGTAACATTATAAAACAGCAACAGTGTGTTTATTGAAGAGTTTTAAACCAGTGCTTCAAAAATAAATGAAAATATATCAAACCAACTCTAAATAATTTCCCTCAGTTTAACTATAATTCCCTCTTAAAAAGAAATTGTCTGTGTATCTACAGCCTGTTAGAGTGAGCCACACAGTTACACTTGGTGCTACTATTCATCACTGCTAGATCATGGGCACTGGATTTATGATCTGTGTGTCTCCATCAAATTCAGTTCTTTCTCCTGTTTATTTACATCCTTTAAAAAAACAGAAGTCTCGTTTATTTATGTTGCACCTTCCACATGACATGTGGACTTAATGTGCCTAAAATAAGAAAATAATGAGAGAGCGCATGAAGAAAATATTTTTTTAAAATGAATAAAAATAACAATGCTTTCTTATAATCAGAAATAAATCTAAATATTGAGTCTACAATTATAATTCCAAAATTACTTACCAAAAGTTTTTTGGGGGAAAGGGAGGGGGGGTATTTTTCTGTTTGTGAAGAAGACCTTAGTGCATCAGACCTTGATTAATGTGGTAGAGATTGTCTGAATGAAACCATATTTTAGTAAATAAAGGTTTCCATTGGCGTTGGAACAAACAAGAGCTAGTCAGAGATACAGACAAGGTGAAGGTCATATATAATCAAGAGACAACTAAAAGTATGTAACATGTGGACAGGGAGATAAAACACCTTCATTATTTCATTCTGAATGCTAATCAAGATCATTCTCCAGAGAGAGTGCTGGATGAAAACCTGAATAGTAACTCAGGGAGAATAAAAGTACGGCTAATTAAAACAGGATTGTTATCAGAATAGGAGGAGCAGAAAGAATGTTTTCCAGTGTGTATTATTACATTAATATGTACATTTTAACAGAGTCCTGACAGTGAGCTTTAAAGCAGTCTTAAGCCGCACTCATTAACATTATTACTCATAAACTGGCTCTTAATTCTCCTCTCACTTATGTTTACACTCCCTGCAGCAACAAAGGCATGGAGCATCTCTACAGCATGAAATGCAAAAACAAAGTTCCTCTCTATGACCTTCTGCTCGAGATGCTTGACGCTCACCGCCTCCACCGCCCAGACAGACCTGCAGAGTCCTGGTCCCAGGCTGAAGGAGAGCTCGTTTTCACCTCCAACAGTAGTAACAGTAACAACAACAACAACAACAGCAGCAGCAGCAGCAGCTCCTCTGCTGGTTCCCGACTCAGCCATGAGAGCCCCAACAAACCCCCCACAGGTCCAGGGGTCCTTCATTTTGGAGGGTCCCGCTCTGACTGCACCCACATCCTATAAGATGGAGCTCGATGAGCAGCATGCGGAGGTCCAAAGTCATTTTTATGGATTATGTGGGTCATACAGAATGAACCGGGTTTGAGAAAGAAAAAAAAAAAAAGATTTGAATTAATTTCACAAGATAATTTACGATTTTTCTTTTGCACGACTCAAGTTCATGAGAATGTGCGCTGCAGTGCAGTTCATATTCTCGCTGTTTCTAGCAGCTTTACAGTGTTCCGTAATATCGTGGCACTCGAGCAGCTAATTTATCGTTTATTTGTCTCGACCAAAGTGCACTTCTTCTTGGGTTTAAGGGGCTATGGGGGCATTATTTGACTTTCAAATAACACGCTAAATGTGATAAAACTAGTTTAAACATATGTAATTTATTTTGTATTTCGTTTCCCACATTCACCAGGTCCTGTGACTTATACGTTCACACAATGTTGAGCTTTTGTAAAAAGTGATGAAGTTATGAGATGAGCAGTTGCTGAAGATTTGTCTCTTTCATTTGATCATGTCAAAGTTAAAGGCTCAAATTTGACAGATGTCATGATGAAGGAAGCCGTCTTTATTGTACGGTAACTTCACTCTAAAGCTCTTATCGTATAGAAGGTCTGGTTGGAGATTTATACTTACATGCAAAGTTATTGTTTAATTGTGTGTGTTTGTGTGTGTGTCTGAATGAACTCTGAGGCCATGTGCTGTGAGGGGCCCGAGCTCATTCAACATTTCAACCCCATGAAACTACAACTAGTGTCATTTCATCCACTTATTACATCAGAATTTGTCTGGATTTACACACATCCAAAAATGTAACTATCATGATGTATGTGCACACATGTGATTGTTGTTATTTCAGATTTTACCAAATCAGATCCATTTGAGAAGAGTTCTACTATAAACTGCAAAGTAGTCATTTGTTAAAGCTGTCGTAAAATGTAAGGAAATCGCCACTTTTAAGTAACATCCCAGTGCTCCATGCACTCTCACATCTTTGAAGCGATGTCTCACTTTGCAAGGCTGCATCGAATTTAACCACCATGGGAATATTATTAGTGCATTTCTGATCACAGTCACCGCTGAGGCACTGCAGTAGGGCACATTTGTTTTTCGATGTTTGAACTGTTTCAAATCTACGTGTTTTTTTTTAATTAAACCAATGCCAATCAACAACTATGTGAATATAAAATAGAATTTTCTGCAACTTCATTCTCAAACTGATTTAACCAAACTCTCTGTGATAAGAGAAGGTGGTTAATTAGTGCAACTTTCTCTACTTGTTTGATGATGTTGTTGTGTTAATTAACTGGCCATTGTTCTGTGTGGTCTCCAGACACAGGTTATAGCTTTTTGAATAAAAAAAAGGTTGATGGTTTATTGACGTGCAGAGAACACAGATATTTGTCGCGCGTGACTGAGAAGGTAAACAAAGTAATGCAGTTACAGTGTAGTTTTAAGTTGTCGTACCTTTTCTCTGTCCCATACAGGCGTGTATGTGTGAAGCCTCCATACAGGGTCGTAGAAACTGGATTTGGCATCTTCAACTTTTCTGTGTAATTCCACTCGGAGCTGACCTGACTGCCATTTGTTTACTGTGCCTGAAAATAAAAGCATTAATTGAGAAAATACTGCTCAACACTGTTTTTTTCCCCCAACACTTGTGTGAAGCAAAGAAAAACAAACAAGTAAATACTTTATGTTTAATTATTTGCAAAGAGTATTCTTCATGAAGTCGGCATTAGCAAACTGTACATACATAAATAACCATTTTCATATTTGATCATTTTTTATACAGATTCTGTTTCAACAAGGCGGCGAGTCTGATGACTCATCACAGCAGAATAATTATCGCAGTAATTACAAAGCACACTATTTCAGGTCACAGCCGTCTACTAAAACACTACCAGTGATTGTTCCGCTTCCTTAAAAGCCGGGGACTTTCAAGTGCATGCTTAAAAAAAAGATAAAAAAATAACTGCCTTTCTTAAAAAGCATTTCAACAATAATGTACAAGCTTAAGTTTAACAATGGAGCGTATATTTTTTTTTTATATATGCCCCAGCTGATTAAATTCTCCGGAAAAAAAGAAAGTATACAAGCCTTGGGAAAAGAAGTCGGCCACCTTGGCTGGACGGCTTCAGTGCAGTACCTTTCGTCAGTGCTCATGTCAGTGCTTTAAGTTCGGATTTGACTTTAAATTCGTAATATTTCAGCACTCAAACTGGACGTCTCTTGTACATTTTCAAGGTTAAACATCCCACACTCAAGGTGGAGCTTTAGCTTAATCCAAACTAACTAATCTGTCAACTGATTAAATACAAAATAAATAGTAGCAGCACTGGATATCATGGACAAAAAGCACAGTCGACTTTGGCTCCTAACATACAATATATAAATAGTGCTTTGTTTTTATTGATTTCACAGGTTTCTACAGAAACCTTCAAAATAAAAAATACATATTTAAGTTAAAACGACATGAAATAATTGAAGGAGGGAGGGGGGTCTCCGGATGAAAGTCCATTTATCCGGATTGGGAGTTTAAAGGGTGGAGGTGATTTCAGGACGTGTGTGCAATGTAAGTGAGAGAAGTCTTCGTTTCATCTCTGAGTCACTTCATAATGCTCGAGCTCCCCTGCAGGGGAAGAGTTTTTCTTTTTAGGGCACAGGGTGAGAGGAGACATTCACAGGAGTCAGTGGAGTCCTTGGCAAAGCAGAAAGTAGACATTTGCTGCGTCTCATATGGGAGGAGGTCCGTTGGTGTAGCGCAGCATGGGATGGAAAGAGCGGGCAAAGTTGTTGGCATGGTGGCAGCTATAGTCCTCCTCTGTCATGGGCACCAGACAGGCCAGGCCAATGAGGAGCAGAAGGAGCAGCTGGAATGGGAGTGCGGCCCGAAAGACCCTCAGCAGGAAGGACGGGCCTTTAGAGGAGGAGGAGGAGGAGGAGGAGGCGACACCATCCTGAAAGTCAGAATGGGAGGAAACGCAGCCAGCGGCGCCTGGTGATTTGCTCCGGCTGCAGGAAGACACAGACACAGGTTAATCTCAGCAGAGAACAGACCTGAGTGAGCTAGTACTTGCAAGTCACTCTTGTGTTTTTTAACCCACATGATCATCATATTCTTCTCAGAATTGATGCTCTATAACGTGATTAAAAATACTCCAACCAAATGGGCTTGAATCAGAAATGCGTTGTAATAAATCTAAGTCTGCTTTTAGTTCATTGATAAAATGACGCAGACTACCAAATACTTTGAGTGTTGACCACCGTTTAAGTTTCATGTCATTAGGAGAAACGTATGAAGACAAAGTCTATCATTTTGAGATTGTTTTACAGAAGGAAATATCTTCTGGTTTGAAGCGTTGTTTTGGAAAAACGCACTCTGCTGATGAGTATTTTTCACCATTGTTTGGACTTCTCATGGACCAAACCAAGAATTGGAAAGTAAATGACTGATACGGTAAATTAATCAATAATAGTGGCAGTAAATCTGTTAATTCTGAAAATTCAAGTGGGTTGAGTAACAAAACTGTTTGCAAATACTACTTTTACAATGTCTGGCAAAAGTAGGGAAAAAAAAAAAAATCAACAAATACTCGACAGGAGGAAAAGTAAAAATAGAGCAAATCCAGCATCCACGAGGTAAAAAGAGAGCTGAACACTGACAGAGACACGTACATTAAACCTACACACACAAACACATACACACACCAGTCACAAACATACTTTAAAAAAAGAATCGAGGCACAGGCATTCATAGATATGGGGGCTGTATCTCATGAGGGGAAACACTCTGTCTTTAGAGTCAAGTGTGTGAGAGTTCAATGTCACGTCTCATTCCAAACACACGCAGGAGCCAAAAGCCTTTCTGGTTTCCACTCCTGGAGCCAAGAGTGAAGAGGAGGAAACAGCAAGTTCTCACTGCGACTCATCCTCACACAAGGCTGCAGGAGGGTCAGACGCGCTGACGCTCCTCCTGCCACTCCTCCTGCCACTCACTCTGCGGCCAATTTCATGTATCCCATATTCACTGTTAGTTCATTAGAATGTGAGAGAGTCCCTGCTCCTCATTTAAAGGATGCTAACAGGGAAAACAGAGACTCAAGACTAGTTTAGGTTTGGTCTACACCAGGCCTGTGTGTTATTCTTGTGTCAATTCAGAAAAATCTTAGAAAGTTAATCAGAAATGACAAAGATTTAAGGGTCTGGAAAAGAAACAAAGGAAAGAAAGTGGGAGTTAAGGTAGGAGGAAGAAAAGTGCAGGAGTTATTGGTTCACATCCTGCTTTAGAGGAGAATGAAAAAGGAAGGAAGCGTGAGAAAGGAAACAGAAGGGCTGAGGAGGAGGAGGAGGGGGGGGAATAAATCTCTGAGATTCCAGTATTGCCATCTAGTGGGCGAAGACAGAACCACAGTCACTCTGAGAAAGGAGAGGCAACGAAAAAGAACAACAAGGCAATATTTCATGATGCCATTCAAGAAGCAGCATGGCAAAGAGAAGCAGTGAAAATAAAACATATAACGGAGGGAGCAGCCTGATGAAGGCGATTCCCCTCTCTTATAAGAGCTGGTAACAAGGTCTCTAGAAGAAGGGACAATCATGGAACACAGGGTAAAGCCTGAAAACCAAATCAAGAGGCTAAAATGATAAAGAGTCTATTGTTTGTATTTGTTTTACTATGATTAAAGCTGATTGTGGTTAAATGATTTTCTCAAGTTGAATCAATAAAATCATGTTTCTAGTCAGGCATATCTTTGGTTCCATCATCATCCTTTGTTTCTAGAGTCCAGGATTGAGGTACCTGTGGCGCCGGACGCTCTCAGGGTGTCCTGGGTGGGCCTGACTACTTTTGCCTCGGGGCTGAACCACGCAATGAGCGGGGAGGGGTAAAAGAAAGAAAAGAATGTTTCAGTCAAGGGCAAATCAAGACAAAGCTTCAGATGAGAGGAAAAACAAATCATATAAAGAGCCATAACATCGCTAAGTAAAAGGAATCATCGTCAACCAAAAAGCAGCAACATAATCAGTGACGAACCAAGAAATCTGGCTTCTCCACTTATTCATCAAAAGTCAAGTTACTTAGAAACTGACAAGTTACATTTTTGAACAGTCAGGAAACTGAAACAAAAATGTTTTGTTTTTTTTCTTTACATTTAAAAAAATAAAAAGCTAAAACATAAAGTTGTATCATGTGAAATGAAAAGCCAGGTTTTCTTGTACATTTTGGGCAGGTCAACATGGAGAGGGCAGCAAAAATCATTGTAAAAGAAAGGCAGGGGTGGAGGGTAGCAACAAATCTGGATGTGGACATACATATAAAAGGGAATCAATTTTATCAGTAGCAAAAAAAAAAAAAAGGGGGTAGCACAGAGAGGCTCTTTTAGAGATTGTCTACTTGGGGGAATAAAGGGGAAAAGGTAAGACTGTTGGAATTTTTGCTGTGTGCATGAAGCATACGGTTTAGCCCCTCCTGCTGGACATCATGAGGGGGAACATTACCAATCGTTTGCGACTCTGGACGGTCACCTCTGACACAGGAGACGCTGATGCGCAGGGTTCAGATTTGGCAACGGGCAGCGGTAAACAAACCTAAAATAAAAATAAATCAATACAGCAGATTCAGTAACATAGCTAGACTGGATTAAAACAGCTGAATGAAAGAGGATTCATTCAGTCTTATTTTTTTGTTTTATCATTTCCTGACCTGCTGTGTGTCCACCGCCTCCAGTCTCCTCTCCAGCCCCTCAAGGTCAGAGCTGACCTCCCTCAGGAGCAGCCTCAGTCTGTTCAGGATCACGTGAACCTTCTCCTGAGCCTCCAGACACTCGCTGCCCTGATCCCAGATCTGCTCAGAGACCTGCTGCTGCAGCGTCACAGCGTGAGGTTTGGTGTTGACCAGGAGCTGAGCGGAAAGCTCCTGAAGAGACGACACTTTATGCTCTGAGTCAAGCAGCTCGCGCTTGATTTGCTGCAGGAAAACAAGGTAGACGGGGTAATCAATGGCATGTTCAACATCTTTGTTATGAAACTGCTGAATATGTTTCTCTTTATATTAAATGGCAAGACCAAGTGGCTTTTTCAAAAGTAATTGTAACAAATTCTGCTTTGCTAACATGTTTTATTCTTTGTATTGTCCATATTTAAGAACATGTTTAAATGTTGTAGTGTTTCCTTTAAAAAAAAAAAAAAAAACTTTTTGCAAAAAGACCACTACTGCTGTGAAAGCTGTTGTTATCACTGTGGTCAGTGTCAAACTAGAGTTCCACTAAAGTCTGTATCATTTTATTGTATCATTCACAATTTGTCGTCATAGTTATTGAGCTAACGCCGATGAATGAGAAGAGAAGAGGAGCGTTTGGAGAAGTTACATTACATGCACGAAGGTACACCAATTGTGCACTGGTCGCTAACCGACCGCGTGAAATAAACGGCAAGCGCCTTGCTTGTTTGCTTTCTCGTGTGAATGGCGCAGGAATTATTCAGGAAAATTCACAATCGAAGACTTTATGCAGGAGATTTATTCGGGGGCTGGCAGGAAAAAGTAATGATCAAATCGAGGGTGAAAAATGTGACCATTTGTGTTCCCACATGCAGCTCAGCTTGTTATGGAGAAAATGTTGGTAAATTTTGTGCAGGTGTGAAAAAACTAAATAATTATGGTTGAGAAGTCAACCATATTGAAAAAAAAACAAAAAACCCTGCAGGTTATCTTTCAGTTTCAACCAAATTCCAGTGTGATGAGTCTCATTAAAAGTAGTAACAGTGGAGAGAGCTTGTCTTATATTATAAAACATATTAAATCTTTTTTTTTTTTCTCAACATACCGTCAGAGTTTTGTGATGTGCTCGCAGTGTTTCGCGATCCAGTTTGGGAGGGATGGGCACCACCTTGTTCCTCCTGCGGTCGATGTTCTCCAACCACAGCAGCAGACCGTGGCTCATCTCGTGAAACTCCTGAAAGGACAGATGGTGCATACCACTTTTTCAGTTTCAAAAGATGGCTGTTAAATCAAAGCAATTAAAAAAAAAACGATGTGGTATAAGGAAAATGGAAGAAAGTTAAATAAACATAAATCCCAATAGAAGTTAGGCTTCACATATTTGTAAATAATAAAAGTTGGAGTTTTGACACAAAATCGATTAAAAATGCTTTTTTATTCTTCATGCCTGACACACATACAAAGAAAGTTTTATTTTTATTGTGTACAAAGCAGAAAAGGGCTGCCTATTAATGATAACACTTTGCTGGAACGTGTTCATATAGTGTGTGTGTGTGTGTGTGTGTGTGTGTGTGTGTGTGTGTGTGTGTGTGTGTGTGTGTGTGTGTGTGTGTGTGTGTGTTTGAGTACCTGGCACTGCATCAGCGCCTTCTGCAGCTCTTCCCTCCAGTCCTCCAGGGAGGTACCGAGTCGATCCCAGCGTGTGTTCATCTCTTTCAGTCCATCCCTGAGCTCCCACGCCTCCTCAGAGTCGGGGTCCGATTGGAGGAAGTCTGCACTGCTTAGGTTGATGGACAAGACCTCCGACTTGTGGGTGTCCATCCCCTTTTGCAGCTCCTGAAGGGAACAGTGATATAATGACACAGAGCTAGGAGCTAAGCAGACTGTAGCTGGGTTTCAGATAGGGGAAGCTGAGAATACGAACCAGAGAGCAGCAGGATTGTGAGGTGTGTGTGACGCAGTTAGACATAGTTTATCAGGCTGCAGTGGGCTGTATTTATAGAACAATGGCATCTTGGCAAGGGATTTCAGACAACAACAGCTGGACTAAGAACTCAGGGGAGGATCCAGACTTTTTGACTGGGTTGGCCCCAATGATTTCTGCAGGGACTGGCATGAAGTATATTTGCACAAACACACAACTGAATAGCTTTTATTTACCCTTTCTGTCTCCCCTAGTCATACAGTATATACTTTAACTACTATTAGGATCAAAGTATGTAAAAGATGTCTTATCCTTGTGTATATTTTGGAACTTTAAAAAGGAATAAAAGATTGGCAACATATGAATCTTCTTAGCTTATCTCTTTGAAGACCAAAAAAGAAGATATGTATGCTCAAAGTCACAATTTTAAGTACTTTCTAAAAAAAATAAAAGAGTACCATATTGAAATTTAAAAAAGCAAAAAGCAAACTGTAGCAAAACAAATAGTTCATTTTAAGGCCCAAGCCACCTCAAGCGACACAGTGAACCCACGCCTGTCCTAACAGACTCATGGAAGTGTGGGTGAGTGGAAGGACAAAATTGTCAGTGCTTTAAAAGTGAAGTAAAACATCAAATCCTAGCTGAAAGGAAGTGGAAATGAAAAATTCCAATTACTACTGGATTTGCTTTGTAATCTTTTCACTTTGATACAGAAGCTGAGACAGACACAGTCAAAGTACCTTGAGCTTCTTGATCCTCTGCTGGATGGTGTGTATGTCAGTGCTGAGTTGGAGCCCTCGCAGCTGGCTGAGTTCAGCCTCGGACTGACCCAACCAGGCCCTCATTGTCTGCAGGTCTGAGATCAGCTGCTGCCACTGCTGCAGGTTCTGTTTGTTTCTGTGCTTCTCACTCAGAGACTGAGCCTGGATTAGCTCCCAGCGCTCGATCACACCTGCAGGGAAAACAGATGCTTCAGCTTAACTCAGTGCACACACTGTTTACATGAAGGGGTCGTCTGTCTACAGGGTTTCAGGATGATGTTCGTGTGTGTGAGACTGACCGGCACTCTGAGTGTCTGTGCTGGTGGGGTTGATGAGTCCCGGCATGTCGTCCTCGTCCTCAGTCAGCTCTCCCTCGGCTCTCTTTACGGCGTCTATACTGCCTCGACACTCTCCCATCAGACGCATCTGAAGGATGATGAGTTCAATTATTTACATTTGTAAAAGTAATGGTTCTCATTAAAAAAACATGTGCACATAAAATGACAAAACAGCTACACACACAAGCAAATGACAATCAAAGAGATAAATGAAAAAAAAAACTTAAGAACATGTCAAAATCCTGCATGTGTGTAGCAAAATTACTATAAACATTGAACACATCAATATAACGAATAATCATATTTAAACTATGAATTATGTCTAAACCACCTCGAGTCTGTAAGTGGTTGTCTAAATGTTCATAGTTTGATGTATTTACACTGGAGAGAATATACAAAGTAGAGCTACTTCACGGTTCAATTTTTTTATCTTGATTATGTGACGCATGGTCTTGAAAAGTTTAATGTAAGGGACAATAAAAAACAAAAAAACAATCAACCTCTTTAATGCATTTAAACTAATGTTTTCAGGACATTTCTGTCTTGGCTTAACTTTTAAGAAGGTAAGCTGTCTTTTTATCAATTCACTTTCCAAGTCACAATGTTTCACGAGACAGCAAAGGACACTTCAAATGAGCAGGACTCACATAGCCCATGTAGGTGGAGTCTATGTCGGGGCTGGAGCTGTTGGCAGTGGTCTCTCTCTGCTGCAGGTGGAACCGTCCTGCATCCAGAGCCTGATCCAACTGTCTGAGACTCGCCTCCAGCTGGCCCGGCTCACCTAAAGGGAGGCAACAACAGGGTCATGAAAACATGGAGGGTACAGCTTTTCACAACAATCATTCATTTGGTTAGCATGCTGTTGGTTTGAACCGGTGCTGTGATGGCATGCGTTAGTCTGAAATGCAAAATGAAAGAGTGACAGAAAAGAACTCAAAGTCAGGATTTAATGGGTTAAAAATGATATTAGCTATGAAATGAATGACAAGAGCAAACATTTTTATGGACACTAGCATGCAGTGACTGCACTAATACATTGTTTTAATAAAGTAGGATCCATATGAATTTGGGGACATGCAGTAGTAATGATGCTCCTTTGCAGGTAGTAACATTTAGTGTATCACGTTTAGTTAACGACATGCTCTCCTATCTCATGCTGTAACACTCTTGTTTCCTACCAGAGGATGATTTCAGTGTGTTCTCGGTCAGTTTTATATAAGCCTCGGGGCTCTCTGGGATAATTACATCTGGGAAGAGAAATATAAAACATGTACTTTTATAATTTTGATATAATTTAAAGTTTTTACTGTGTAAATCTACATGGATGCAGCATTGACGTCCTCACAGCAAATAAGGATGCTTGGATTTCAGAGCTCTCTGAATGGTCCTTTTCCGTTTTGTTTGTTTGTGTTCAAACAAAATTTTTTTCAACCAAAGTTATCATCGAAGACCTTTATTGCTAGAATCACACAAAAGTGTTTTCACTCCCTGTTACTAAATACAAGAAGTGAGATTGTAACTGGCACCAGATCTGTAGAAATCTCAGCTTGAAACAGTTTTCCATCCTTTGAAAACAAATGATCTTTGCCTTGTTTTGATATTATGAGGTGAAAACATGGAAGTTGAAATACATTGCTGTGTAAATACTTGATCTTCTGTGATTAAATTGTGTCTTCTGTCTTTTCCACACAAAGACAAAATTACTGTTTCCTTACCACCAACAAAAACGATTTCCTCATCAATGCTTTAAAACCAGAATCTTTCTTTCTTTCTTTTTTTTTTTAAATAATCTTTAACAGATGCATTACCTCACTACAAAAAAATTCAAATTCTTCCAAGGAATTTTTAAGTCATTTTTCAGACCTGTAAAACGCTGAGTAAACAAAAAAATATTGCATCAAGTATGTATCAATAAAAATCCTTCATAGAGTGATGAAGTGAAGCTGGACTGACCTGACAGCACCGTGGCAGCTGTCCTCAGATACTCATCCTCCTCCTCTTGCCCTCGCCTCCTCTCCCTGTGACCTCGTCCACCTGGGCTCTCCAGGTCTCTGCTCAGGTCGTAGTCGTGGTCCCACTCTAAAGGGATGGAGTCAACACTGGCCGGCGTGTCACGTCCTGAGCGGTCAGCCCGGATGAGGGCAGTCGTGCCTGAGGGGGGGCGGCTGGATGGGCGGGGCAGAGAAGAGTCGCCCCACTGCAGCTCCGAGAGGTCTCCACCTTCCTCCAGTTCCAACTCTCTGTCCGAACCATCGAGCTCGTCATCGGCCAGCTGAGGAAGACGGACATGAGGGAGTTAGTGTAAGGAAGCAAGGACACATGGCAGAAAGGTCAGACTCTGTAAAAAAAAAAATATATATATGTGGAACTACGAAGTGTGAAAGCAGCTTGTGAGGTGTACAGAGTGGAAAAACATGACACTGTTGTAAACTCAGTTTGCTCACAGCTGTCAGAATGAAAGTATGTTGGACAAATGTTTGCAGCATGTCGAGGGTAGGGAAGGAGGACAGCTGTGAATTTTGAAGGGTTTGCAGACTAGTCTTCAAAAACGTCTATCAGCAATGCAAAAAACTAACTTCATGCAACTTTTGCATTTGAATTCATCAGACGTAGTGTTTCTAAAAATAAAAAAAACTACTTTAATGCATGCACTTCCACTGTAAAATTAGAGTTGTATTGATGATCATAGAGAATGTTTTCTGTTAAATCTTGACTCACAGGCAGCCGTGTGAGTTTCTTGTAGTATCTGTCGACTCGTCCGAACACCTCCTGACAGTATCTCTGCAGCTCCTCCAGCTCCTCCTCGATGACAGCTGCGTCCAGTGGTTCACTCTTTTCAATCAGAGCGTCACCCTGTCTGAACACCAGCTCGATCTTCCCCGTGTTCAGATAGATCTCCTGCTGGAACGCCTGAGAACCACACGCAGCAGAGATCGAGAATAGAGACAGAAAATGAGTTTTTATGTTAATGTTCCATTAATGGGAAAAAAAAAACTAAATTTAAAAATAAAAAGCTGCAGAGAAAATGTATTAATATACAGTAGCAGAGAGTATACACAAAAGTCTTTATATTACACTAAATACTTTTCAAACTATACTAAACTGCCATGATAACATACTCTATAAAGGTGTAGCCTTTCTGTCTCACCCTGAGCTGTTTTATCTTGGCCTGAACGTCACACTCAGAGAAGTGCTCGATGTTTGTCAGCTGGAGGTCCATCTCTGTCAGCCACACCAGAATGCTGTCTCGAGCCGTCTCAAACTCCTCTCTCTGGACAATGAAGTGCTGAACGAATAAAAAGACGTGCACACACAACCATGATTTAATGATTTCCTTCATCTTTTTTTTTTTAAGAAGACTGGGGCTGTTTCTCCATGAATGAGATTATTATTGAGCCAACAATCTGAGACCGCGTTACCTTGAGTCTTCGTAGGATGGCTGCCACCCTCTTCTGCAAGTTATCCCATCGCCTGTTCCCATCATGCACCATTTCTTTGAGTTGGCAGGAGGAGTCGGTGCGGTTCTCCCTGGCCAGGCGACGGTACTGTTTGTTGATGAGCTCTAGTTGGGTCAGACACTCCTGTACCTGCCGCTGGAAGGCCTGCAACAAAAATACAAACATGCACAAATGAGCTTTGAATAAAGACGACTGAGTTGTAAACAAAATGACTTCTTCAGAGAAAAGACCCTCAAACATAGAGTCTCTTAATTTTCAGCCCTGCAGGAGGCTGCTTATATTTTTGACAAGCCCCTTCAGTAAAAAAATAAAAATGATCTGTAGATTGTCATTCTGTCATATCATCGTATTGCTCATTCTACTATAGTTTCAAAGTCTATATCTGTAGATTATTCAATAGATATGAAAGGGGTACGTTTATTAAAAATGAACGGCATGAACACAAACATCTTCAGTCAGGTCATGCAGGGACAATATTTCTCGTACTCCATGTGTTGTACAGAGAGTCTCAACTGAAAGGAAACTGAAAATATTTTCTGTCCTGTGTTGACAAAGAAAATAGAAATTGGCATAATAGTTCATAAGTGGTTATTAAATTCTATATTCTTGAAAAGAGCAAATGATTCCATGTTTAAAAATGTTTTACTTTCCACTCAGGCACAAACTCAGCAGATTCTCAGAGGCTGGATGGGAAAGTCAGCGAGCTGGAATGTGCACGTGCACGGTGATAGACAGCAGCAGCAGCTGAGCAGACCAGTGCAGACGAGTTTGAGCAACATGACACTCTTTCCCTTTCTTCAATGTTTCCCCTTCTCTGCACAGACACTTTCTGTCTAGAGATGTATTCAGCTAATGCGGACATGATATTCTGACAGGAAACTTTAAAAGATAAAAGCATGCACATGTAACAGACACTACATCTAAAAGAAGGCTCTTTGCTCGAAAGACATGCGATGCAGTGTAGCTATCTTTTACGACGCATTATACTAAAACGAGAATTGGACATACCTCAAACTTTTTAAGCTCTTCTTTGGCAACAGTATAAAGAACTCCAGAGGAGTTGGGCAGAGCTGCTGTCCTTTCTGAGGTCTTCAGCCAATCTTCAAACCTTGAGTAATCATCCAGAAACCTCTGCCACAACCTCCACGTCTCCTCGATCCTGCACAGAAAAGGCTTTCAGTAATGCCATAGCTAAACAATCTCAAATTACTATTTTTAAGGCTCATACAAAAAGAATCCGCAGAAGTTAAGTACGAGTCACTGACTTGAGCCTCCTCTCCATGGACATGGCACAGATGTTCCTCCAGCGTCTGTCCAGCCCTCGGGTCGCCTGCTGGATGGAGTCGCACTCCGTCTCTGTGGAGCAGGCGTCACAGTCGTGCAGCAGGACTTCACACAGGTTCAGTACTGATGCCACACCTGTGCTGTGTTTCTCAATGTCCCTCTGCAGCTCCTACAAATCATTCAGAAAAACCTTTAACATTTACTGGATTTCAAGGTTGTATGAGTAGCCCTGAGTTTGCTCACATGTGCTTTTCATTTATGTTTCATGATTACAAGTAAACATTAACTTAAATTAACGCAGGCTCCTTTAAGCTATAAATGAATCAGACACATTTCAGGCATGCTGAACTAAATAAATGGCTGTATTAGTTAACTTTTCAACTGTGGAGAGGAAGGAGGTCAGTGGGGTCTCACAATCCAGTCCACAATTAGAGCAGCACCCTGGCAGCAGGAAGGACACTGATACTAACTGTGGACTAGCTTCAAAAAAACAGCCAGGGATGAATGCATGAGTCATGCTGTAGTTTCCTCACGTGGCTCAGTGTCACTTATTTCCAGCTATGTTTGAGCCATATTGTTTTGTTCTTAACGGATCTCAGCTCAATAAAGAGAAGGAAGCTTGTAAACAAATCTGCACGCTCTGCTGCTCTGTATTCCTGTTTGTGCGTGTTGTCCCTCCTAACCTGCTGCTGGTTGAGTTTCCTTTGAATCTCCTGGTCGTCGCAGGTGCTGTAGACGATCGGCCTGGACAGCTCCGTCTCGATGTGAGCCAGCCACGAACGCAGGCTGCTCATGTTTTTATCTAACTGCTGCACCGCCACCAGAGTCTCCCTCAACTTCTTCACCCTGGTAGAAAAAAACAGAGTCAGAGAGGGAGTCAGAGTCAGCACACGGGAGAGCTGTGAGCACATTTAAGAAAACAGTTCAGTAAGCCAATAACGTGGTCCAGATTCTGTTCAGTTCGATGAGTGGATATAACAACAAACCACAAAGCATGCTGAAAATACAAACCAAGGAAATCACTTACTAAATCAAAAGATGAAATAAAATAAAAGTCAGAAGCCAATCAGTTATGTGCATGAATGTTTCTGATTCTAAAAGAAATACTGCTCGTTTCTGTTTATTTAGTTGATAATGAGATGCACATGAAATCTATCATAAGAAAGATGTTTATCAAGAAGAGAAACAAATTTAGACATCTTCAGATTAAACATTTTTCATAAGAACCAAAATCTCACAAATGTAACTCTCTGTTTGAACCTACAATTCAAAGCAAAAACGACTTTTCATTTTTCACCATCATGAGCCAAGCAGAGCAAAAGAGTAACCTGAAAATGAGGAGTAGAAGATCAGATACTTTTGTTGAGAAGTGATGAATCCTTACTTCACACCACACAACAAACGTTAGATTTTCTCCCTTGCACGAGTATCATTTAACACACAGCAGCATAGGTGTGATTCTCCAATGCAGGTTAAAAGCACAAAACAAACAATACAAAGCACATGAAGCTTGATACAATTACGAATCTGCCATGTTGTTGTTGTTTACAGTGCAGCCTTTAAAAAAAAAAAAAAAAAAAAAAACAGCTTTAAGATAAATTCTCAATTTTGTCCTGCCTGGAGACATCACAGTCGCAGTCCGGCAGATCCTCGCTCGGGCATCCCGCCATATTGTCCGTCTCTAATTCCAAAACCATGGGGGAGCCGAGTTGCCAAAGACAACGTAAACGTCAGGAAGCGTTACAATGTTGATCTCAATGCTTCTCTGCTCTGTCTTTGAGCTCCACATGGGACTTTCTCTACACTGTCTGTCTGTGCAGGGGGGGGGGGAGGTAGTGGAGGGGCGGAACAACTGTGACTTATCAACTGTTTCTCTTCAAGGTTAAAAAAAAGGGAACCCCAAACATGCGGGAGTCTGTGTGTGTGTGTGTGGATATATGTGTGTGTGTGTGTGTGTGTGTGTGAGTGCCTGAGAGTGACAAGTGCTGCTGTTTCTAAAAACAGACTTACAGTCAGAGACATGTGCTGCAGAGCCGGTCTGTGTCGGAGTATCACACTCCAGATACACACAAATGGAGTATGAGCAGTCGTAAAGTTGGAAACTTTGTAGGCAGAGAAACTTCATTGGATAGTTTGCGACAAGAAGGACAGTTTTAATATGAAGCATGTTAGCAAGGTGGATAATAAAAGATCCTTATTTCTTTAAAACATGACTCCAGTTAAAGGCAATGCTAAAATTCAAAATAAAACACTCGATTTTCAGTTATTCTAGTCATTCAAATGTTACAAACTCTCTGTCCTGTTGTTTTGAGTAAAGGACGGACGTAAGAGACAAAGAAAGTGCAGCTGTTTGTGTTAGGTCAGACACAGTACTCCCCTTCTTCCCTCGTCCAGTACTGAGGGCAACAGCCGGAAGACAGCAGGGGGAGGGGGAGGGGAGGGGGAGGGGGAGGGGGGGGGGGGTGGGCGGGCAAAATGGTAGATGAAGAGCAAACAAGACGTCAAAGAGGGAAGAAGAGGAATGTCAACTCTGCCTTCTTGGCTTGCAACTCTGCTAAGTAGGAGGAGTCCCACTGACACCAGCAAGGAACGCAGGAAATGCCTCAGCAGCATTGTGGGGGAAAGAAATTCCCAACAGAAGTACTGGAGTGCCATGGGGGAAACCATAGCAACAAAATGAGGCCAAGACATGCCTGAACTAAAAAAAAAGTGTGTTGTGTGTAGGGTTAAAAGTGAGAATGGGGACATTTCTCTTTCTCTTGTTTTTGATAACCCAGTTTTTTTTTTACTGAGTAGACGACAATCTAGAAAAAAAAACAATTAGATAATGTGTCATGAACTTCTATCTTTTTGGGGTGGTCTTCACAGAGCCCACACAAGTCTAACAATGAAAAACTCTCCTGAGAGTGCACCCACCTGGCAGCGATGAGGTCCAGCAGGTGCTGCCAACGCTCGCTCACTTTGCTGAGTTTGTGTTGGATCTCGGCCGCCTTGCTGTCTTGGCTGGCCCTGGCAAGCCGATCTCCCATAATCTGCAGCTGCTGCTTGTTCTCCTGAGCGACACTGATCTCCTCCTGGTAGTCCTGAGAGAGAAAGAGTTAGCACATAGTTTAACACAGGGAGGTGTGAGTTCAGTAGAAGTTTATAGAACATCTGTGTGTACCTGAGACTCTGCATGCTCAACAAGTTAAGATTTTAACAGGTAATTGTTCATCTTGTGTAACTATTTAAATACATAAAAAAAACAATTGATGTAATGTGTGTGCTTTATTACAAAAAAATACAATTATTCAAAATCAAATTAAAATAAACCTTTAATTTAGGTTATTGGCAAACATATATATATATATATTTTATATCAGTGCATAGCAGTGGCCTAGATAAAAATATCCTGTAATCAAAACAATCTTGACCCACCCCAACAGATTGAATCTGCTCTTACAGAGTGCATTTTTACTTACAGGAATGTGCGCTGTACATAAATATCTGTACATGCGAAATTGAAGTGTGTCTGTAATTAAGACTGCGTGCTGAATTCACCTTGCGCAGCTTTTCGATCATCTCTTCAATGCTGATGTCTCCATTCTGAGAGACCTTGCTCTCCATCTGAGTGAGCCATTCACACAGCTCCTTGTTCTTCTCATTGAACACGGCCCACTCGTTCAACTTCTCGCTCACCTGCTGCCTGCGCAGGGAAAGCTGAGGGGACAAAGGGGAGGATGGAGGAGAATTTAGTGGGGCAGAGTACAGGGTATATAATATTGGGAATGAGAGATGACAAGAAAGGAAGGACAAGAAGGAAAAGAAAACTCGGTTGTTTGGGAGCAGTAAAGATTGCGGAGAATAACTGGTTGAAGATAAATTCAATGACTTTAACTATATTGATTATTCAGAGCTAGCTATAATTAACCAGGAAAAGCTTATAAACCAAAATCACAAATTGGCACAATAAGGATATATTTTAAAAAATCAGCCTCGGCTTTAATCTTCAGTGAATCTACCTGGTGGCAGACCTCCTCCCACTGGCGCTGAAGCAGCTGGAGGCGTTCCTGCAGGACTGTGATGTCATCTGCACTGACCACGCCCTCCAAGGAGTCCCTCAGCAGGAACAAGGAAGTGAGGTCATCCGTCCAGCCCTCCACACTGCTCTCCAACTCCTGTTCCCACAGGACATGACAGGAAATGATGAACAATGTTAAAGAGAAGACCATCCATAGCCATGAAATACTAAGACACAGTCAGACCAGCCTGTTCAGAGGGCTCTTTCTTTTCCCTCATAACCAGCATCAAAAAGTCAAGCAGAGCAGAAAACCACAGAGCAGGACTACTGAAGCTCAACTGCAGCTGCTGCACCCCACAGAAATAGTGACGAGAAACCAAAACAGCACACAGACAGTGAGTGTCACAACAAGGCATTTCACAAAAAGTCACCAAATTTCCTATCAATGCAAGAATTTCTGAAATAAGAATAAAACAATTAACTGTGACATGTCCCAGTCAATGACAAATAAACAGCTTCATTCAAGGTGAAGGGCAAGATAAGGTAACACAGACTCATCCAACCTTGCATCTCCTCCTCCTCCGTCACTGTGACGGTTCTGCTGCAGCGTAATCATTTGAGGACCCAGAGAATGTCTTCATTACGCAACACACACACACACACACACACACACAATAGGAAGCACACACATATATATAAAAACACCCCCGCTGCAAACACGGATGTTCTCTCTCTTGCTCACTGCCATGCGCACGCACCCTCTTTTCCTCTCTCCATCTCTCTCCCCACCCCCTCTCTCTCCCCAGCTGATGCTCACTATGTGCAGCTACTCTGGCTACCCTCCTCCTCCTCATCCTCCTCCTCCTCTCTGAGGATGACGTGTCATGCATGAAACATGACTGCATAAAGTGTCCAACGGCCAACACAAACCGCAAATGATTATCATGCAGACTTTGCACTAAAAATGCTTTGATACAAATATGTTCTCACACAGCAGAATCCTGGCAATGACTTCAGCATGAGCTGTATTTATACAGTAACTCTTAACATTAGGACAAGCTCTTTTTAAAATACTGAAAATAATTTAAAGCCTTTAAAAAAAAAGCTCAATGTTTAAATCATTAGAAAAAATATAAACAATCAGGAAGAGTTGAACTTCTCTTTTTGAAAGACCTGAATTAAACGTTCTTCCAGAAGAACAAACGAAAGTTATGCCAACAGTCTGAAAACCGACCAAACAAGGTCACAAAACGAGACAACAGCTGCTAGATTAAGACGTTTTTTTTCCCCTACTGCCTGTCTGTCATTTGATGTGTTTGTCCCCGTAGCCAGATTAAAAGGGTAGAGGGGAGGACAAGTCAATGTGGATGAATGTGTCACAGAGAGAGAAAGACAGAGAAAGTCTCAGGAAAAACAGAGAGATTAAGAAGGTGTATGTGTACAGCATGCATTTCAGAGAAAGAGCTATTCAGAGATATTGAACGTTTGCAAACAATTTACCTAGAAGGTTACAGTTTGTGTACATATGTGTCATAAAAACAAAACTTTTTTTGGCTCCGGTCATGCAAGGATGAAGTACATACTTCTTCAGGGAAAACACAGTGACAGTAGGTGAAATAAATGTAAAACAAGCACAACAATTATATGCATTCATTCCTCTCACCTTGCATCTGATTTGCTCTGAGTGTAGCTCTTCATGATGATCAGGCAGTGGCAAAGACAGCTTTCTCTTGAAGGCCCTCAGTTTCTCGACTGATGCAGTAATGCCCTTCTCACATCGCTCCCAGTTCTACAAACAAACACACGGACAAACACACAGGGGGATTTAGAGCATAAAACAACATACACAAAAGCACATTGACGAGATTGCAGATCTTCTCTGGAAGGGAAGTTGCTACACGTTCTTACTGCAGCTGCAGCGTCAGAAAACTAGTGATCACAAACTAACAGGCACGCATACACAAATCAACCCGAGGCTGAAGTCAGGCCACTTAAATTATCATGCAGCAGAAAGCCCCCCTCAGCTCTGAAACTCCAAAGCAACACCATGAGACAGCAAAAATCCAACAGTGAAAGAAGAGAATTAACACAGCTTCACGACAAAAGAGGGAGGTTCTGCTCCAAAGGGCATAGATTACAGCTATTCTTAGAGTCTGAATAATGGCCCGAGTTCAGGGTAAAACAGGGTAATATTTGGAGTGTTACAGCAGAGTGGCATACCTGAAGCAAGAGTCATGGAAAAAAAAAAGAAGAGCCAGGGGAAGACTAGAATAGCTGCTCTCAGTACAAGCGAAAGACAAAAGATAGAGAGGACAACTCAGATCTCAGCAGAATAAGATATGCGGATGCACCTCTTCAACTGCGTCACTCTCTAAGATTCAAAACAGGGCACTATCACAGCCTGCAAAATCTACCTCCCAGGGTTGAAATCATTACAGCTCACTGCACATTGTGTGTGTTTGTATGTGTGTGTTTGTGCCCTAGGCTGGACATTTTTCTAATGCTTGCATGTGAAAGAGTGTGTGCTTATAAATGAATCTGAGAGGAGAAGTCGGTGTGCTCTGTCTTTGTCCTCTGTTTCTTTTTAAAGGACCTGAGGTTGAAAAGTGCTGCATAATTCATGCGTTAACCTGGTTTCACTGTCCTGCATGTACAGATGGAAGGGCTAATTATGGGCTTGATGCTCCCCAGCAACCTTCAAGAAACATTTATGCTGCAGTGTAGTGAAGACAGCCCTTAACGTAGACCGAGATAAGGCTTCATGTATCTGAAATAACACATCCTGTCCCGTAGCACAGCTTTGATAAATGCCTGACCTTGAGCAAGCCGTGCAGCTCCCTCCTCTGCTGGTCCAGGCGGTGGTGCGCGTGTCTCCACCTCTCCTGAATCTCCATCAGCTCTGTCTGCAAGGTGGACTCTGCCCTCGCGTCGGCCGACAGCAGCAAGCTCCTGCCGGCCTCCACCGTCAGAATGTAGCCTCCATGCTGCCTCTGGAGCACCCGCTCCCTCAGCTGGAGGAGAAGAGAGAGGGACAGTGGGCAGAGGGGGAACAGGTTAACTAAAGGAGTCTAGAGGTTGAAGGAAGGGTGAGGGTGTATTTAGTATGAACAGCAGAGTTCTTATTGTTTAAATTAAATATGAAGTTTAAAGAGTGACAAGAAGAAGAAAAGTCGTTTTTACGTTTCTGAGGATGATTACATACTTAATACTCCGTCTCATTTACATTTGTTCAAATTATCTTTTAATGACCTTTAAAATGATGCACACTTTTTAAACAAGCTTTACAATGAATCCTCCTGATCCACCTGCTATACAATAATTAATCTAATCAGAACTGTGACCTGCAGTTATAATAAAACAACCATATTTGAGTTAAACCAATTTCAGAGAAGTTAGATTTCACTTAAGGACTTGAAAAGCTCCTCTCTGGTGATAACCTACCTGTATCTGATCTAACAGGTTCCTGGCCTGCTGCAGAGCGACTGGTTCTCCGGGCTGATGCACATCTGGATCTTGGGTGACTTCTTGCAGCCGCTGTTGCAGCTTCTCTGCCATCTCTCTGTAATTCTGCCACTGGCGGACCAGACTGTCGATAATGCCCCGCCGCTGCTGGGCCCGCCTCACTACACACTGCCACTGATTGCTCAGCAAGGCCAGTTTCCCACTGAAGTCACCTCTGTTCAGGGGACATCAGAGAATTAGATGGTGTGCTCCTCACAACATTTTTGGGATGATAGGTTCAACTGCTATAAAGGATTGCGCCTACCTGTTATCCACTTGTCCCTGGTCGAGCATTCGATGTCCATCACCGATGATGGAGTAGAGAATCTGTTGCCTGCTAAACATCTCTGCCTGGAACAGCTGCAGGTGAAGATGAAAACATTAGTTTCAACTCTACAAACAAAAGACAACAATAAGTGTACTTATACTGTACTTGGAATGCTTCTCTGACCTCATGGTCTCTCTGCTGCTCCAGCAGACTCTGATAGTTTCCTGAGATCTCAGCAGCCAGCTTCTGCTCAGTCTGAGACAGGAAGTCCATCCACGCCTCACACTTCTGAAGGAAGCTCTGCTGCTGGAGCACCACTGCCTGCAGCTTACTAGAGAGGTAGAAGAGGACACAATTTGGATCAAAATATAAAGCTTATTAATACAAAGATTATTTTATCATAATTCAATAAATATGATAAAAAAAAATGAACTAGCACAAACTCATATCTAAATGGAATTTTTCTCTGAGGGAAGCCAGTAAACTATCATGTTGAAAAGGTGTTTTCTTTCTGGAGGAGAAGCTATTTGAAAGTACAGTTTTTTTTACTTACTTATAATTTATCTTGGTGGATGTTTCTATTTGCAGTAAAGTGCTCCTTGACTACACAGTGCTACTACAAAGAAGTAAAACGTGATGGGATTTTGTACCTGAACCTCTCAGTGAGGTTGGCGGAGTGAGCGGCCCAGGACCTGTTGAGACTTTGCAGCCGTTTTACGTCTCTATCACTGACTGGGAGTCTGTACATCAACTCGTTAACACGTTCCAGGTCTGGAGACAGACTGCTCAGATTCAACAGGTGAACCTGGAAACAGATTATTACACGTTTTAGTAGGACAGTCGCAATAATGAACAAGCCTTGTCTGTCAGACATTTTTGTTGGAATGATGTTCGGTACCAGGTGTTCAAAAGGAGAGAAACAATGAACTAGACACAAGTGTTTTTTCCATACCTGCAGTTTTTCCATACGTGTCTGGACCACAACGATATCTGGAGACCCAACTGAGTCAGACTCCTTCAGCACCTCCTCGGCCTCCTCGGCCTTATTGATCAATGTGTCCATCTGCTCTCTGAAGCCCTCACAGGCCTGAGATCCAGTCTGCAAACAGTCAGAAAGAAACATTGAGAGTAAGTTAAAGACCCATTTATCATATTCCTTTAATCATATACTGGGATTGAATAGAGGGAAGTTGCATGTACCTGCAGCAGTTCCTGCTGCCTGTGAAGGCTGTGCTTCAATGTTTCTAGGCGATGTGTGAGTGACAGGTGGTCAGACTGGAGAGCTGCCGAGGAGGAGGCATCAACTTGGCTCTTCAGCTGCTCCCCTAAAGCCTGCAGCTGCTGGAGGGTCTTCTGCACAGAAGCCTGGTCACCAAGGCACGCCTGCAGCAACAATGTGATCAGAAGGAGGCACGTTAGGAACAGAATCACTGAGATTTGAGACTTTAGAAAAAGGAATAGTTTAAACATATCATGAAATTAAAATTAACTGCAAACAGGGGTGTAGAGATTTATTGTAAAAGTTACACAGACAGGACAGCACTTCACTAATATTTACAGCTCTCATCCAGTCAAAATAACGGTCTGCTTAGAGTGATAGGGACAGAGTGATTCTAGAATATCGTCCAGCTTGGCCCTGCAAGCCCAGCGTGACACCGAGAGACCCCTGTAGTGTAAATCAGGGGCCTGTCTTTCCCTTTGCAGTCTCCTTTTCAAAAGGCTTTTGTTGGATTGTGCAATGAATCTACATTCAAGCAGACAAAAGAGCAGAGTTCAGTTTGGTATTCTGCAGAGGAGATAGAGGCTTTGTGGATCCTGACGTGTGCTGACGGGCTGTTTCAGATGTTATTCATCTCAGAAGCCAAGGACACTGAGGGTTAGCAGCAAAAAGTATCCTGGTGTATTCCAGGAGAATACAAAATATGGAAACATGATGGTGCAATAGCTATATCCTGGACTCCTGTGTTTGTGCCCCATCGCCACTTACATTGCAGTCATTAATCCAGACACTGCTCTCCTCCTCTGTGATATCCCTGTCAGTGGCACTCTTCAGCAGGCAGTCAGCACGTTCCTCCTGTTTCTGAACCGCCGTCACACACTGGCCATACAAGGACCTGTAGCGCTGCCATATCCCCAACAGGGCTTTACTGCTTCTTAGCTGCTCTGAGATCTGCTCTAAAAGAGAATTCCACCTAACACCGGAGAAACATATTGTTATGTCAGCTCAGGAGCAAGTTAATGATTTGAAAGTCATCAAGGTTGAAGATTGTGTTATCGTTGTATCTACTGTACCTAATGTTGACGCTCTGCAGGGCTCTGTTGAGTGTTTCCACCACAGATGGGTGGCACTCTGTCAGAAGCTGATGTGTAACAGAGCCAAACTTCCTCAGACTGCTCTCTTGCTTATCCATCTCTTCCTGTAGGTTCTGAAAAACACGGACCCCCACTAAAAGTTCATTTCATCCTTCGTGTTTTAGTTTGCAAAACACTACGTTTAAGATACACCATCAGCACTGCGTGGATATTTCTATTTACAATCAGTTTTTTTCATTTTTCCAAAAAAGAGAGGGACATTTATTTTCTGCCCTCCTCACCTCAAGACTCTCCACCTGCTGCTGTACAGCCTCTAGAGACCCGTTAAGGAGGTGCAGCCTGGACACAGAGTACCTCCCCTCCATCAGGTAACCATTTATCTCCTCTGAAGCCCTCCGGTACAGCGTCCACTGTTCCAACACCGACCGCAGGCTCACCTTCATCTGACTTATCTGAAGAAAAGTATGGGTCACAAAATCTGACTTAAAACCAAATGGGGACAATTAAGCATCAACCATGAGAAAAAGTGGTCTAAGAAGCTCACCATGTGGTCCAAATGAGCCCAGGATTGGCTCAGTCCTTTAAGGGTCTCCCTGACAACAGAGCAAGTGGCACCTTTCTTGTCCCGGATGAGAGCATTCGCTCGTTCCTCGGCTTTCTCTAGATCCTTCTCTTTTTCCTTCACTGATTCCTCCAACTCCTGCAACAACAACAAGTATATTTTTCTTATTTTTTTTTAGAAATATAGACATTATACTGTGTGTTGCATACATAACAGTGCTGTGTGGACGTGTACCTGACAGTCTTTAAGTGCACTTTGCACTGATGCTACATCCTCTATCCTGTGTCTCTTTTTCAGTTTCTCCTCCTGCAGAGTGAGCCACGTTTTCAAGGCCTGAACTCCATTTTCATGCTCCAACCAACCTTCCAAAAGTCCTTCCAAAACCTGAATCTAAATGCAAACATAATTCAGACAGTTAAAGAAACAGCAACAACAGTCAAATATTTCAGCTCTAAATCTTGTCTAAACTATGACAGAACCATTACCTTTTCCGCAATAAGCCCTTGTAATATCTGCCATCGTCGGTTCATGGCACCAAGTTTCTCAGCAAAATCAGTTTTGTCGCTGCGTTTTCCTTCAACATCCTGACTGCTGATCTGCAGCACCGACTGGTTCACAAAGTCCACAGTCAACTGCTTGCACGTTAGATCTATACGGAAACCCTGTGACAAGACAGCACAAGCGAGACATAATGAGACTGCGGTGAAGAAGAGGGAATGAGAGAAGAAAAGAGCAGCAGGAAGCTAATGGCTTTTAATAAAGTCCAGCTTGACCAGATTACTACAACTAACGTTTTGTACCTTATACTTCTGCAAGAAGTTCTGGACCACCTCTGAGCCTACAGCTCCCATGATTTTGTCCTGGTCTTCCTCGATGATGTTCTCCATGAGAGAAATCCAGCTCATCAGCTCAGTGATGGCGTGCCGTGATGCCAGTTTCTCCATCTGCAACTGAGGGATGAAAGCGGATAATGTGACAAAAGCCAAAAAGTGTTTCACAGAATCATCAGCTATGTTAATGCTTATACCAATACTTATACCAAATTACTTAAAACATCATTTACATTTTTCATTTTTTTAAATGATGGCAAAGAAATAGGATGTCAGTTGACAAGCATTAAGTACTGTTGTCAGACCTGGTGTAGCTTCTCTTGCACCACAGGAATTCGAGTCAGCAGCTCAGCCCACTGGGTGTCGATCTGACCCAGCGCTGTCCTGAGACCAGCCGTATCCACTCTCTTCAATCGCAGAAGTTGGTTGCCTGTGCTTAGCACAGATGAACGAAGAGACGACTTAGCATCCACCTCTTTGGAAAACTCCTGCCAAAAACAAAAAAAGTCAGTGGTAGAAGAAGAAGATGGTGGAATCAAACATATAGATGTTTTTATTAGGCCTGCAGTGATTATTTTATTGCTCATGTGATAACCAAACTAACCAGGAAGGCATAGAGGTGGTCTCTGACCGTCTCCAGCTCCTGAGGCACTGTCACTGACTGCGTTGTCCAGAACTCCAGCCGGTCTAGAGCCGACTGCAACCAGTGGCTCAACTCTGCGGATTCACTTTGGTATCTGAAATTTATTAAAGACGAAACAAAATAATTTAGTTCTGATTCTCTTTGTCTCTCAAACAGGATAATAGAAATTTTGTCTGATTCACATAGATACAAAAATGTATTTGACATTTGAATTCTGACGCACTGTCAAATAAAAAAACTCAGCCTATTATTAGAGCCTGACCTGCTCCAGTGTTTAAGCGTGGAGTCGAGGCGGTGCAACTCCTTGTTGACCTTGGTGGTGGAAGAGAGCCAGTGTTCTCCTAACTGGGTTAACTGGTTCTGCAGGTCTGAGCAGCCAACAGACAAAAGAAGCCTCTTGCCCGCCTCCAGTACCTGATAAAGCTGGGGCTGATGCTCCGTCAGACTGGCCTTCAGACGCTACATGATGCACAGATAGTTATTGAATAAGAAATGTCAAATACCCATCTTGTCACAACATGAAACCATTTTTTTTTCTAAATATGTGTTTATCAAGTCTGTATTAAATTCTTTACCTGATAGAGACTGATCCTTTCAACAAGTCTTTCCTCTGTTTCCTCCACCAGGCCTACAGTGGGGATGCTACACTCCACGGCCTCCAGTTGTCTACACAGAGCCTGGTACTCTTCCACAAGTCTGCTCCATGACTGTCATAAAGAGGAAAGAAAATAAAAGCTATTGTATTCTTTGTGGTGTTTAATGCAAGTTAACTTTTGTTAATCACAAACTCCCACCTCCAGGATGCCCTCCAGCTCCACCCCTCGCCTGTGGGCCTGTTTAAGCACACTGTGGGCCAAGGCCATCGTCTCCTCTAGGACCTGGTTTCCCCTCTGTGCCACCAGACCAGACACTTTGCTGTAAAACGTCTGGGTGAGGATCATATGGCATTCCAGATCATGGAAAAACTCCTGTATTCAAGGAAAACATGTTAAAAGAGACATTTTTGGAGGAAAAAAAAAAAGAACTCAGAGTTTCTGTAGAATGCTAACCCATTTGAAGACCCTGCTTACTTTGTGTTTGTCCAATAACATCTGAACCTCAATGACAGAAGCCACAGTCATCTTCTGATCGGCGGCCATCTTGTCCTGAGCCGTGTCCACCAGGTCTGTAAGGTCTTGAAGTGCAGCTTCATACTGAGCCTTGAGAGATAGGCCATGGTTCAGGCTGCTCCGTCTGGATCCAACCATCAGCACCAGTTCCTCATACGCATCCTGAACAAAACGATCAACAGTCAGTCATAAAGGATTGACGTGCTTGGAGGTTATGAGTCTTGGGGAACAGAGAGTTTAAAATGACCTGTAGTTTGAGAAACTCCTGGTTGGAGATTTGGTCGGATTGGAGTCCCTCTGCTCTAGTCTTCAGCTCTGCAACTCTCTGCTCAAACTCTCGCAGACTCTCCTCCACCTCTGATAAAGTCTACAAAAGATGCATAAATTAAATCAAACGTTCTTCAGAAAGGCTACTTGTGATTACGTTTTATGTCATGAATCCACCCTTGATTGGTGGGTGACAAACCTCTATCTGTTTGGATGCAGGTCTGTCCACAGTGCAAGCCATTTTCTGTAACAACTGGTGTTTACTTTCACTCAGAGCCGTGAAAAGCAACCTCAGTTCATTCTAGCAGGAAAAAAACAGAAACAATTCTCACACGAAGAAAGAGCAAAAAAAAAAAAAAAAAAAAGGATGCTTGAAGTTCAATTAAAATCAGACAACTGGCTTGACAGTCTTGCCACAGTACCTGGAAGCTTGAGTGCTCCTGCAGCCTGTCCCTCATGCCGTCACACTGTAGTTCCAGGGTGGATTCCAGCAGGCCCATCCTCTCCTTCAGACCCTCGAGCGTGTCCCCCATCAGGTCTCGCTCCTCACCTCCGCACATCAAACCTGCTCCTCCCCCAAGAAGGTCTCTGCACAGGTTTACCTCACTGGTCATCGCCTTCAGTTGTTTATGAAGACCCTGAAAAGAGGAGCTCATGTCAGTTACATACTTAATTAGCATATTCTATCCAGTATTTGCTAATTATTTACACCAGCATAAAGTGTCGAAAATAACCTCTATTGGCAGTTTAACCTACATTTGTTTTGCATTCATTACCTCTAGATTTGTAAGCTGTGTCTCTGTATCTTCAGAGAGCAGAACTGGACCAGAGAGCAGCTGATTTTCTGCAGTATCCAACCAGAAAGAGGCAGCTGAAACAGCAGCATACAGGTCCTGCTGGACTGTCGTACCTCCCATCAGTTTACTGTCACCATTTCCCGCCTGAACAGGGAGAACAAAGAACATTTTCTGAGTTATGGCCATCTGCTAGTAGAATTTTTGTTTTGGTTCTTTAACTTAATAAAAAAAAAAGGGCGTGGGAGATAAAACAAGGTAGAAAATGTAAGATTTACCTCTTGGGCGATTCTTTCCAGATTCTGGCTGCAGGATTCAAACAAAGCTGTGGGGGAACCAAAGTCCTGGCTGGCCGACTCGCCTCTGAACACCATACTAGGACTGGACAGGCGGGATCGGTGGAGGACCTGCACATGAGAGCGTCATATTGAAGACATATGAAGGTCAGAATTGCAGTGAACATAACAATAAAGGTGTAAATTTACACAAAAGGATGTACCAACATAATGAGTTTCGGACAAAAGAAAACATCACACACTTTACTGTTTTTAAAACAAAACCCATGATGTGTACCGGGCTCAGCTGGTCCTGTTCCAATGAGTAGAGGGAGAGCTTCAGCTTTGTGTTCTGATCTTTATTCAGGTTTTCCCAGCGCTGTCTCAGCTGGTCTAAGGGAGACAAGGACTCAGGCTCCAGCAACACTCCTCCAGGGACGGATATTTCACTGTCGAGATGTGAGGGGTGTTTTATCATTAGAGACTTCTGAATGTTGTTTGACCAGCAAGATTGAATCTAAATGTTTATCTAGTTTTTTTAAACCCACATACCAATCACAAACATACTCAAATGGCGAATGTCTTCATTTTGTAGAAGGAAAAGATAACCATGTGTGAGTAAAAAAAGAGAAGAAAGTACCTGTCCCCATTGGGTGTGGTCTGGCTCAGTAACTCTTCTCCGACACTGGCGACAGACTGGAGCAGCCTCCTCTGTTCTGCTACCTTCTCTTGCAGCTCCTGGCAAGACACCATAAAGAATTTAAGGCATCAAACTTGGATATGTCATCAGATTTGTCAAAGAACTATAAAATGGCCTTTAAATTAAACAGCAGTGCAAACTTCATTTCCCTCTCACCCTCTGTCGAAGTAGGTTGTCGTGGTGCTGCTGTGTTCGCGAGGATCTAGCCTGAGACAGCCAATCCTGGACATTAGGACTCTGGGAGAGAGATGTATCCGTCTCACTGTCTTCCTGCTCCTGCAATGAACCCTGGATTAAGACAGAAAAATGTTTTAACACTTACAGAAATGCTCAAACACTTTGTTGGAGGGGGAAACAACATGTTTAAAAAGTGGATAAAGGGGGGAGGAAGTTGCTCAAAGAAAGGAACACAGAACCTGGTCACATTGAGTCTGGTACTTATAAAGAGGTATATATATATAACCAATTCAATTATATATATATATATATATATATATATATATATATATATATATATATAAAAACCAATTCAGGTGAGGTCTATTTCATGAAGTCATTGTTTTTTGATAAATAAGGCCATGCTGAGATGTCAACCAAAATAAGTCCATATTCTTAAGTCCTTTTAATATAATGAACTGTATAATAACAATAAGAAGACAACAATTCAAATAGGGCAGTCGTAGTTCCTACAAAAAGCATAATAAATTGAGAATGAATAAAAAAAAATCATTATTTATAAAGAGACACTTAAGTAGGCTGTGAATAAAACAAGGGATTGTCTTCAGGAGAAAATAACTTTCAGTGGTAATTAAAAGATTTAAAAGGAAAATTTAGTTATTTTTTCAGAGAGGGACAAAACCACAAAGAAAAAAAATGGCCAAAAGTTGTGTCATCAGAAACACACCTGGTGCAGTAGATTTAGTGTTAGCATGTGATGAGGTAGCATCCTTTTGGCTGTTGTGCGCGTCCCATTGTGAGAGACACTGGCGCTTATTGTTTCATTGTGGAAAACAGTGGACTTTTATGAAGGAGCATGGCACGACCTTTAGTATTTGGACAATACTACCATTGATACTTTTACAAAGAGTCACATAATGCTGGACAGCACAACAGAAATGACACAGAGACAGGGAGGAAGGAAAAGGCTGGGTGATGGAAAAATGTGTGTTCATGTGTAGAAGGAGGAAACTGAAGGAATGGGACAAGTCATGGCAAGGATGACCACTGATCTCACCTGTATGTCAACTTGTTTGTCCTGTAGCATCTGCTGCAGCTCGAGCAGGCTGTCTTTGAGGGAGCGCAGTTTGAAGCTGAGTTGCTCCGCTTCTCCCTTGGTCTCAGCTCGACCCTCCAGCAGTAAGCTCTCGCTGTGGATGGACAGCTCTGACAGATACGACACTTTCTGCTCGATCTCAAACAGCATATTCTGAAAAGGCAAGAATTACAGTATGTTATAACCAAACTAGTAACCAACACAAAGTCCCAACTTCCCTTTTCTTCCCTGTTCCAAAGATCCACATGTCATCTTGTGAATTTTCTAACTCTATTCCAAGCTTACTCTGTTTTCCTTCAAAATCCTTCTCAGCATATCCCTCTGATTCTTCTCTCACATTTCTGAATGGGAGAAACAGGAGAAAAGAGACCCACCCCTTCAACGTCCGGCCTGTGTGCGTGGTTTGGTACAATTGAATGGAGGTGGAAAAGAGGGGGATTAAGGTTGTATCCCCTCCTTTCACACCAGGACACAAGGGCCCTTGGCCAAGATGGGGACGTAATTCTCCGGGGAGTATTTTTTTTCCTCAACAATAAAGCGTGCTGCTTTAGTACTCATGTCCTCTCTATTCAGTGCTGTCCCTATTTACTGGGAATGTATGACATCTCTATTCTCAACTCTTCACTTCCCGCAACATGCTGGTGACGATTACTGCTGCAAATTGCATTTTCAAATCTTAGTTTGTAGAGCGTGTTAAAAGGGTAACACTGTAGAAAGTAATACAGATTATATTTGTTAGATGAACAGGCCTATGAGATGATGAGCTGCTGAAAGTGTAGTGATTTCCTTGTTAGTTTAATTGCTTTTGATTCAAAACGACTATGTCACAAGTAAACTGAATGTTCCTCGCAGGAGCTTTAAACCTTACACAGCAAAAACCTTTTATAATCTAAACAAGTATTAACTACCTGTTCCCTGCCCCAGCAGATCAACATCCATTTATACCTTTCTCTCACCACTTTTTTTTTACCATATCCCTCTAACTTTAGACTGTACCTCATATTTGTGGTATAAATATACTGTATATATATATATTGCAATAAATAATCTATGCTTGCAGACAGTTTTCACCCCCTGCAGATGAGGATCCGCAGCAGCCGGATCTTAAGACTACAGCTCAACGGAAGCCATATGTGAGCTTTAATCAGCTTACGGACTCCTGGCTGCTACAACCAAACACACACTTTAAACACGTCTTTTCTTACTTAACAAACACCATTACTACATTACTGCCAGGAAGCCAATTAAAGAGCATCAGAGCGTGAATGTTTTTTTGTCATTTATTTCCATCAGTTTTTAACAAGTATTGTGTTTCCATAAAAAAGAGCTATACAGTACCAACACATTGTTTGAGCAGTTAATGTGTGTAATTATTCAACATAAATACTTTATTGCTGTATCCATCAAGGTGCATACACATAAAAGCTTTCTTCAGCAAGAGCCAGGAAAGTGTGAGTAGTCAGAGAATCAGTGGCAGCGGTTTAAAACTGCTGAACTTTAACTTCCCAGTTTAACACGGTCAATAAAAATGTAAAAAAAAAAACAACCTTTAGATCGTTTTCTAGGAAGCAGATTTGTGATCAATGATTTTCCACAAAAAATGAAACATAATCGAATACTTTAAACTGATGAATTAAATGATTAAAAGAAACATGTAATTGGTTTGTTGACCACTGAATCCAATTAGCCATAGAAGCTATTTACCCCAAAGGTAAAGATGGTGTTAGCATAGAAACTGGATGGCGGGGGGGGGGGGGGGGGAATGTTTAAAGACGAGTGCAGAAGATAATCAGGGAGAGATGCAGGGGTAGGACCCTAATCTTAATCCTATTGTCCTAATCTCTAAAAAAAATAAAAAAAAAAATAAAAAAAAAAAGGAGTCAACTTTGTAGACAATAGAGAACTCATGTTCTGTTTTCAACTTGTCCAATTCTCTGCACAAGTTCCCCTGGTTTTTGACTGGGCAGTTGATACGCAATTTAAATACTAAGAGCAACATAATACAGAGGGAAAGAACCCATTGATAGGCACTATTGTTGGAACAGTTACACGGCCAGATTCATACTTCAGCCTTTGATAAAACTATATCATCCAGTCTTACTAGAGCAGCGAGAAACACATAATCTGCTTTAAGAATAACTGTTACCCTAAAGAGTCTTAAGAAAACAGTTATAAGATAAGAGCAGAAACGTGGGTCTCACCTGACAGTCGGTGAGCTGCTCCTCCATGTCCAGGTCTTCGTTTAGGGGCTGCAGAGCGGAGCTCAGAGTGGCACGAGTGCTAAGTAGCCAGTGGTCGAGCTCTGCGGCCTCGCTGTGATAACGCTGCAGGGCCTGTTCCTGCCGCTGCTCTTCCAGCTGCTCACTTAGTTTCTCCTGCAGCAGTCAGAGACAGACAAGTATGATGTAGTATGCAGACTCAGGTTAAACTAGAGTTAAAGTATGCATATTGGTCAATCTAAATCAACTATGAATGCCAACCTCCAGTAGCTGCCGTTTCCCAGAAGCCTTCATTCGAATTGTTGCCATCCTTTCTCCCAGCACAGTGAGAGTGGACTGAAGAGCCAGCTGATCACCCGGCTCCCCATCGCTGTCGCTGTCCGCCAGCTCCTCAGAGAAACACGTCTGTAACTCACCGATCTCATCCTGCAGCATCAGGATCTCATCCATCAGAGCCTGGACCGAAAGCGATCAGAAAAGTGTCAGAGAGTTTGGAAAGTAAGAGATGGTTGAAAAAGTTGAACGTTTTCAGGAAAAAGGAAAAAAGATGGCAGGAAACAGCAATAAAAGAAGGATTGTTCAAATTGTCTGACAGCAACATTACAAATGGGAGCTGTACCCTGCTGTCAGTGTGTTGTTGGCATAGCAACAGAGGTCAGCAAGTGCCATGAAGTCTCGCCCATTCAACCATTGCCTCTCAGTTATTCTCTTTTGACCAAGAGATGTCTTCTGTCTGCCATTGATTTGACACTCAACACGTCCTTCTACTTTCAGGGTTTCAATCTATATTACACTCCACTTCCCTTTTCTTTCTCCAGCACACAATATCACTATTTCCCCAATACCTCCAATACCTCCCCTCTTCCCCCTCCTCTCCCTCCTCTCCCTCACCTGGTGTGCAGCCATCTGGCTCTCGGGGCTCTTGCTGGGCTCCAGGCTCTCATTGAGAGATCCCTCGATGGACTCCATCTTAGTGGAAATGGACTGAAGGGACTCCTGATAATGCTGCTGACGCTCCAGAGCCTCATACAGACTCTTCTGCTTCTCACTGATCTGTGGTAGGAGGGAAAGAGCGGAGAGAGAAAAAGAAAGAAAAAAAATGATGGCAGAATCAAGATAGAAGTTGGAAGACAAGTGTGTAAGAATAGTTGACTATAATAATTAATTTTCTTATGATTTGCAGTAGGTGGTTGGAGGAATAATTTGAATTGAAAATCATTTCAGTACTGTCATAACTGCCCAAGAGTGTCCTTAATTCTAAAACGTTATCCCTATTAAAATGTGAATTTTGCAGACAGTAAGGAATTAGGATCTCTAAGTTTAAATCCATCTCTAAAGCTGTTATCTCCTGGTCATGTCAGACTATTAAAGTAGATGCAGGAAACGTCTAGTTTTCGGCACTGAGAAATAACTTTTTCAAAGTTTTATAAGTGCTTTTATTTAGATCATAATTGTTGTGTTGAGACATACCACATTCTTTAGCGTTTCCCAGGATCTCTGCAGGTCGTCCAGGTTAGCAGAACTGGACTCCATGGATGGGTCATAGAGTTCCTGGAGAGGCGCTCGGCTTAGCGAACCTCGACCCTGTTTGGGGGGGAAAAATCACAGTGTGTGAGAGAGGGATGTACACCAAATGTTTCTGGTGTTACGTCAACATTATATATGAATATGGATTGCACATGTAGCACAGACAATAAGTAATGTAATAATAATGTATTATACACACGCTAAAACGAAATAGATGTGCTTTAAGAAGTACTACAATAAATACTTTTTATGCAATTATCAAAAGAGCCATGCATTTTGGGAAACATTTTTAAACTGAGATAGCAACTACACTTGGTATGCCAAATGTTATCGATTCATTGTCTCACATACTGTCACAGAAAGCGTATGGACCATAATGGAAGAATAATAGGCACTTTTTGTGACATGTGCGTCAGTTTTCTTTTGATGTTGAGGTCTGGTTGAGGTCAAATTACTGTGTAAGTAATTTTAAACTCTCTTCAATCCCCTTCCATAGGTCTCTTTCCAACTGCCTTTGACCTTATTGATTTTAGTCTTCTTTAAACAGCTAGGCTCACTGACACAGACACTACTGTATACACATTTTTCAACAGTAGATAAAGATCAATCACGACTTTTTCTACAGTATTTATCCCAGAAGAAACAAAGCGCAGCTGTATCACTACTCCATCGTTCTGAGTCATACGTGTGTCAAACACGTAGCTTCTTCGTGCTGACTTAGCCATGTTAAGTCATTTTTACCTCAGCAAAAAGCAAGTGGCAAAGAAATATATTTCAGCAAAGCAAATCTGCAAAAATAATGCTGATGGAAAAAAAAAAGGGAAAGCAGGGGCAGTGTAGCAACTCGCCAGCTGTTTGAAACATCCTTTGTGTTCATGGTGATGATGGAGAAGTCATTGTTTAATGATAGGAGTGAGGTGGTGCAGAGTCAACATGTCCATCCTAACTCTGCGTATTCAATAATAATACATCTTAAAGTTGTCTATTAATAGACGTAACAATACGATGGAATGTAGGGTTGACATGATACCAGAATGTAAAACTTCAAACAGTAATGACATCTGTTTTGGACATTGCCAACAAAAACAGACAGACAGTACTCTCTCCATCTTCGGGTTGAACAATGTGACTGAAGATCTGTAGTTATTTAAAGCTTCAGTACTTTCAATACTGTTAATAATTTAAAAAAACTGAGATGATATCGTTTGAAAAATGTTATCAAAAAGTATCAAAAGTAAAAGCATCAATATTGGAATTGGATGAATAGTTAACTTCTCACCATATATGGGTTATACAAACATCTTTGAGGCACTTACACTGTCTCAAAAACAGTGACAAAGCTCACTCAAGTGGCCTTTATTTCACAAAGAAAATAAAAAGGTAATTTTGGGTCTGTGTCTCACTAAGATGGACATATTTTGCTGCCAAGGTTAAAGTTGTCTAATGATGATGTTAGATTAAGAATTTGAGATGTTAAATAGAAATCTGGCTGTGTTAATGTGTAAGTTGGGGGTGAGTCACAAGGACGCTGGCGAGCTCTGGAAGTAACACCAGGGTGGGGTTTGCAGTACCTGGTTAAGAGGAGTGTCAGCGTTAGCCCCTGGGGAGGGGGAGCGGCAGGCAGGGGGAGAGGAAACTTCGCTGTTCGTGCCCTCTTCCCCTGACTCCTCGGTCACAGGGGAGAGGAGCGTGTGGCAACGGCCGGCTGTCATCTGACCCGCATACACCCCACGCAACAAAATCACACATCAGGAGAAGCAGGTGGGGTACCAAACAGAAAAGGCCCGGATCAAAGGGGTGAGGAGGCAGCCGGGGGGGGGGGGGGGGAAGAAGAGAGAGAAGAAGAGGAAGCGTTAAAATTAACAGGGAAGTGCAGGTTAGGCAGATCGCAGTTAGCATATTACTGATTAATTGGGCTGTAAGTCATCAGATAACGCTCAAAGAAGACCAGTGAGATCGCATCGCAGCGACAGACCTCAAACTCTGCAACACGTTTGCCATTGTACAGCATTAAAAAGAGAGACCTCATTTACAGCAGCATCGCTCTGTGCAAACTAATGGACACACTCTGGAGTCCACTGTTGGTGAATAAGCCACACTGATTTTATCAGGGGATGTATCAGGGGAAAGGAATGGGCATTACCAGGAAGTTAAAAGTTACACTTAAGCACACAGACTAACACTGTTCACACCACACACATCATTCTCAGACATGATGTAGAGTTGCAGTTTCAGAACCACAGTCATTTCCTTTCCCTTCCTGACAGCCACCACCAAGACGCGCGCTTAGTATTTTTGAAACTTTTAACTTTAAGCTATGTGCTATGTTTTGCCAGGAATGTTTCTCTTTGCAAACTTGACTGTTTGTACAGTGTGGCAAGTGATATTAAAAGTAAAAAGATCCAAAGATATATAAAGGCAAACTCTTAAATAAAGCCTAGCTAAAGCATACCATGCTCCACATAGACTGAATTAGCAAATACAGCTGCAGCAGCTGTCCTAGAAGTAGCACAGTTGTCTGTGTGCCTGCATGCTTCAGTAGCGAGGCAGAGCTGAAATGTGAGCCAAACCCAACTGGGCCTTTTTTTTGGCAGTAAATGCAGAGCTCTGCTGACTGACTGAGGGCCTTTTTATTTATACATATATTTAGGACTTTCCCGGGCTTTATGATGCAATACAACGCAACAGAAAGCATCAGCACACCGGCATTGTGTGGGAAAATCAAGACTATTCACAGTTAGATTAGTTAGACACTGAACAGTACTGTTACAACTACTGCTAACAATGACACAGAGCTAAATATGCTTACAGTCACAAAACAAGCAACAGCCCTAGCAACGTGTTCCCCACACAAACCTTTCAAGCTCTGCTCGTACACCATCACACACAATTATACAGTAATATCCTGTTTCCTGTCCTGTTAAACCCATACAGACCACAAACAACAGCAGCGGCAAGGAAGCAAAGCAATCTGAATCAGAAACAAAGTCACAGAGGAAGAGACGGTCTCGAAGGCGGTTTTCTTATGTGCCAACACAAGAAAAAAAAGATCAGGCCATGTATGATATTCTGCAGCCGTCAGACAGATTCAGGCTAATCTGAAGCTCAGTGAAGTGACACAGCACAGTGTGAAGGCAGTAATACACAAGAGGAAACAAGCCAAAATAGTAACACTAGATGTATGAGGGAATGAAAAGACAACTGTAAAAGTTATTTCTGTGCTAGACAAAAAAAAAAAGTGACACGGCGAGAAAAGGCAGCAGAGCAGCAGAATAACAGAAGGGAGAAAAGGTGTAATATAAACTTAGAATTCTAAAAGTCAAGGCCCACCACAGGGTGCACACTGCTCAACTTTACACTCAAATAAAGCCAGAGGCTCACATTTTGAAGATTTGAATTTGAATTGAACCTATACAACTTAGTCAGCTGTTCCTGGAGAAATAGAAGTAGTAAAGCAAAGCCTGTAATCATAGTTATTATCCTCAGACATCCTTTAATTTGGCAAAGCTGGAGTAAATTATTGTTAGTTGAAGTGTGGACACTCCTAAATGGCCTGAGAGGGAGCCCTGAGGTTTCTTGCATCCTTTGAAAACTAGTGGTCTGAGCAGCAAGAGACACAGACAGATGCTGCACATGCATACACACTAACAATGAGCAAGGCGACACACAGCCACGCCATTTGTCCAAAACATGCTTTGCCACTCACCATGACAACAGAGGGGTGTGCTGGAAGCTGCTTGTGTTGGAGGCGGTGTCATTAGCAGCCACGGTGCTGGGCAGCTCCTCATCACTCAGCTCGTCCATGCCGTCTGAGAGGCCCTCCACCTCGCTGACCGTCAGCAGCATGGTGGCGTGTTTGGCCTTCACAGTCAGCATCTTACACTTGGTGTGGAGCGAGGCAATCTGCTCCTGGTAGCCACGGATCTTCTGGGCCAGCTCCTGTCAAAACATCCCCCCCAAAAAAAGCAGAAAACACCACCACCCCCAGGGTCAGGGAGAGTGTGGTTCAGTCCACAATAGAAGATCAATAGTTCCTGGTTGAAAGAATCCTGGGCTGAGTTCAGCTTTGAGTGTGATGCCGGTGTGAGAGGAGTAAGTGGAGTGAACGCATTCTCTTCCTTTGCCGGTCTGTTACTTTTGGCTTCACAGTGTGTAAACGTAGAAAGAGAAAAGCAGTGCCTCACTCTCTCTCTCTCTCTCTCTCTCTCTCTTTTCTCTCTGGCTCTCTCTTCCGTATCTCTGAGCCAATCAGAGCTGCACAAAGGCGGGTGGCTAAGAGCAGCGGTGGAGCCAACACACGGGATGTTTGGTTGAGACAGAGACCCTCGCAGAAATAGTTCAAAATCCCTCAGACACTCCCTCTCGCACACATACACAATTGGCAAGAAAAAAAAACAGGAAGTGATCTCACTGCCTACAACAACCACCCCCCCCCTCCCCTCCCCTCCCTCTGCCTGACGCTTCCCTCCTCCACCAATCCTCGGGGCAGATGCCTTTCAACAAAAGAGACTAACTAAGGAGAGAGGGAGTGTTTAGAAGGGAAGAATGACATACACGGTGTCAAATTACAACCCTGGTATGAGCCGGCAGGCCAGGGTCCAGCTCCTCCTTCCCTCCTCCTCCTCCTCCTTTGGTTTCTCCTCTCTCTGTCCCGCAGATGGTCAATGCACTGATAATCAGGTCACGTGACTAACCGGGCCAGTGGACTTGCAGCTATCTGCTCAGCTTAGAGATCAAGCTCAGACATAAACACACAACCATGCCAAGCCACTCTGCAGCACTGGAGAGACTGCAGTGAGCAGAAGTGATATTCAAACAGCTAGGCATGTATCGTCTCTGAGATAAAATCAGACCAAACCACACAGAAAAAGTTAGAAAGTAAAATAAATAAAAAGATGTGTTGCCTCTGGGGAGATATGATCTGTTTTTCTGCAGGTATTTGCCTTTCTCAGCATTGCCAACCCCCTCCTTGCCTTCCTCGATCTCTGTCTCTGCGCATGGGAGAGCAAACGCACCTACTCAGCAAAGTACAACTGCAACTGGAAGTGCAGGGCTTGTAAAGCGCACCATCTACACTGCACCAAACAGGAGTCAACGCAGATGTTGTATTTTCATGTACCATCAGATAAAGAGGGAATGTGAGTGAGATAGGCTTGTAGGGACACAACAACACGATAATCTCCCAGAATATGGTGGCATTGTTCTGAAAACAGAATTTCTGTATTTTTTTACAACAACTTGAAGCCTATAGTTGCAATAATTTACCTACTAAATTACACACAGTTAAATTAACAGGATTTTCAAACCTACTCCAAAGTAAAAAGCAAACCTTCTGCTGCCCTTGCCTCTCTTTTAATGCTTTTTTTTTTACATTGCTACAAAGATCAGGATATATATATGCTCAAATGTCTCCTTCCTGTCTTGTTTTTGGCTCTTTAATTTGATGTTAAGGGAGTTGTTGAGGCAAGTGACAACAACAAAAAAGCCCCAGTCATACTGTCATCAATATACAGGTGAAATATTCACAAACAAAGTTAATGTTTTTCTTTTTTTCTTTTTGTTTCAATGGCTAACTTGTCAGGACAGATTTAAAACAGTAATAAAATTGAATCTTAAAGTTATATTGCCTTGAGTGGGGTTTTTTTACGGGCCTGTTTTTATGTTCAGACATGGCACCGTCTCTTTGATTACTGAAAATCCTTATAGTCAAGCATACAATGACAATTTCACTTTCTTGTATTGTTCATTGACTGTTGAAATTGTTACTGAAACTTGCAAACAAACCACTTTGAATTGAATTGAACTTAACTGATACTTTAGAAGAAGGCATGCCTCTAATCAAGTTGTCACCATTTCCACCGACAACACCACTACTGACTACCGTTGGTACATAAATACATTTTATTCTGAGTTTATTGTTGTAGAATTTGACTGGCCTGCATAAAGCCCTGACCTGACCTTAAACCCATCCTACAGCCTTGAGTTGAACTTCAGAGACGTCGGCCTTATGGCCAAACATCAGAAGACACTAACACTATTCATGTATGAACGGGGGAAAGCCCTGAAGCCTTCTTCCATAATCACACTGAAACAATCATTCAGAACTGTTACGGCTGTTTTAGCAGCAAATTAATGTCCATAGCTTTGGGAGGATATGTTTAAACCGCAAGTGGGTGGGATGCTTGCGTGTCATACTTATAATTCAATAAATAGCAAGAAAGACATGTGCTTTTTCTGACCTCATGGTGGTGTATTTGAGCCTGAAGTTCCTGTATGTTGCTGGTGGAGACGGGCCGATCTTGAATGATGCGGTGAGCCTCTTCTATTAATCTCTGAAGGTTCTTTACTTCCTGTTCATACTGCTCATACTGCACCACGGCCTCCTGGGAAAGAAAAGCACAACAAGTCAGGGCTCAGGGTCCACCTTTAAAAAAATAAAAAAAAGTTTTCTAAATTACTGAACTGAGGAGAAATTATAATATTTGCTCCCCTTCCTCTGAGGGCAAAGGTTTAATGTCAAACACATATTTGTCTGGATGGAGTGATTTCTTGCCTATCTATGTCACAATTCTTCTACTTTAAGTTAAGTTTCTTTTGATAGCATTTGTAATATTGTAGTTATTAAAGGAGAAATATGTAACTCTGACACGTAGTGTTTAAAATGGGTACTGCAGTCCAAATTCAGAGAACCAGTTATATCTGAACCAGTTCGCTTGCCCACTTTCATCACTGCAACCCCTGTTGGTTTCGCTGTTTGCCTGTTTGCAAACTGAGGGGCATCCAAAACGGCCGTGTGGGGGTGTATTTAAGCCGCCTACCTTCTCTGGTCAAAACAAATACAGACGATTCAGGACATTCATCAAAACTTAGAAGGAGGACATACTGGCTGCTGCATTGTTGCCAGAGAAGCCAGCACTTGCATGCAAAGCAAATAACACATGGCATGTTTCCTTCATGTCTAATGTTATAGTTAGTCAGTTAATTTTATGATTTAATTCAGTAACATCTCACACTTTTGATCTGAATATGTATCTGGAGGCTTTTCTACGCCTTCATTTAGAGAAAGGAAAGTGGATAGAGACAGAAATCGAGGACAGAGAGAGCGGGGAATGACATGCAGGAAAGGAGCCACAAGTGGGATTTGAACCCAGGCCACCGATTTAGAGGACTACAGCCTCTGTACATGGGGTGCTTGCAATAACCACTACGCCATCAGCGCCCCTGCAGTTAGCTTTTAACTTAACCCTTAGCCAGACCGTGTTGACTGATTCATTGTTTTAATTCTTAGTTGATTTATTAAAACAGTGTTTTCCTCCAGACTGTCTCTGAAGGTCTCTTGCTGTTTCTCTAATGGCTTATCTTTACTACAATGAGCTTAAAAGCACAAACAGCCCAGAACCAAAGGATTGGAGGATAACACTGGTCCAATGGGGCTCAGGGAAATCAAAGGCATCTAGAAGGAGGGAAGGACACTTAGGCCAGATTAAGAACAATTACAAACTACTGTTCATGGTATAGTCCTATAACTCATAAATACATTTAGAAGTTAAAAAACACAATATGTCAGTGACATTTGATGAACAGCCTTTCCAAAATGAGGAGTGCATTATACCTGCAGGATATTGCACTGCTGGATGGTGGTATGCTGCAGTTGGCTGGCCTCCTGCTGCAGAGTCTGAGCTGTGCGGCAGACAGGCAGGCCGGCCACTACCTCCTCTGGAAGCCGGAGGGCGCTCTGACACTGCTGTACTGCCGCTACCTGCTGCTTGAAGCCCTCCATTTCCACCAACAGACGCTTAGAAAGGAAAAAAGGGGGACGTCAGAGATCGAGGACAAACTGTTTCTCGTGGTATCAGACATTATCATGTTCATATTATCCTCTTACAAGTTTGCAGTGTCCATGTATATCCTGTACTGTGTACATTCTTGCTATTTGGCTGTCCAATGCTTTAACTGTTTTAAATAATTAACTGGTTATTTAAAAAAAATGTAGAGTGTATAAATTACCTGTCTTTGTGTGAGCTGCTCTCGGAGACTAAGTCTGTTGAGGTCTGGGGAGGCGAGTGTGACCTGGATCTGGTCTACAGCAGCATGGAGGTTCTTCACCTCTGCCTCCAAACGCAACATATCCTGAGAAGTGACCCAGACAGACCAAACAAATCAAAGGAAAGCAAATAAAATGAAACAAGGTAGTATTAGCAGCTAATTCTTTTAGTACTGCAATAACAGCCACATTATAAACCTTTCATACACGTTTGATTAATCCAAAAAATGTGTTTTCTGATATATAACTGCTTAAAGGAATAAGGGTTAAATGAATATACATTTCCATTAATATCAACTATTTTTATTGGTTTGAGATATAAATAAAAACGATAAAATAAAATAAAAACTTTTCCAATTAAACAATGAATTTGCGTTCTGTAGTTGATCTTGGTTTATTTCAAGTGAAAGGATACTTAATCACCGCAAACGAAGGTTGTGCTATGTCTACAATTTAGATTGAGAAAAAGTCCAATCTCACAGGGGGAAAAGAAAACAGATTTCCAAACACACAATGTCATTAGCAACAATGAGCAACAGACTGTCATCTGTGTACCAGCTGCAGAGTAATCAGATTAGCGTGACAGATTACTGCAGAACAAACTAAAACAGAGCATTCCATCATGATGCCGTAACAGTAGGTAAATGACCACAAGGAGGCACTGTTGGATTGTAGCTCTTACGTTTTTTTATTGTGCACCAAAATGTTTGCACTAAAGAACTACAATTTGCTAAATTACTGAGGATTTTTTTCTATCAGAGTGCACTATAAACATTGATAGAGAAGTTGATGTCAGATACTTGAAAGCTTTGATTCACATCTACCTTTGCAGCGTCCTGCAGACTTTGGAGGCGAGTCTTGGCAGTTTGCTGTAGCTCCTCTGTGCGTCTGCTGAGGTGCTTCACCTGCTGGATCCACCCCTCCGTCTGCAACACCTCCCCCAGCTGCCCCTCCCTCTCCCCCATGGCCTCCAAATCACCATGGAGACCCCGACACTCCCGCAGCAGAGCCTATTAGCAAAGAAACATAAATTACAAGTCAAAGACAATTACACAATTTAAGGCCGGCCAACACACTGCACAGTGTGATATTTCACTGAAAATCAAAGTATGGCATGAACCTAACCGTCAATAAATTTGAGGTTGTCTTCAGATATAGTGGGTTAAATGTGGGTGTTATTATTTTTACAGAAAAATACATTTAAAAACAACCAGAACCTAATTTCTTTCAAAAGTTCTCAGACATCTTGAAATCACTCCCTGCAGAGTGGCTCATTAAGACTCACCTGATGTGCTCGAATTTGTTCTTGGAGCTGGGAGGCGGAGCCCCAGATGATGCTGCAGCTGACCAGAGTCTCTGCCTTTTCTGCCCCAGCCCGAAATGAACACCTTCATACCCTGATAATCCTCCGCCTGTCTTTCTGCCTGCTCACAGATGAAACAAACAAGAGCAAAAAGACAGACGAATGAATGCAGATGAAAATTAATCACAGAATCACGTAGTATTAGTCACTAGATACTTCCTAAAGCCCTTTTAAAATCTGTTTTGTTTTTTGTCTTTTTCTGTCTGATTAATGCCTACCACAGAAGAGGTTAAAGTTGAGTTAAGTTGAAATCCTGCTCATTGTACAAAATATCAATGCTGTTCAATTAGGCCAGTGCTTCTCAAACTGTGGGGGCGTGGCAACATGAAAGCAGGCAGGTGGCTCTGGAAAGGGCGTGGCTGAATGGGCAGGGCACTCCTTGAAACCTGATTAGCCAACTCAGATGCCAAGCCAAAATCCCAAATATGATTGGCTAGTTGCCTAGTCAGAGGCGGGATTTATATTTATATATATATATATATATATATATATATATATATATATATATGAGCTGTATCACAACAGGCTGCTCAAAGCACTTTGTTGAGTTCATTTTCATAGTTTAGAAAATATACACAGGAAATTAAAAATATTTTAGAAACTTTAATATTAATAGAAGATATTATAAGTGGATATTGAAAGGTAAATAAATGCTATTTATTCTTTTTTTTTTTGCACATAAAAACATAATGGGTTACCATTAAGCATTTTACCATTGTAGGTACTCAGCGTAACATTTTTCCTTCTCAGAGGGGAGCATGACAAAGTTTGAGAACCACTGAATTAGGCACACAACACTGGGAACTTGTCTCCGTCTTAAGGGAGGTCTACATGGTGTAATAAGCTGAATAGAGATTTTACCTTCCTCAGCCTGTTAGCTCTGTCCTGGACCTGCTGTGTGGTTTGGCGCTGCACCTCTATCAGCTTTGCCACAGCGTCGCCCAGCTGCTTACAGAGGAGGGGGTTCTGCTCTCCAAACTCCTGCACTGCTACTCCTAACTCCAGCAAAGAGCGAACACAGCATTCACACTCTTCACAAAGGATCTGTAAGAGAAGAGAGGAGTGGGTTTGGAAAGTATGAAGGGGATGTGAAGAGGGAGGAGAAAGAAGGAGCATGATCAGACAAGGGGGGATTAAATGTGGGCGTAAACTTCAGAGTGGACATCAGTTAACTTTACATCCCATGTGGCTATCTCTGTTCGTGCCAGGTCATTTAGGGGAGAAGGTTATTGCTTACTTGCTTACTTAAAAGAGCAATGCTAACACTTTCCTGTTAGTATCATAAACATAAAGCTTCAGCCAGCAGAGGCTGCAGGCAACAAAAACAGTCTAACAACACCTCGACGTATTGTTTCTCATCTGTGGTTGCACATGAGAAAAATGATTTATTTGTGTTCTTTAGAGGTGCTGCTAGCTACTAGGTGGAGTATTTCAATATATGACTCCAGGCTTTGTACATCTAGAGATGACCAAAGGAGTGAGGGAAGAAAAAAAGTTAAGGCATCAAGAAGGAGAACAGGAGGGAAGGGGCTCGCTCTCCCAACTGGAATACCCTCTCTCAGAAGTGGGTCACTGTTGAAGGCTGAATTCAGTGTACACCATTCCAACTCTCACACACTCATTAACCTCAACATCTGCAAAATGAATAGCCAATTTAACAGGCGTTAATTGCTTGCTAATTAGTCAATCTGTCTGGTTGATTACTTTGGTCTCTTCTTTGGCCTCGTCGAGGTCGGCACTCTTGTATTCCAGTTTCAGAGCAATGGTCTTCAGCTTCGCCTCGATGTCCTGGAGTCTGGAGCTAAAGTCCTCTTTCACATCTCTTGTCTGCTGCACCTCCCTTTCCCTCGCCTGGACCTACATTCAATGGGAGAATAAGACATTAAGCTTAATCAGTCAAAAAGCATAACCCTTATTTGAAATGCTAAATGATTAAAGATATTTTAGCATGCACTCTCTTGAAAATGTATTTAAATTTGCAAAGCAGTCCAAGTACTGGTGGGTAAATAACAAGTACATTCTATACACAGTGAATTTACATATTAGAAAAAGTTGGAAATATTTAAAAGGTGTTGGTTACATTTTTGTATTCCAGCAAAAAAAGAAATACACACAATCATGTTCATAACACAATGAACACTTAAAACAGTTTAATTCTGGGCTATAAGGCACAAAATGGACCAGAAACAACCTTTTGACACAACACACACAACTGTAGTCAAGAGGGGTCACCTGATCTTCAGCAGAGCCAAGAGCCAAAGCCACCTCAGCCAGCTGCATGCTGAGCTCTGACGGCAGACCAGCCTGGAGGTCCTGGTACTTGGTCTGCTGCAGTTCTGTCATGCGCTCCACACTCTGGCGCCTGCTGATGACCTCACCATGTGCCGTCTACAACATAAAAAACATCACATGAGGAGCTGCAAATCACAGTTTTTCTCTGCTATAACAAGGCACTACATCACATGCTCAAAGCATATACCAATCTTGTTAGACCGGGTCATGTATACACAAAATGGTGTACCTCTAGCTCCTCCAGCAGTGAATCCAGGTCTGCAGTGGGACTCAGAAGTAGGCCCCGAGTGTCTTGGATCCAACCTTTGACTAAGCCCAGTTCCTTTTCGACCTCCTCTCTCTCCCTCAGTTCCTGGTGTACCTGGGCCCTGCTGGCTTGCACTCGCAGCAGGAGGCTGGACAAAATAGAGCGGTGAATAAATCATATGAAAATGGTTTCATTAAAAAAAATGATGTTCCTCTTTTTTATTGGTTTCTGTCCTTGCATGTAACTGGCAGCTCCCCTCCATGTGTGATGTTAAAATAAAAATGTAATGTGTAATCAATAACAGTTTGAATATGTGGTTCATTCTTGATTACTTACCAGTCATACTGCTCCTGCATGCTTCTGATCTCTTGTAAGCAAGGTGTCTCCTCGTGCCCATTTGCAGTCTTCTTCTCCTTCTGCTCCTCCTCATCTCCTCTGAGGCTGCGAGTGTGTTGACCCAGCAGAGCAAGGATGGACTGCTCCCGCTCCACCTCCAGCATGAAGGAGTCGTGATACTCCTGGAGGCTCTGAAGCGCCGCCCTGGTGGCTGCCTTCTCAACCGTGCTGTCGGGGACGCGACTGTGGAGGTCTTGGGACACTGAGCGAACCTTCTCCATCTGAGAAAGGGTAAATGATTAAAGATAAAGGAAGATGCAGAAGATTTATGTTCATCATTAATTGATTATCCTTTAGATAAAATACCATTCAGTTAGGTATATGCAACTGTACATAGGGATCACACTTTTTCACTGAACAAGTGGAGTAGTTGAAATGTGCAAAAACAGCAAAAACAGAAAAACTTTAATTTTACCCGTAATCTTTCAAAGTTAATCTTCAGATATTCACTGTGATAGTCACAGGCAGAAACACCAGCGTTACAGATGCAAATGCAGAGAATGACATCATGTCCAGTAAGAACAAAGGGGCCATAGAAAACCAGTGGACAACAGGAAATATGCCACATATGCGGAAGTGAGCACCATTCCTTACAGTTTGACCTAATTTCCTATTAAGAAGCAATGGTTTGTGGGAATTCATTGGAGCCTCACACTTGAAATGGTTCAAAAAGCAACTTAACCCTCGGTGTTTTGGCAGGAGGAACAACTGGACTGTAGCCTGAAGTTACATCACTGCACACTGACTGCTTTTCAGTTGTGCTGTGTTTGACCTAAATGTGCGGAGGCAAAAATAACTTTCTGAACTTTGTTTGTGGGCTGTAGTGTCATGTGAGAATAAAAAAGCTTGTGTGGGCTGCTGGCAAGCTAAAAGTTAGTTTTACACTGTATATTTTTGAAGCACACTCAGCCCACATACAGAATGCACTTAAGAATGGAGAGCAAACACACACTCACAAAGGAAACCATGTACAACAGGAAAAACAGATTTTTTTTTGCATAGTATTATTATCTCTTGTAACATTTCCTACCCGCTCAGTGAAGTTCCTCCACTCCTTCACAGTGTCCTCCAGTGCCCTCTCCTGGGCCCGGGACACACTGCGAAGCCGGGTCCACCTGTGCCACAGAGAGGACACTGAGTGGCTGATGACAGCTTTGCTGGACTCAGAGATGATCTGCTCTAACTCTGTTGCATTCTCCTTTAAAGCATTCAGAGGCAATTCCAGCAGGTCGACGTGAGCCACCAGAGACTGCAGCCAAAGAAGACAACAGTCATTTTTCATGAAGCAGTCTCCTGAATCATTTATACCACAGGGAAAAAAAAACTGTGCAGACACACACAAATGAACAAGGAATAATGCATTAATACTCCACTGATTAAATATTAATGTGCATCTGCTTCCATGACAAGAACAAATATGGGAATTTATCACAATATCCATGAGGAACAAAGCACATGCAAGTTGGATAATGTCTATAAACATCAGATACATTTCTTTAAAGGGATCTCAGTTTTTTTTTTACGATTGTTAAACAGTATCCTACCTTGAATCTTTGACACTTTTCCTCTGCCTGGTGGACACTGATAGCTTTAGCGGTGGTGAACATGGACATCTTGATCTCTGTGTCATTCATCTGTTCAACCAGTGTTTCTTTTTCATGTTGGACGGAGGTCCAAAGTGTTGCACAACTAACAAAATTAAACAAATTATTTTTTAGTGGAGATTTATCATTAGCATTAGTAATTTGTGGACAGCACATGCCAGATGTGTATATGTATGTTACTTGGTTTCAAATCAACATTCATACACACCTCTGAAGCAATTCTCTGTTAGCATCCAGTTGCTGTTCAACTTCTCTTTGTCTCAGGTGCATTGCCTCAACTTTTTCTCTAAGTTCACTCATTGCTTCTGCTTGCACAAATTCCTCCAGTAGAGGATCCAAAGTTCTCAGCTCCTCCAAACCAGCTGTGGAGTTTTTTTCCTGGGCTGAAATCTCATCCAGGCCTTGCACACAATCTGTCTGGTTGTCAAGCTCCACCCCTGAGCTGGACCTCTGGAGCACAGCTGCAACAGAGTCCATCCATGTCTGAACGCACTGCAGAGATAAGTGGTACCTCTGGACCAAGGCAAGGGCTTGATCCACAGCCAGCTAGAATATGCAGAGGATGATTTAATCAACTTCAGTTTTTGATACCTACAATATGAATTACTGCATAAAAATGAGGTTGGATTTGCATGCCTAATCATTACACCATGCATGGACCTGGCAGGTAAAAGAAAAAGAAAAAAAATTCTAGTTTAAGACCATGTAATTTGGGATTTTAGATACATTTTATCAACCTTTTCCTATAAAATTCTCTGTGGAGAATTGAGTGAACTCTATGATCTCCTTTTCTCTCTTTTGTTATGTGGAAAGGCTCTGCTATGCTGTAATACTTATTTCTTGTGCTTTATTTTAGAGATAGGACAGTGGAAAGAGTTGGAAATCTGGGAGCGAGAGAGAGTGGGGAACAACATTCTGAAAAGGAGCCACAGGTCGGATTCGAGTGCCCTGCTCTTGAGGACTTAAGTTTCTGTTAATGGGATGCATGCACTAACTGCTAGGCTAACGTCACCCCCGGCTGTTATACTTCTAATTATAATAAAACTTAACTGACTCTTTTGGATATGGCACTTAAACATATTCTATGTTATAAATTAATAATAACACAAGTTCTTATTCAAACTTCATGAATCTCTTGAACTGTCTTTTGAATGTTTCAGCTTCCCTAGGCTTTTAAATATTAACATTAAGGGCAAAGAGGGGAATGAAAATAATATTAAGTAGGTGTGAGCCATGAATGAAGGATTAGATCACTGCTATACAGTATTTGGATATACACTTTCCAAAAGCATTAGTTCTATAAAAGTTATATTCAGATTAAAATAGATATGGAAATGAGGGGATGGGACTGGACCCTATGTCAGATGGAATCACACTTAAGTATTCATATATCATGAAAAACACAACAAGTTAGCTACTACAGATATCTTGGTGTACACATAGCTGTTGAGCTTGAAAGCCCATGTTGATCATTTGTGTTCTTATTGAAAATAAGCAGTGCAGGCAATGGGATGCCAGCACTGTATGGCCTCTCAAAAGAAGAAGAAGAATGCTTCCTTGGTTGTGCAATAGCGTCATGGTGTTCTTATCTTCTCCTCTTAATAATGTTGGGTTTTGATGTGGATCTTGTGCAATATGGATAATGTGCAATGTATGCTCCTTCTTTTGTTGGTATGTGCTTCTAATGTGGATTGTGCTTGTTTCTATGTATTGACTGTGGAGGCAGCTAAATTTGTGCAGCACTCAAGGCCAAGACAAATTTCTCCCTAGGGGACTATGAAGTGTATTGCACTGTATCATATCATTTCATATCGTACCCTACCCTATTGCATCACATCGTAAAACAATCAAATGTTCCTATGAATGAAATTTACAGATAAAAGTAGACAGACTCACCAGTTTTTTGCTGATTCCTTGTTGAACTTCAGCGCTCAGCTCTGCCAGCTCCTTCAGCTTCTCTTCTACGAGGTCAGGAACAGCTTCTTTTCTACTACAATACCTTTGCTTTTCTCTGCTTCCCAAGGCGTCTCCTATTCTCAATCTACTTTTCATTTCCTCTTCCACCATCTTTATCTTGCACTTCTCCTCACGCACTCTCTCAGTTTTGACCTCTTCAAGGGTCAAAGGTGCCTCTGATTCGTCCTTGATAGTCCTCAGCCATTGCAACATTTTCCCCATCTCTCCGAAAAATTCTTCATTCTTTCTCACTTTTGTTTCACTTTCCTCAACAAAACATTTGACTTCTGTTCTCAACGACTGCAATGATTCGAGCCGCAGCGTACTTTCCTGTAAGGCAGCAGGGTCAAACTTCAGACCAAGGCCTTTAGTTTGTACGTTACATTCTTCAGCCTCAGAGCTCACACAGTCCAGACTGTCAAGCAACAAATAAAGATTTGTGATTTTATCAACGGCACCTGCTTTTGTGTCTGACTTCAGTCTGACCAGCTTCTCTTTCACAGATTCTGATTCTGAATCAACCCTGTTGGATACTCTATTGTGTTCAACTACAGTTTTCAAGCATTCATCCAAGTGTTTCATTTTCTGATCATTTCTCCTTTTCAGCGTGTTATAGACACTAACCAGCTGCTGTGTCTCCACGGCTCTGTATTGCTGCCCACTACTTAAAAAGCCTTCGTTTTTACCATGAAGTTCTCTCACAGCGGGGCAGATATGGAATAAACTTTCATTAATAGTTTTGTATTTCATTATTAGTTGAATAAATTCATCCTCTCTAATACTGATAGTCTGCTTCTCCAGATTGTCAAACTGCTCCTGAAGCTCCTCCAGTGCATTACGAGTTATATCGAAGAAAGTGCTGAACTCTTTTCGCTCTAAGATTAGTTGTTGGACTCTGTCTTTTTTCTCTTTGGCTAGAGCTAGGATGGCGTTGTACTGCTGAGGCAGAGCATTGAGCCTCTCGTCTAGGTAGCAATGATCGATCTCGTTCAAAGTGGGGAGGATCTCCTGGCCTATTCTTTGGACGATGAGAAGAAGGTTCTCGTACTCTGATGCTTGTTCTAAGACATTCTGAAAGTTCGACAGTTCTGTTTGCAACTCAGAGTCATCGTCTATGTTGCTTAAATTGATTTCGGGAAAGGTGATGGCATCTGCTCGTCTCAGCCAGTGGCAAGTCTTATCCAGGTCGACCTGGAAGTACTTTCTTGAGGTTAGGGCTTTCTCTAAGCCTGTGAGACGCTGGGTAGTCATTTGGAGTGCGGTTTCAAATGCTGCCTGTAGCTTCTCAAGTCTTGACAGGGTTTCCGCTCTCTCTTTGTCAGTGGCATCTCTCTCTAGCTCTCGGCCCTGCACCCAGAGAGATGCCAACTCTCTCTGGTATGCCCGTAAACCACTCTGGACACTCCAACAAGCAGCGACCTGTTTGGATAAGTCTTCAGGGAGAAGGGCTATGTGGTCATCTATCAAAGCTTTCCTCTCTTGTTGTTGCACCCAAGAAAGTGCTCTCCCCAAGCCTTGAAGGAATTGTGTCCTCTCTGTAAAGGCCTGTGGGAGAAAAATGTATATTACAATCATTGCCAATAATACAAAACATCTTAGAAAGGATGTAGCATACATTTAATGTAATAGTAATTTTTTATTTAAGAATTAAAGTTAGGACACATTTCACACCACAATTTCAATAGATCAGAGGAAAGTAAGGTCCGTTAGGTCAAAATGTAAACTCTGCCAGCATACATTATAAAAATCCAGCTGCTAACCTTACTGAGATACTTCCTCCTTTGGGCCACCTGAGCCCCCAGAGCCTCCACCTCAGCTTGAGCTTTCTCAACAAGCTCTTGCAGGCGTCTCTTCTCACTCAGGCCCAGTCTGGAGGCCACAGTCTGGGCCTCGCTCACTGCCTGACCGAGCAGCTGCTGACGAGCCTCCAGTTCTACACACACACTCAGATGGTCAAACAGGAAACTCTGGGCCAGATCGGGGGGCGGGCTGGTTTTCAGCACTGAGGTCAGAGCGGGCCGCTGCTCCTCCACCCACTCCCGGGCATCCCTCAGTTGGCTCTCAACACGGGTAAGATCCTCAAGTGTCTGCGCTGAGTCTTGGATCTTCTGTTGTATAAGGGATTCAAGCTGGGCCCAACGCTGCTCCAGATGACCCACCTGGTGTAAAGAAAAACACTTTTAAACCGCACTATTTGCTTAAATCCAGGATTTCCTGAAATGTCCCGAGCTTAATGTGTGAAAACAAACAAGGGGGAACTTTTTCACACTGCTCTATCCGTAATTTTTCCTTTCAGCCCGCTAGTTAATCTTCAGCGTCAGGAAAATTCACTGCCAGTGCACGCACAGAGGTGAATGTGTTTACATCCTACCTGCGCTCAATCAGCGCAATCTCTGTGCAAAAAATGAAACTGCTTCATTCTTTTTCGTTTTCAGTTTTATCTTTTATGCTCTATTTTTGAGTACAGTATGTCCAAATTATATGTAGCATTGATACAAAGGAGAAAACTGTCATCATAGTGTCAGACTCTGTTGCTTTGTCAACTATTTCCAGGTTGCTCTTTTTACATCATGCCCTTCCTCCTGAGGCCCCCTGAACTGAAATTTTCTAGAAATATTCAGAAGAGCATACGTGGGAAAAACGGCTCAAGACAGCTTCGCTATGAAGTGTAACTTGATCTTTTTTCCCCTATGCAACAGACCGTTTGCATATAAACAAACCAACATTTTTCATTTTTACTATGCTTGAACATTAAACGTGTGACAATACTGTCTCGTTGGGATTGCAAATTGCTGTATCAAGCCTTACCTGCTGTTTGACCAGCTCCTTGTCTAAAAGGCTCAGTCGAGGCAAGATGGTATGTTTCTGGTCTCTGAGGTCTTCTAGAGTTGCCCTCTGCTCTTCAAGGTCACTGGAAAGCTTCCTCAGAGCCTCTAGATGCTCACTGGTGCTTTCTGTGTCAGCCCTAGGTATACACATTTATGGAATACTGCACATCAGGACAACGCAGTATGTAGTTATAAAGATACTATAGGTGTTTTTTACTGAGGGAAATTGTGACACCAGAGGAAATGTTTGTAAATGCAGATTATGCTGTAGTCAGAGAATCTTAATACCTGGCAAGGTAGTCCCATTCTCTGGATACTTGGTGGAAAAGTTCCTCCACAGCAACAACAATCTCCTGATATTCCCCACTCCTCTGCATGTCCTCCCCTCGCTGAGTCTCCAGCTCTTCTGCCCGCTGGCCCAAGTCCATCCAGCTTCTCCTCAGTCTCCTTATCTCCTCCAGAGCAGGAGAGACCTGTCCATCTGTCAGCCTACCAACAGTGTCACTCAAATGTGTAACCTCAGACTGTCTCTCCTTAATCTGCTGAAGGAACTCCTGCAGAAAAGATAGAGGGTTTTTCAACACTCAACATGGGTCTTAGCTCAACAGTCCTGAATGCTTTATCGCCTTCCCACAAACCACACACTACCTGTGCCTTGTCGAGCTGGTTCTGTGCGATCTTGGGCTCCAGCTCTGCAGGTCTCCTGATGAGGCTCTGAAGTTGCTGCTCTGTCTCTCTCAGCTGGGCCTCCAGATCAGCCTTCTGTTCCTCTATATCCCTCCAGCTGTCTGCTACCTCCTCACAAAGAATCATACGCTCCTCAATCTAGACACAAAAGACAATGGAATGCATCCAGGATGAATAATTCTATTTAGAAAATCCAAAATGTTCAATTTCAAAAGCTGAAAACATGACTGAATACGTGTAGCTGCAAACCTTTTTTGATAGTAAGTAACAGTTCACTGACCTGCAGTTTGACCTGCTGAATATCTGCTGCAGTCTCCCTGACCCTCGCCTCAGACAGGTCACATGCTGAGCACACAAGCTGGAGGTAAGTGCTGGCCTGTTCCTGGAGAGCACGCTCTTGCTTTACCTGCCAATAAAAGACTCTGTTAATGGTCCTGTCATTTTATTGGCAGATAAAATGATCGCCTCAGACATCTGCTCACATTTGCAGCAGCTCCATACATTCCCTTGATATAAATAACTAAAAGCAGGCAAGAAATTGTTTAAAAAAAAAGCAATTAGGATATGAATATTGCACACTCTTAAAGAAGTGGCAGGTTTCACAACGTAGGCGAAGCCAAACACCAAAACTATTCCACTACACATTAAACTTCATTCAATTCATTTTGTGAATGTGAATTTGTGAATTTGGGTGGAGGCTTCCTGACCTGTTGTAGCGCCTCCTCCAGGCTGAGAGGAGGATGAGAAGGTGGCTCAGGCTCCTCTGAGACAGAGATCAACCAGGTCTGGCACTGCTGCAGAGTGTCTTGGAGACTCACATGTCTCTGTAGTTCATGATCCAGACTTTGATAAACCTGTTAGACATACAGATACATTTCATGGATATACCAGTAGCAGACGATTAAACACAAAAGGCTAAATCATTATTTTAAAGCTCCTGTGAGGAATTTTTTGCTCAGTATAAAACACACTAAAATGAATACTGACGACTCCATACCCTACAAAAGCAAACCAGACCATCAGCAACAAGATTGATTCTTAGTTGTTTTTATATCTTAAACAGTGGTTGTTTGGTCGATGTCATACTAAATTCTTAACTTCACACTGCAGAGACAGACTTTGTTTACATACATACATACAGCAGATTTACCACTTAAATGTACAGGACAAAATAAGCAAAGATCACTTTGTCCAGAGGGTACGCCAAAGTTAACCCGAACCAAAAGTTCCTCACGGCAGCTTCAAAGATGTTCAATGTTGTGCTTTTATAAAATGTATTATCCGGAAACTACTTTACATCAGTTCAAGAATGAAACTGTTGTGAGTTAAAAATGTTTTTCATTACAAAGGCAAAACACACACAATGAAGAAATAGATAACTGCTAGGCGTTTGAAGCTTTTCTAGCATGGCCTAATACAAAGAAAGATGAAATGATAAAAGCCAAACAAAAAGGCGGTTATGAAGTGTTGTATTCGACAGGTGTTGAATGTGGAGGCGTCCATGCCCTCCAGGGGAGAGCAAAACAGCAAGGTCTGATTGACAGTGCTAATATGAGAGCCCGAAAGAAGGAAAGAAGGGGGGCATGTATTGGCAAACCGCCCAGTGTATTTGGCAAAGGCTAGGAGGTTGGCATGGTGGCAAGTGGCAGGCAGGATATTAGAGCTGCGTTGTGCTGGGACGTATTTGGCAGCTGAGGTAACACTGGAGGCGCAGTTGTAGAGACGCCAGTAGTGTAGTGGTAAAGTGTGGCTGGATCACACAATGCCAGATTGGATGTGTGAGTGCTGGTGAAGGTGGTGTCTTGGGAGGTGAGCTATGATGACAGAGTAGAGGTTGCCAAAATGACAGAGTGGGGCTGGATTAGGTGGCTCGCCAGAGCTACTGAATAGTGGCGTGTGACCATTTTTGGCTCAGGCATGAAAAAGTGAAGCTGACAAGGGGATATGCAGAGATTAATACGGGGAGATTGAGTTAGTGATTTTGGCTGGTGGGGTTTGCCTGAGTATGACTAATGTTGAGCTCCACTTTGGCAGCCTTAATTGGTCGTGCCCTCTACACTGGCCCTGAAGGGCTGTCTTGAGAGAGGGGTTTAAGTGTCAGAATGGTTTAGGATTAAGAGGATGCCTCGGCTGTTGGAATATTAACAGCACTAATATACGGAGTGCATGTGTCTGCGCTTGTGTGGTCATATTGATGACTGCGTGTGCTAATGTGCGTGCATTCAACACCCATTATTACTACCTAATAAACGTGTAAGAACCATTCCCCAACTTCAAACACGGAAGAATTCCCATCCCTTTCCTCCTCCTACTCCTACTCCTCCTTGTTCTCCGCCCTCTACTTGTCTACATCCCCCCTCCCTCCCTCCCTCCCACCCTTCCTTCTGTTTTGCATCTCCTCCTCCTCACTCACTCTCTGTGCCGTGCTACAGATGGCAGAGTAGCTGTCTCTGGTGCCTTGCTGGTGAGCCTGGACCTGCTGTCTCAGCCTGCTCTGCACACGGTCACTGCAGCCTTGTACCAGGTGGGCTCCTCGCTCCTTCAGACCTATCAAGCGATCCTCAAAGCCTGCTATTTCCTCCATGATGGCCTGTGGAGGACAAAGTTACAAGTAGGATCATGTTAGACAGAGTCTCCAGTGAAAACACAACACGTTTGACTAATATCTATAACTAAGGAGGTCAGATCTTTTGCTTTGTAAATTAGACTTAGGCGCTTGGGTTTTCTAAACAACAAAAACTGCTGGAGGGTATGCTTTTTTTTTTACATTATACAATATTAATACATCAGTAATTAACATATCCCTATTCTATTTAAATAATTTTGATGTTTGCAAAATTAGTAGGAATGAGAAAGGCCTCCTGGAGCAGTAACCCTCTGAAATGTAATTTTGCCTGCATTAAATTTTAATGGTTTAGTGCACATACATTCATAATTCAGCACTAGGGATGACATCACCAATATAGCCAACATAACCTTTTTAAAAAATTGAGTCTATCAAAACAGAGACAAGGATGCAACATCATCTGACTTGGATCCAGAGGCAACTTATATGAATCTTAAATCACATAAATAAAAAGTATTCAATTGAATCGCATTACTGAAGTCTGCAACAAAAGGAATATAAATTATTAAAGACTTATTGTTTGATCTAAGCTTCCCAGAGTCCTCATATAATAATGGTTATTGAGCAGAAGAGTTATCACAGCACACTAACAGTTGCAAATAAATGTTTTGTGTTTAACTGTTCGTTGAACACCTTTTAAACAGAACCAACTTTTCAAAGTACGAAAGATAAGTTATTGTCAGTACTGCCATACAAGACATACAAAGAATTAGATGTTGTTTCCTCAGATCTCAGCTTTACAGGAAAATAAAATGACAACCAACAACAGACAAAACAGATAAAAACTAAGAAGACAATAGTGCAATTTGTCAGTCCACAAATATAGCAGCAGCTGTACCAGCAGCAATAATGTTTAAATGACTGCTTCGAAAGACATCGTGCATTGTGTGCACACCCTGGGGTGTGCACACAATGCACGATGTCTACCTAGGGTAGGTAAGATGGGTTAAGGAGAGTTCAGCAACCTGACAACTTGCTGATAACCTCAATAACAATAATAACAAATAAATTTAAATAACACATCTGACAGCTGCGCAAATTCTCAGCAGCTACCTCAAACTGTGTTGAAACCCTTTAAATAAAGTAAACACGTCAGCACTTGCTGAGCTGTATCATCTACTACAATCTCAAGAAAGGAAGAAATAAACAACAACGTGATTGGTCACCTTGTGTCTGGCCAGCTGTTGTGTTGCTGCCTCCAAACTGCCTCCCACAGATGGATCAGGAGTCACCATCCTGCTGGACATCTGGAGTAGCCAGCGCTCCACATCCTGGAGCTCGTTGTGGTAAGCTTCCTGTTCCTTCACCTGTCCATCCAGGTTCTCCACATGGGCCTGGACCACATCATTTCCAAATATTAACACACACATGGACATATTAACCTGATAACAAACAGTACAACACAATATAACACATCTTTTTTTACATCTGCATTCCTGTTCCAGAGTTAAAAATCTCTTTATCTGTGTGCTAAATTGAAATGATAAAAAAAATCTGCTATTGTCTATATTACAAAATAATTCAGTGAATAGTCTTAAGAGTCCTCACATCTTTTGCATTAACCTCTGGCTGCAGCAGGTCCCCTGAGTGAACAGATCTTGTACTTTTCTACTTCATATCATAATGTCTGTTATCAGCCTCTCACCATGGCAGTATTACAGAGTTCAGTGTAGTCTCTTTTTAATCTTGTCACTTTGTCTCGGATGGACGGGTAGTGGACAGAGGTGAGCAGAGCGTCTCCTTTCTCCACCACTGACCTGATGGATCCATCATGGGACTGAACCATCTGCAGCAAAGCCTGTGGACATACACAGAGGATGTTAATGTTTATTATTATCTAGTGCAGATTAAAAATATCTGCAGGTCAGTGTGTCATCAAGATGTACTGTTGTTGTATTAGATTGCTTAGCAGAAAGGGTAATGTTCTGGATTTCTTAGCTAATATATGACCAATGGGTTCCACTACACCACGAGCATTTTCCTAAGCATAACAAAATATATAAAGCAACGATAAGCTCTGGAAAAATGAAAAGCAGTTATGTAGAATATGTTACATTTTGTAGCTAATGGGCTAAGACCTGCAAGGACCCTCATGTGATCCATTAAGCTCAGAATATTTAGTGACATTCAACGGACATTCTGACTCACCTAAGTGCACAATTTCTATCATGCTCTGAGGAGCTTTCTCCCTAATTACAGTCTATGCTTTCTCCTCACGATTTCAATCTAAATACAAATCAATGCGATTAACAAGATCACATCATGGCTGCTATACCTTGTATTTAGCCAGCAGTGCTCTCCGTTGGTACAGTTCAGCCTTGGGCTCCACTGGGTTGCTGAGCAAAGCCCTGGTCTCCACCAGCCACTGGGCCTGAGCCTTATACCGGTCGTGAAACTCCTTAGCCAGCAGTAAAGCCCGCTGCAGAAAGCTGTGCTCATGCCTCAGCCCACCTGCGAGCTCCTCTAGCTGGCCGAGGCGAGCCTCTACCTCCCCGCCTAAACTCTCAGCTCCCGCTTCGTTCAGGAAGCCTGCCGCCTGCTCTGCTCGCTCTCTCAGGGATTTCAGGAAACTGTGACCATGTTGGAGCTCAGACTGGAGAGCCTGGGTGAAAGAGAAAGCAGAAATACAACTCAGGCTAGTTGCTGCAACAGTGTTATCAGCATTATAATAAAAACAGGAATTGAATGACCATCAACCAGGGCATTTCACACACTGCTGAGCTAAGAAAAAAAGAATATAACACAAACACAGCTTCTTTCAACTTGTTGACCAAATGTATTGTATAGAGTACATGTTCTAGAAGGAGGAAATTGTACGACAGTAGTTTCCATGATTTTGAGGTTCAAACGCAGTCTCGCTCATTTCTTTGTCCTTCACCTCCCGTGCTGCCCCAGTCACACGGACCAGCCTGACTGTGTGTTTGAAAAGCTTTGAACTCATCAGGTAAGCTGACACCTGCATAGTGAGGTGTGGAGAAGAGTTGGAGGTCATGGTGTGGAGAAACCACTGTGAATAATATGAAAGGAGACCCAATTATAAGGACCCTTAACGGGCAGCAATAGCTGCAGGGGTTTCCAGGGCAACCACAACACATCACACACACACACACACATAGACTCAACTCCATGGGACGTCATCAAGCTTTCATCATCAGTCTATTATTGCCTGAGTTGAGAGTGGCTTCACACTGCAACAACCCAGACCCCCAGCTACTGCTGTTGATATTATAATATAATATAACAAGACCTATGTCTCTTAGAACACATCCATGTTTGCTGCTTAATATGAAGCTCCAGGTGTGTTCATCTTTGCAGTTACAATGGTGATGTCCCTGCATTACGACCTCAATTGGAGACACTCAGTATATCTCAATTCATACGTTTATGTGTTTTTCCACACGTGTGCACTGAACGAGTGCTCCGCAGTAAATGCCATTTGGAGTAGATTTAGTTCTATATAATTTATTATATCTGCCTCTCAATTCTCATCTGAAATTGGTTGTCCTTCATAGCAGCTCTACTGGTTGGTCCCATTTTGAATTACACTTTTGATATTATGCCGTTATAAAGCATGTTATTAACAGTATGTTTTGTCTATGAGAAAATGTGCATTTAATGTGAACCATTAAAGCCTGAAAAATGATTTTAGAATAAAAAAACGTATTGTTCTATTCATCATCTAATTGTTCAAGAAAATCTAAAATCACAATTAAGCGGTCTAAGCTTAAGAGAACAATTATAGCTAAGTCTCACAATATGTCTTTGCTGAAAATAGGCGATGATGTAAAGCTGCAAACCTGCTTCATCTCATACATCTGATCATAAATGAATCCATGTTACAGTAGCAAAGAAAGCAGTCTACATTGTACATGAGGTCCTGAACACAATGTGCCCTTTATACTGTTAGCTGTCATGTACCATGTCTGCCCCAATTATCCTGGTCAAGTGTCTTGTGCACTCGCTGTAAATGATGATAACTAGCATCTCTCTTTCCTGTGATGCATGAGTTCTCAGGCTCCATTATCTTCTACAATACATCTACTGTGGCATAAAAAAACGTGTCTATCAGTTCTAACATTAACTAACAGAGGTAGGACATTATTCAGGTGACCTTGTGAGCACCAGGGAGATGTGTTGACATTGGTTATCTGTTGTGAATATATGGACTGCAGTAAACTACAAAAACTCATAATTTTGGCATGGGAAGGCATTTATAAAAACTGTTGATCCAGAACTGTTTCATAACATAGTATTTCAGTCTATTACCACTTATATGAAACACCATGAATATTTATTATTTCTGATAACCAGACATTTAAACATGGACATTTTACTTGAACCTTTCGAAAAGAGACATTGACAGTGAAAATAAGAATGCAACATGAACTTGGAAAGGGTGTGTGTGTGTGTGTGTGTGTGTGTGTGGGGGGGGGGTGACCTTGAACATCAATAAAATACCATGGACATTCACATTTTAAAGGGGAAGGCAAAATGGCATGAAAACATAAAATGAGAAGGTAAACCAAGGCATCCCATGGTATGGTATAGTATGGTATTGTATGGTGTGTTGTGTTGTGTTGTGGTGTGGTATGGTATGGTATGGTGTGTTGTGTTTTGGTGTGGTGTGGTATGGTGTGTTGTGGTGTGGTGTGGTATGGTGTGTTGTGTTGTGTTGTGTTGTGGTGTGGTATGGTATGGTGTGCTGTGTTGTGGTGTGGTGTGGTGTGGTGTGGTGTGGTGTGGTATGGTGTGTTGTGTTGTGGTGTGGTGTGGTGTGGTGTGGTGTGGTGTGGTGTGTTGTGTTGTGGTGTGGTGTGGTATGGTGTGTTGTGGTGTGGTGTGGTGTGGTATGGTGTGCTGTGTTGAGTTGTGGTGTGGTGTGTTGTGGTGTGGTGTGGTGTGGTATGGTGTGTTGTGCTGTGGTGTGTTGTGGTGTGGTATGGTATGATGTGGTGTTGTGTGTTGTGTTGTGGTATGGTGTGTTGTGGTGTGGTGTGGTGTGGTGTGGTATGGTGTGTTGTGGTGTGTTGTGGTGTAGTATGGTATGGTATGGTATGGTGTGGTGTGGTGTGTTGTGGTGTAGTATGGTATGGTGTGGTATGGTGTGTTGTGGTGTGGTGTGGTATGGTGTGGTGTGGTGTGTTGTGGTATGGTGTGGTATGGTGTGTTGTGTGGTGTGGTATGTTGTGGTGTGGTGTGGTGTGGTGTGGTGTGGTGTGGTGTGGTATGGTGTGGTATGGTGTGTTGTGTTGTGGTGTGGTATGGTGTGTTGTGGTGTGGTTGTGTTGTGTTGTGTGTTGTAGTATGGTATGGTGTGGTATGGTGTGTTGTGGTGTGGTGTGGTATGGTGTGCTGTGTTGTGGTGTGGTATGGTGTGTTGTGTTGTGGTGTAGTATGGTATGGTATGGTGTGGTGTGGTGTGGTGTAGTGTGGTGTAGTATGGTATGGTGTGGTATGGTGTGCTGTGTTGTGGTGTGGTATGGTATGGTGTGGTGTGGTGTGTTGTGTTGTGGTGTGGTGTGGTATGGTATGGTGTGGTGTGTTGTGGTGTGGTATGGTGTGGTGTGGTGTGGTATGGTGTGCTGTGTTGTGGTGTGGTATGGTATGGTGTGGTATGGTGTGTTGTGTTGTGGTGTGGTGTGGTGTGGTATGGTGTGGTGTGTTGTGGTGTGGTATGGTGTGGTATGACTTTTGCTTTCAACTGTTACAACTCAGTATTAAAAGAAGTCTAATTCCAACTAATGGTCCTTGACACTGTTATTGACTACAAGTCTTACGTCAATGTATAATGATCCCAGCTTACAGAAAGGCCCTGTGGCTCTCTCTACAGGAAAATGAGTAAGTGATGGAGCACTTGTGTGTTATCTGCTGTGTTGTAAGGACACATGTGGTGACAGAATGTCTTCAGTCCCTATGCAGAGACAGAGCATCGATTCCAGACTGGAATTACTGCAAAGCCCACACCAGATGATGTACCGTAAATGTGTTTGTCTGTGAAGGCCTTCCTGGATATGTGTGCAAGGAAGACAAAGAGAAATGAGATGAAGCGCTACATAAAGAAAAGAAGCTAAAAAATGTGTGAAATCACACAGGATTCATTGGTTTGAGAGGTTGCTGCGGCTTGTTAGTTAGTACTTTGGACGTGTTTTTTGGTATGAAACGAGTGTTAGGGGAGAAAAGTGTGTGTGTGTGTGTGTGTGTGTGTGTGTGTGTGATATGAAGCGGTAAGGGCACTGCATCAATTACAGTGTCTGTGCCAGCAGGCTCCTGACACCGCCGCTTCTTCATCCTCCGCTTCACTGTGGGAGGTCTCTCCCTACAACTATGCTTCCTCCAAAGAGGCACTAGCTTTGTCTTCATAAAGAGCTGATCGATACACACATTCATCACGCACACTCGATATAAACTATGCCAAGCGAACTTAAGTGGAGATTTTTTCGTATCGCAGTGTAAGCATTTTCAAGCAGGGCTATTTCCCTCTATTGCCCATTGGGTAAAAGACACCGTAAACATAATCTGTTATGAATATTCTTCTACAGTGTATTTCTTTTAATTTGAAAACTGTTAGATATTAAAGGAGCTCTGAATATTTTGCAAGCCTTTATGCATATTTCACTGGCCAAGCATGTTGTAGCTGCCAAAGAAATCTGTCCCCTTGATGTTACAAACAGGTACCGTATGTTGCTTGGCAGAAAATGAGACTGCACAAGGACATTTCTTGCTGGCTTTGATACTGGAATCATATCAGTTTGTGCTCAAATTCTCCATTCGAATTGAAGTCTTGCAAACTCATCAGTTTACTAAGGTAATGCCCAACCTATGCGCTGATTTATTGCAACCTGCTCAGGGAGAAGTATTCAGCTCCAAACTGCAGCTTGTATCCAAATGCCTTTCCAAATTAAGTTTTACAACTGTGACTGTGAATTTAAAGCATTAGAATTTTTTCAGTAATGGCGCAGGTGAAAAGATCCGTACCTCTAGTTTTTTCATCTTCCTCTCCATGGCGACCCGGTCAAGAGGTTCCGTGCTGTCGGTTAATGCTGTGAAGTTTTTGTGAGTGGAGCTGAGCCAGTCAGTGAACGAGAAACAAAGGTGCTCAGCCTCCTCAATGCTCTTTCGCTCCTCCTGTAGCTGCTTGATGGTGTCCTGGAAAAAGAAAAAGGAGAGTCCTGAAGAACATTTTATGTCAGGATTTTCCACCTTTTATCATTTTTGGAAATTAGAAGCGATTGGTTTATCAACTGTTGGAATGACAGGAAGAAATTTATGTGCTTTGGGAAATTTTGAGTAAAACATTTTGGCTCTTTACAGACTCAACAAGGAATAAGTCGATCATAAGGAAAATGTGTAGATTAATCGATAACAAAAATAATCTTAGTTTGAAGCTTTATAAAAACCATAAAATTCAAGGGTGAGTTTTGTATATACGGCAATGGTGTAGTTGAGTCACCGAAACCCAGGTCAAATTCAAGTTTTGAGTCCCCCATACTCTGTCCCACTAAACAAAGAAAAACCTGAGTCAAGTCTAAGTCAAGTCCCAATACCTTGAGTCGAGTCCTGGTGCTTCAGGCTGAGTCTGAGCCATTGAAAGACGAGCTTCAGTTCTCCACTTCTACAACATTCAATTATTAAATTAAGTTTGTTACATGTTTCTAAGCTGAGGTTTTACTCTAATTTTGGTTAATCTTCATGTTTATTCGGTACCTCGGTCTTAGAGCCAAATTATCACTCAACAACTACTGTCTTGTGTTTTAGGGGTTAAAATTACTCTGAAGACTTTTACACTGCATTTTGACCAGGGGGAAGATTCAGGAAACATTCGGAGTATCTGTTTCTTTTAAGGTGTGATAAACCTCTGCGGCCTTCCCTTGGCCACCAAGGACCAAACGCTCTCTGATCAATCATCAAACAGAAAATATCCTTCTCCCCCCTACTCATTCATCTCCAGAATGTCAATAGCTTCACCACCAGGTGGAGAGGGCTGTTATGTGGTTTTTTTTTGTGGTTTTTTTACACATTATCCACTTGACTGAGATTTTGAGTCAATAACAGCATGAGGATGGAGAGGGTTTCTTGCAGCATTGACACATTATTCACTCAACTTGCAAATCCTGTGGTGAGAAGCTCCAATTAGCTGAGAGTGCTGAGTGCACACCTTTTCCTGACTAGACAGAGGTAACAGCTTACCACCTCAAGCCCATACGGCCCCCACTTCACATAGTATAATTACAGGAATCCTTGGTATGAGAGGGATGTTATGCATTGGCATAACTGTAAGTTTATGCATGCTTGAGTCAATTTTGAGAGGGGAAGGAAGGGGTGTGGGTTTAGCAGAGACAAAGGGAGTCAGGGGGGAGACACACAAAGCACACACAAAGTCAGATGTGTTACTGAAGGTGTAAAAATCAATGCAGTGCAGGCAGAGCTTTTCCACTCCTGGTGCAGGGTGTGAGATTGCCTTCTGTAGCGTTTAATTACAGCTTTAGCCCCAGACCAGAGGAGTCCCATTGATTTTCCTTTAGTCCCCCCCAGAGGAGCAGACAAATAGAGAGGCTGAATCTGAGTATGGGGAGCTACACAGGCATAACTCCAAAAGCTACTTCAATGGGGTGTTAGAGAAACAAAGTCCAAACTCTCAGTGGGGAAAGTCCACAGAGAGAGAGAGCATAAACTGTGTAAAGAGCCCACAGTGGACACTGGAGACCCCATAACAATGCACACTTCAACTTCAATCTTTCTTCATCTCTCTTTGATAAAGTACAACAAAAATGTAATTAAAACAACAACCAGACTATTGAATCTTAACGTCTTAAATCATGATACCAGATAAGTATTTACCAATACCAAGATTTTTTTTCGAGGACTGGAAAAAGTCTAGCATGGGTCTGGGCTCCCTGACAACCAGAGCTATAAATGAACCCTATTATACAAAAAAATACTGTTCAGCATAGGTACTATAAGGGTTCAGATATAAGCAGAGGGCACAGGTCATTTAGCGAGTTTAGTTTTCAGGAAAATATATCATTAGAGGGTCATCGCTATTTGATTTGTAGCAGCAGGAAGATGCCTGAAACACAGTTAACTACATAAAGTAATGTTTTTAAATCATTTGGGATTCTTAAGAGATACATATGTGCCACATCTGGTATAAGAAGTCGTTCTTGATGTAAATGTAGGACAAAATAATTCAGTTTTTGATGGGAAGTTTAGTTGTGACACCTAAAAGAGTAAAGATATATATAACAGGGTTTCAGCCATTCCAAAAATCTGATTCTTTTTTCATTATCCCCAATCAGAAGTGGCACGCAGCGTTGTCGCAGGAGGGAGTGTTGAGTGGTTTCAGTGGAATATGAACATATTTTTTTGCCTTCGTCCGTATGTTAAGCCTTTCTGGAAAACTGTTGAAAATGTTCTGAGAGACTTTGGATATGACACTTGATTTCTCTTTCTCGTACACTGGAGGAAGTCTCATAGGTCTCAATAAAATGTCCAAGACATAGCTTTTAAGAACTTTCATGGCCGCAAGCTAAACATACTTAAAAAAAATGTTGATTTCTGAGGAACCTCTCCATTAGCAAGAGCTTTATAAACTTCATAAATTCTAATTGCAAGATGGAGAAAATAACCTTTACCCTTTAGCTTCAAACTGAAAAGGGGGATGACTATTGAGGAGGGGTGTGGGTTTAGCAGAGACAAAGGGAGTCAGGGGGGGAGACACACAAGCACACACAAAGTCAGATGTGTTACAGAAGGTGTAAAAATCAATGTAGTGCAGGCAGAGCGGATTTCTATAATCATAAAGACTTCTTATTGCCTAGAGTAGAGTTGTATTTCTGTACGTCTGAATGCCTCTGTGCAGCTCATGCACTATTACTGTGTCTATGAACTTTTATTTTTGACTGATCATCCTGTACAGTCCAAGTCCTTACTTGTTTTAAGTTCATATAAACCATTAAAATAAAGAAAAATTAAGAAAAAAAAAAATCTTCTCAGGTTTTAATAAACCAAACACTAAGTAGCAACAACAGGAAGTGCCTAACCTGTATGTTGAGCAGCAGGGAATGGTAGCGGGCTGTGAGCTGTGTGGCAGTAACGCTAACACGGCTACTGATGTAGGTCTCCTCCAGAACCTGCTGGGCCAGAGAGGAGAGGCCATCGACTTCTCCCTGCCGTGCGAGCACTGTCTCAAGACATCCCTGTTCGCAAAGGATACAAAGAAGGTGTCATCCTGGATAAATGTTGTTTCAAATATTTTGTGTTCAATTGTACATTCGATTTTGCTCTTTGATGAAAGGGGCATGCATTGTTTAAAAAGAAAAGCAGAAAAACAGTTTGCATCATAAAACACTGTATGGGGTCAAGGTGTCTGTATCTGTGTGTGAGCGTGAGGCTTGTGTCCCCTCTTAACACACGGAAGGAAATGCAGAGACTGTCTGACATTCTGACCCTGGCAGGAAGAGCGCTCCAAAGGGAGGAGACATAGCAGAAATAGCTCCTGTCTCCTGCTGTTTTGTTTCAAACACCATGCAATGTGTGAGTGAAGGTTAAAGTAAGAAAAGTGGTGTATTGTTGTGCACCTACCCAGGGTGCTTCTTAACTTTCACTTTTTACAAAGGTTTATTTTTGGCTCGAAGATTACTGTGAGTGAGTTTTGATTTGCTGTTTTGAGAGCTAACTAGATAAGACAAATCGAGGGGAAATCTGAGTCATGAAGATTTTGATTAATCTTCTTTTTTTTTTTTTTGCTACTTAAGGCCTTAATTCAGTGCTGAATAATCCTTCTCTGACCTGGAGTTTCTTCAGCTGAGTCCCTTTCGTGGCTCTGTCTGACCTCCGATGGTGTCTGATGTTTGCCACCTTCTCCATCTCCTCCAGCCACTGGGCAAGGCTCAGGAATTTCTGGCCCATCTGCTTCAGTCTGGTCAGCGTGGAGCTCAGCTGGGTCTGAGTCTCCTCCAAGCGGCCCTGGTAGGCCCCCCACTCTCGCTGAGCTGCATCCAGCGCTCGGTCCTCGATTTGAGGTATACCCCAGGGGATAACTCTCTCTCTGCTGCTCAGCACAGAGGAGAGTAAAGACTGACCGTTTGAGCAGCGTTCCTGCAGAAGCTGCAAAGGACGTAAAAAAGGTAAGAACACAAAAATAGCACGACTGGAAATTCAGTTAAAGCACTGAAACAAGCGTGAGAGAGTAGTGTGTAGAGATTCTTTTTTTTCGCCCATTCCTAGCCTATACCTGTAGTTGTTCCAGCGTCTTCTCTAGTGTATCCACGTTTCCCTCTAGGTGGGACAATGAGGCCAGACTAGCCTGTTCTTGCTCCAGCCAGTCCTCAAACACATGTAACCCCCTCTGATATTCCTGGTGGACCAGCACCAGACCTTTGGCCTTACCGACTGCATTCTGCAAAACACCATGGTAAATAAATTACCAGTTTAAGTTTAAGCAGTAATAGTGAAAATGTGTAAAACTGATTTTTTTTTCTACAATTCTGTTGAAATGATTGATGGAATGATTTTAATCCAAATGGCATGCCTCTGACTTCAATTGTCTGAAAATGAACAACTGTACTACATGTTTACAAGATATTAGAAGCAATTATGATCATTTAAGTAAGCTGACAAATAATGCCTTTGCTTTTCTGCAGATCAGAAAGTTAAGCATTTGGTCGTTAAAGAGAATACCACATTGTTTAACATACAGGTCAAGCTCTCCAATAAGTCAGTTTTGAGATCAATTTTAAAAAAATACAAGAAAATGTTTCATATTCAAATTCTTGTAGGGTAAGAAGTGAAACCTTGTGTTTTGTGTTCTGTACCTTGGCCTTTTCTTTGAGGGCGTTGTATCTACACTGCAGCTGCTGCACCTCCTGCTGGGTGGTGGAGTGCTCAGACATATTGGACCCCTTCGTGGCGATGGTCTCCAGAGGACTGCTGTGACTCAGAACTTCTTCATAGAGAAGCTGGAATAAAACAAAACACACTGAGTGTAGTAGTTGACTGTAAGGATCTTGGTAGGCTAAAAAAAAAAAAAAGACATAAAAAGTGATTTCCAAAATACTCAAATAAGAAAAGGAGTAGAGAATCTGCTTAAACCAGGCCAAACAGTCAAAAACATATAAATACAAAAAAGAATGTAATACCTTTGTCTTTCCCAGGTTAGCAGTCTTGTCTCTCATCTCAGAGTACTGTCTGTCTGAGCAGCTGAGCGTCTCTTCCACTCGATCCATCCACAGAACGAACTGACCCACGTCCTCCTGATAGCTGGTCCACTGTGACAAAGCGCCTTCTAACTGACTATTAGATGGAGAGAAAAAAACGATGTTAACACACAGGAAACAAACATTACACAAAAACACACTAGGAACCCATGCGTCTTAAATCTAATCGACTCCATAACCTTTCAACCAAGAGAAATCCATCAAGTAAAAACCTGACAGTTCCCAGTCCCATTTATCAACTCATGGACGGATTGACTGGTTAGTGATCACAAACCTTTTACACTGAATGGAGGCAGAAAGCAGGCAGTCCCATGAGTCTTTGAGGTCCTGGATCTGTTTGCGGATCACTGGGACTCCCTCGGCCGACGTGTTTCTTTGGACTGCTTCTCCTCTCGTCAGGAGCATCTTTAGCTGGATCTCCCTCTCCTGACGGGCAGCCAGTAGGGCCTACACAAAGAGGTGAACAAACAGACACACATCAGAATACTACAATCCTCTTCTTCTCCTTCAAATGAATGCAACATGTTTTCCAGATGGTCTGGAAAACCCACCTGGTTCCTAGGACATAGTTTCATCTGGTGCACCCTAGACTGGCATTAAACTTAATCCTTATTTATAATCCTCTGTGTATACCTGTATACATACTTATAGAATTAATATTTTGATGTCAAATAAGAAATCTGTTGAGGTGATATGGTAATGCAAGGGTTACAGTACACGCAAAACATAAATCAACCTTAAATATGCAACGTTAAGTCATACTAATTAAATCAGAAATGCTAGCATCAAGCTGACATTTAATCAAAATACAAATGTTGATCACTTATTAAAGCTTGTGCACTTATATAGTTATTAAAATAAAGGGCCGTGAAGTATGCCCGGCGCAAAGGATAGCGAACCCCAAACTGCTCCTGTGTACATGAATGTGAAGTAGAATTTCTTATTTTAAAAAAAGCTACACAAAGTTGTTTTAACTACAAAGTGCATTCCCTTAAAATTGTGTTTTTTTTCTTTTTGGGGTCCCAACATCCGTCTCGTCCGTTACCTCCAGATGTAACATCCGGTCCTCTAACACGCCCTTCTCTGTCGTGGTGGAGATGCAGGTGCTGAGAACCCTCTGAGCTTCACAAACCCAATCCTGGAGCTCTTTAAGGCCTTGAGAGAAGAGGCGGTGCTCCCCTACAATACGTTCAATCCTGGAGGCCTTGTCCTTGGGAAATGAGAGCACAACACACAGTAATCAAACACAGGCCCTTCATATTTCTCCTGCTACTTCTGAGAATCATAACAGGACTGAGAAGAAATCTATAAACTCAGCGTACACCAACTGTATCTGTGAATATTTCTGCTTGGTAGAATTTATACTCTTGTTTTTCTTCAAACACCCCTCCTGGGACTTTCCCACCATCCCATTAGAGCACAAGCACAAAGTATTATGTTTGCAGTCGTTCCTTGAACATCTTAAACATCTGTCTTACTGAAGAGTGAAGACAGGGAGAGTTTCAATAACAATCTACAAGTGGCAATTTTAAATGATTACATTCCTGTTTCCATATCTGGCAGGGAAGAAGACCTAAAAATAGCGCTCCACTGGCTAGCCGGCAAAGGAAATGAATCCATTCATCATTGTGTGGGCACTCTCATTGTCCTATGGTAACGGTGCTTTGCAGTAAACCTAAGGTTTTGTGCGACGCTGTATGAAATTAATCAGAAGAGTGTGACCAATCTAATGAGATCTTCAAAAAGGTCAGAATCTCAAGCACTGACACATTTCAGCTGCGGCATTTCAAAAGCACTTCAGTGGATAAAAAGGTAAGCTTTTAGGTCCTGGCCTTTTTATGCTGATGAGGCTGCATCCACAAGGACAAATGGATGTGAAAGACAAATAACTATTCAGGTAAATTACAACAGATAGTGAAACCTAGTGTAATCCTTTATTTCTCCCTCAAGGCATGCTGATAGTAGCAACTGTGACTGATGTACCACAGGGGAATAATGCATGACACAGCATACCAAAGAGAAGAACAGTACACAACATGCTCTATGCAGTACATGAATCAAGCAAAGCAGATTTCAGCACACTGTAGCATTTCCCTGGAAGAGCACGGACACAGTAAGGGGGTAACAGGGTACAGATGTGGGAGTAGTGTTACCTTTGTTAAGTTGCTGAGAGCTAGATACTGAGCGGACAGCTGGGACACACGATGGACAAAACCCTTGCCTGCTGCTTGTCCCTCCCAGAGACGATGAGCTCGTTCTCTGAGCCTGCCCAGCTCTGCCTCCCGACTGGCCATCTCCTCCAGCACAGACTGGACAAGTAGGAAGCGGGAGAAGGGGCGGAGGAGGAGGAGAAGGAAGTGGAGAAATAAAAAAAAAAGAAGGCACAGTCAGATGTGGGTAAGCACAGTCGACAGAGCAGGGTTCAAAGCAACAGAAGATGAAATGGAGCGCATTGGAGAGGTCGTGTGTAAGCACCATAACATTTTGAGAGGAAGGGAAATTGAAATGACAAAAAATATGAAAGCAGAGACAGAAGCGGGAGGTGGAGAGGCAACAGAGGAGGAATGCAAGGTTGTTTAACATCTCACAAGAGCAGACGGGGGCAACAGGAGCACATCAAAACACACGGAAAAAGACACGAGTAAAGGAACTCAGAAAAGAACAGCATCAGCAATATTTCTCCTATGTTCCTTTTTTAATAGAAATGTGTTTTTTCAGATGGACATCACAGCACAGAAAGGAGACAAGAATGATGAAATTCTACAAAAGAGGGGGGTCTTGTATGTGAAAAGGTAAAGAGGATTTTGCCAACATAGGTGCAGACTCCAAAGCCTGCACGTACTGTATTGTACTTGTGGTGCTTGGGGAAGAAATGTAATTGCTTGCAGGGCCAGACAAAAGGCAGTGAGGAGAAGTGCTACAGTAGGCGACTGAGTAAATACAAAAATAGCAACAACGATAAGGGCAGAGCTTTGAGATGGGCTTGATATATTTTTTTTCCTCTTTTGTCAGTTTTATCTTTTAACGCTTTGTGCCTTTCTTTGTTTTTTTTTTGTCTCAGCCAGACATGGAAGAGGCTGTTATCACATCCTGAAAGGAGCCTTTTAGCCACGCAGCGCTTCAGCTGTGACAGAAGGAGAATTAATTAGATTTCTGGACCATTCCTCTGACTATTGTGTCAAGTCGATGCTCTGTTTTGATCCAGCGGTGCTCGACAAATGTAATTAGGGCTTTCTCTTTTCCCAGCTGATTTGAGATTGCACTTTAGGGATGCATATCTGATGGAGGCTACAACTATTTGGTGTCCTTGGAAAATCTACTTAATATTCAATTTATGGTGTAATGATGGTCTTTACTTGAGTCAGTTACAGCAGCTAAAAGGCGCACTCTCAGTATGATATACTGCAATTTCAGAGTACAGTTTATGATCTTGAAGTACTGCAACTGCGTTGATTTATGAGGTCTGGCTAAAGAATAAGCTAAGGGAAAGATCCATGAATAGCCACAATAACGTAGGAATAAGATCCTTTTAAAAAAGTTGTGATCTTTGAGTGAGAGGAAACAGAAACCTATTGATCAGAGAACTCAAGACAGAAGAGCCAGGTGCACCTGTGTAAAAGATTAAGACTGAGGGCTTCACAATACCTGCAGTTTGCTGAGCTCCTGTTTCTTGGCTGGTAGGTCATGTAGTCGAGCACTGCTCTCCTGAACTCTGACCTCTGTGCTGTTCAGCCAGTCCTGCAGAGGCTCAGCACTAGCCTCGAACTCCTTCATCTGGGACTGCAGATTCTGCAAATGAGACACTTGACTTGTCAAATAACAACTCTCAAGTTTCACAACATATCCTTGAGCCACTGGAGATTGCAGGGTCTTTCATTTTTTTAAATATGTGCCATGGAAATTGCTTACTATAAATTGCACACACATCCTGTTTTATTTGTTTATGTTTTTGTCTGCCTGTTATCATTTATTCATGTACTCATGTTGGTGAGGAGACATTGATATTTGTACCATATTTCTATATGTGTGTTATATGTCAATATGTGTCTGTATTTCTGGGACACTGGGTAGGGGAGTTGGGTTGGGTGTAAAAAAGATAAATGGAAAGGTTGTGGGAAAAGACAGAAATTAACTGATTCTGCATTTACTGGCAAACCCCAGTTTATCAAATCAACTGCACGTTGCAGTTCAAGAACAAAATCATCATTGATTCTACACAGGCGATAAAAGATGAAAATCAAATCACGTTCAATATCTGTATATTGTAAAGTCTCAGAGGAAAAATACTGTTTTAATTAAAAAAATCCAAATAAAATCAGTTAACGCTGAACCAACCATCCCGCCCCTCTGCAGTCCAGATTTGCCTTTTCCGTGAGCAAAACAAGTAGCATCCAAACAAAAGAAAATATGAACCAACCTTGAGCGCATCCTCCTTCATCTGCAGGTTATTCATCAGGCTCTTCCAGTCCTCTCTGGCGTTTGCCACCTTGGCCTTGATTCCCTCAACTCTGTCTTTAGACACCACAGCCATCAGCAGCTCCCCACTGGCACCTACTGTACTCAGCCTGGCCTGGCCATGCTCCCTGTCACTCAAGAACTCCTGTGGGGATACACAGACGAAGACAAAGGAACTGTGACTATTTAACACTAAACACACACACACACACACAGGGAGGAGGGAGGGAGTGAAAGTGAAGGGAGGAAAAAAAAGAAACGGACTGAATAACATTCTCCAACTTGTTTTTGTCTTTCACTTCGAATGCAATGGCTAATTGGTAATTGTATATAGCTCTCCTCTCCATGGCTGACAGATTTTTTTGTGAGTCTGTGAATCTCACTTAACAACAGCAGTAATTAGACAGTCTAGAGTCTTTACTTATTCCATAAGCGTGGGCAGAAGGAAGCGTCTGACCCAGGGAGGCAATCACAGATAAGGGAAGTCATTGAGCCTGAAATGTGTGGGTTTTAACGTAGCTCCTCTATAGCCACCCGCAGAAAATGTAAGCACACACACACACACACACCCCTCCCTCAGAACTGAGCCTATGACAGTAGCGCAGCAGGGACCACTCCACCATCTGTGCAGTCAGCACATCACTTACACACACCACGGCTTCAGTCTCCTTAAACACACACACACCGATTGGTACAGTAGAGCCACACACAAGCACAGAAAGTCTGTCTGTGTTTATTCTCTCTCTGTCTGCTCCGTTCATTCACCGCCTTTCTCTTTTCCACACTTACTACCACTCTCCACCCTGCCAATGTAACTGTATACCACCAATTAAGCGTGACACAATGGATGCCCCCTTCTGCCCCTCCCACTCTGGCCCTCCTGGAGGTCAGCCATGTGGAAACATTGTTCCACATTCCTCACCAAGTCAATAATAAATAAAACATGACCCGCCTCCGCTCTCCTGCTCAGCCATATTCTCTGTGACATTCCCTCTCATCCTCAAAGCTGCACCAGACACTTCTGAAGGGACACACACAAAAACTTAAGTGACATAATTCTGGAAAATGCTGTCTTCATTGTTTTTTGGATACTCTGACCTTTCTCTTTATGCAAGTGTTGAGTAAATGATTTAGACTTCCTGTGCAGACTCCACGCTGAATAAGAACCTCAAACATTGGCATAAAATCAAGTTCTGTGCTTTATTAGTGTAGAATAATCGTCTTACTATTTAAGCTCAGCACAGCAACAATTTCAATTCCTTGGTGGATATGTAGTGGAGGACGTGGTCAAGTGCCTGAGAGGTAATTAACCGTCTGGTGCGGAGATGTGGGCATGTCTACCTTAAACGCCAAGTACCCGACTCTTAGCCAGGGCCCTGGGGTGCTTTTAAGAGACTGTTACACCTGCCAGCCTCTCAGAGAGAAAAGACACAGAGATATTTTGAAGAGAATGTCACAGAGACCCCGCTGTGGAGCTTTCTCTCATCCCTCTTTTGGCCATGTGCCCACTTTTTTTAGCTTTTCCAGGCCCATGGAGGGTCCACCAGAGGACACTCGACAGTGGGCATGTCAACACAGATATCCCCTCGAGCAGTCGCCCATTGAAAGTGGATTGCTTCTTAACTATTGCATCATTTCGCTTTATGTGAGGCAATCATTTCTTAGCCTGAAAATGCATCCGAAGAAAATTGAAAGCAATCAGTAGCTGGCAATTAGCGACAATAGATTTAAAGTGTACCCGGAAAAAAACACACACAAAAAGACTTAAATGACAAGAAGATTGTTCATTTAATTCCTTGATTAACTGTTGTTTATTTACTACACTGAATTAGACTCCCTCAACTCACAATTAACCGCTACTTTCTCTGAAATCTTTGCAGCTTCACTGGAGCTAGTTAATAGCCTTAGCCTGCAGATATATTTTGGGTGGTAAGCCCTCCGACATGAAAGTGAGAACGAGTTTTATTATCTATCCTGCAACAAGAGCGAGTTATTAAAAATGTAGGTGTTTCTCAAAAGGGCTGGATTAAAGCATTACACAATGACAGTCAAGATATCAATTCTACTTCCTTCTACCTCTGATATCAAATAAAAAATGTGATTCAATCTGTATATTTGCTCTTCTCTGTCTGGTAGGTCTGTCCTGGGAGAAGTCCCCAGTTCACAGAAGGTGAGGAACTTGATATTTCCTGAAGCAATAAACTGAATCGTAATAATTGAAGGGCAGGCTGCACAATGGAGTGATAAAAACAGTAAGAACTGCAGGAGAAAGGTGTCTAGTGTGTGTTCAAAACACAAGATGTCCACTGCACATTACAGCTCAATTAAAGGTATATCTTACTTGGATCCTCTGCAGAGCAGTTGAGGCCTCAGCGACATTTTGTGGCACATCAAAGCATTTGGCCGTGCTGATTTTGGCGTTGACCAGCCACTGTTGGAAGTCTCTTAGGGCTGCACGAAACCTCTGCTCCAACAAGCGCTCCTTATTTTGACACTCCCTGGATGCACGCAGACTGAGACTGTGGGGAAGACAGACACATTGAGGACTGAGATAAGATGATCACTGGTTGAAATTAACCTTTAAAAAATAAACAAAGAAAGAATGGGGTAACAACCAACGAGAGTGTTGTGCTGTCTGCTGCCCATGTGCTCATCAAAAACTGTACATACTGTCCACACATTATGGAGGAGGAGGAGGAGAAAGGGAAGCCTGAGAGAGGAGCAGGACTGGGAAAGGGCCAGGTGGAGAAATGGCAAAATGGGTGAAGTGGAAGCAATGAGCGTTGGGGCAAAGAGGGAGAGTGGGGGATGGGGGTAAGGGGCATTGCGTGGGTGGGGGGTTGAGAGGCAACATATGAGTGGGGCAAGAGTTCACAGGGGTGACAAGATGGAGAAAGCCAGGGGTGACAGATTGATGCTGTAAGAGAAAGGGACGGGAGGGAAGAATATGACTACTTCAGGCATAGGGTTACAGCAAAGGGGAAGCTGTAAAAGGGATAAAGAGACATTTTAGAGGAACTTTTCACATGAAGAGAAACCTTTTATGTTATTCATTTTTACAAAAATATAGCTGGAAAGATGAGCAGTAATGATTAATTGTACTAGCCATGTGAAGAAAATAAAAAGGGTATATTCTATAAAAGTTTGATTTGATTTAAAATGTTATTTTGGGCATGTAAAAAACAAAATGAACCTATAAACAAACAGACAGACAAAATAAATCACTATAATCAATGAAAAGCAGAACACATGTATACAACTCAAATATACACATCTGAGAAAAGTAGTTGAAAGAAGTATGAACTTATAGTTAGTTATTATCGAGCCGATTTGTGTTCAGTCATCTTTTTATTTGAGAAGTTTCATGTTTGGTGTTTGTGGCTCAGCGGTAGAGTCGGCCATCTCTCAACCTGAAGATCGGGGGTTCGATTCCCCGGTTCCTGCATGCACATGTCTGATGTGTCCTTGGGCAACACACTAAACCCTAAGTGGCTCCCGCTGCTTTGTCAGTGGTGTGTGGATGAAAGGGATTGGTTAATGCTGACGGACCTTCTACATAGCAAACTCTGCCATCAGTGTGTGAGCTGCGGTGTGAAAGCGCTTTGAGTAGTCAGAAGACTAGAAAAGCGCTATACAAGCTTAAGTCCATTTACCATTTTTAATTAGTTATATGATGCTAAAAGGTAAAATGTATAAAATACTATGATTGACAGCTCTGTTGACGAATGAGGCCCCTGCACCGTGTGTGCACCAGATTAGCAGAGTAGAGCGGAAACGGTGCAAGGAAACGTAACGATCCCTAAAACAAGAGTCACTTAACTTCCGACACAGGTATCTTTGCCTTTCTATCAGTAAGTAGTATTCTGCATGTACATATAAGGATAGTAACTGAATTATGGTTAAAGTTAAAAAAAACAATGACCTGTCTCATCTGTGATGGGACATCAATTCCTGTCTCCTGTATAAATACTATCTAAGCCAACTTTGACAACCATTCTACATCTATTTGCCTTCCAGAGCGCTGTAAAGAGCAACATGCTGCCTGCTTTCGCACTGAATAAAATGTATAATACAGCTGTAATGGCTAAGGATTCAGACTTTTATAATGTCAAACAATTCTGGACACCACTGGTAAAATTAACTTCTTAAATTATTCAAGAAACAAGAACAAAAAACCCTCATTTAAAATAGACATTTCTAGTAACTTAACATGCTTAACTCTAATTTGCATAAGGCTGAATTAATGCAGACTGAAAAAAAGTCAGACAACAGAAGAAAAGGGTCACTGGGTCTCATAAATATCGGGCAGTGGGTGAAGGATAAAGCAAGGGGAGAGTGGAAGAAGGAAAAGAAAGGATGACAGCAGGAAAACAAGGTGCGCAGCTGTTTAAGCAAGAGGTGATGTCCAGAGGGAGGCTTGGAAAAAAAAAATCATACACAATCTTTTATCAACACACGCAGACACAAACTGCCTGCACACAAATACCCTTGAGTTTTCAGTGATGCGATGAAGGCATAAAGGAGAAGCAAAGGGAGGATATCATGAGTGCGGAAGAGGCACTTTTTTTTTCTGCTGTTACTGACTAAACCAGACATGTGCTATGCAAAGGAGAGATTTCATTTCCTCCTCCCTCCCCTCTCCTCTCCTCTCCTCTCCTCTCCTCGCTTTTCTTTCTGCAGCGCTAAATGCAGGACAGGTGCAAAGAGTACACAAGCCAAGTCGATTATAGACTGAAAGCGAAGTGACTGAGAACGGGCGCTGTTCTTTACAAATCAGCAGCCAAATCCATTTTCCCGCCAGAGCATCTCCAACAAGTTGACCCCACTCAGATAGTCTGCCAATAAATGTTAGTCACACTCACTGGCAATATCTCAAAAATGTCCGAGTTAATATTGCATCCATGGAAATTAGGAAGATGTGTGCACATTTGTGGATGTTCACACTTGTGTTAGCATGTGTTAAATATGTTTGGTTGAGTGCATGAATGTTCTTTTGAATGCACTGCTGTTCTTTGGAAAAAGGCATTGCATGGTGTGTTCACAAACAAGCGCTCAATGAACACAAGCTAACTCATGGGCTTCAAAGAAGGCAATTAGAGCTAAGTGTAAAGACTAAGGCATGCAATGTATCAGCATGGAAAAACTATCCAAATTAGGCTGATTTCCTTCTAATCACTCTCGACCTTGCATAACATAAAATAAAAGGAAGGGGCACGAACACAAGAAACAAGCAGAGGTAAAGGGAAGGTAGTTAAATGTCGCGTAGCAACTGGTGGCTCTGCTGCTCTCTGTCATCTTTCACTTCCGTCTAGCTGAAGCACACACACACATACCCACATGCTTTGTGCGCAAGGATGGCCACACACACATAAAGCCACCTACCCTCTTACATAAATAAGCTTGTAAAACGGAGCCCTAATCCTTCCCACTCACACATGTAAGAGGTGTTTGTGGGGAAATCTCTGCCCTCAATCTACTGCGGTTCTTGGATATGTTTGCCGTGTTCTGCAGGGACTATAGCAGTGTGTAATATATTGGATTATGTGGAATTTTTTTTAATCAATTCACATGCAAAACATCTTTCCACAACACCTAAAAACAGAGCTCTGCAGTGTGGTTGAACTTCTCATCAAAATAAGGGATGTGAAAAAAATATATCGAAGTCCTGATACTGGCAAGTTCACTCACCGGTCGCTAATTAATGACTCCTGACGGTGGCACTTGTGTCATGTATGAAGGTAACATGGACAAAAGCAATCAGCCAAAGAATAAATTGAGAGCGATATATAAAAGAATAAGAAAAAGAAAGGGAAGACAACAGGCTAATGTTGGAGAGCAGTGAAAACAGGTGAAACTGACACCAAACTGCAGTGAATAACTACATGAATCCTGCACTTTCCTGTTTTTTTTGTGGCACCTTTTATTCCTCAGTTAATCAGATATTATGATCATTATATGATTGTCTTGCAATATATCAATTAATGCAGAATTGCTGTATTGTGAATTATTATCGCATGGCATGTATTGCGAATCACATCGTGTCTTATCTTCAGTTACCCTGCGATTCCCTCCAATCAGAATAACATTACATGTGGATATTCAGAGTCTATATCGTGATACAGGCAATATATGCAAAAGTCATCGCAATGATCTTACTTGCAGCCAAAGAAAAAGTGCAATTATGCAAAGCAGATGTGCTCCAGTGTTTCAGAAAAAACATAATTGGGACAAGTCAAAAAAAAATTTCAACGACTTTTGTTACAATAGTTTTAAGCTATCATCCAGCTCTAAACCTGTTTCATTGCACGCACACTTCTAAGTCAAGCAGAAAGATATCCTCTCACCTGTTGTGCTGTTTGATGAGCGCTGTGACCCGGTCGGATTGTGAGCCCAGGTCTCTGGAGTATCGTACCAGGTCGTTCAGTTGGCCTTTCAACTTCTCTGCCATTGGATCGGCACTCTGCAAGCCTTCCAGTATGTCCTAAAGAATGCAAAAAAAAAAAAAGAAAAACACACCAGCTGGCTCAGTGTGTGTGTGTGTTTGTGTGTGTGTGTGGTTGTGTCAAGAAAGACAAGCACCCAGCTGAATCTGTATGACACCCTTCAATAAGTGCACTCACATTCCTATTCACACCCTGGCTCGGTCCTCCTCACTCTTCTCACATTCAATACGCACATACACGCTCTGACACATACTCACAGTGCTGCTCGTACAATAGCATTTCTGTTCTTGGCGGAGTGTGGCAGGAAGGAGCTGTGGATAACGTTTTCCCGCTCTCCTCACATTCTGCACTCACACAGTCATGAAATCTTGTCCCATGAAATATGTACAAGCTCTCCCTCTCTCTGTGACTCTCACCCGCTCGCTCTCTTTCTGACGTATGACCAATAAACAACCCTCCCTCCCTCTCTGCTCTCCTGCACCCGTTGCTCTCCACTCACTCTTTTCCTTCCCTCCTCCTATCCTTCCACTACTTTCTCTTCCCTCGTCTCTCCCTCTTCTTCTCTTCCTCCTCCCACTCCTTGCGCTCGTTCTCTCTCACACATTTTACCTCCCTCTCTCACTCTCTCTCACACTCTCTCCCAGTGGAATTCAGCTGTCAGCCCTCGCAGATGCAGGACTGGTTGGAAATGCACACAAATGAGTGCGTAACGAAAACAAGGCTGGATACAGGAAAATGGGCTGGAGGAGGAGGAGGAGAGAGAGAAGCGGAGGAGGGAAAAAGACTCCTCCTATGATCTTTGACAGCCCCAAATTGAGGGAAACAGGAGGAAGGCATGGCCGAAGAAGCTGGGAGGGAGTTTGAGGGTGGACATGCTGCCTTGCTTTGACAATACAGAGAAATTGTCACAGTATAAACATCCTGTGGATGTTTGAAACAGAGCAGCAGGGGAGGTGAGGGGCGAGAGCATCTAAGAAACAACCCCTGCAGTCCAGACTGACATCACTATACAATTCAGTTTAAACATGTCAGAGTACAGAAAGGGTAAAGGGGACGGAACTGAAAGGAGGAATGTTTGGGCGGGAGAGATAGTGGAAAATAATGGCCAAAAAAATTAAAGGGGGAGGGGTGTAGCGGACGGAAGGGAAGAGAAAAACAAGGGAAACTGATGGGATTGTAGCTGTCACTTGTTCATCATCCCAGTAAAGCTGATTTACAAACTAATCTTTTTTAAAGGATTAACAAATAGAATGGATAATTACTGACAGAGACAGCGTAGCTGAATGCAGACAATGTATGTCAGTCTGTGTTTGTGTGTGTGTGTGCGGGTATTTAACCATGCCAATCATTTTCTCTCAAATTAAAAAGTATAGTACAAGCCTCACACATTTTTTACACATGACAGTTTGCCAACATAAATTTCAGCTAAATTGAAGAGTTTTTCATTATCTACCATTTTTGAATAAACCATCATGCATAGTTAAAAAGGGAAAAATTAAGACATTATGCTGCCATTTATTTTAATCCCATGCTACTATACCTTTGCCAGCTGCCATCCATCCACTGCTTCCTCACCGTTGCTCCGCCCCTCAGCTTTAATCAGCTCCTGGCTCCACCCCTTCAGCCGTCCATCAAGCTCTTTCAACTCTTCCTCAAGACGGGCAGTGAGGCGGTCATACTCCTCCTCTGATGCAGCAGCAGAAGCTAGGGCCCCTTCCAGACCATCCCTGGCCCTCAGGGCAGCCCCCTCCCACTGCTCCAGAGCCTGCGACAGCGCCCCCAACTGACGGTCCATGGCTTCGCAGCCACCCGCTGCCGTGTGCTCTGCCGTGGAAGCGGCACTCCGACGCACACGGGTCAAGCGCTCTCGGCCCTCCAGCAGTCGACTCTCAACACGCTCCTGAAAAGATGGAGGGGATAGAAAGACAACAAAGTTGCTACGGAAACTGTGGCTACGGTAACCGCATCTATGGATGCAGTGGATTCTATTTAAAGCTGCCTACACAGATGTCATTCTCCCGTTCCATCACCTTCTATTGCTTATCTTTGGGATTGTGTTATAAACCTCAGCACAGTTATGCATAGATGACACTATTCTAAAGAAAAGAAGAGCAACATGTATGAGAATATTTCTGACATTTGTGACAGGTAGAAAACAGCAAATGGTACTCTAAGTCAGGCTCTTTGGTCTTGTCCAAAGATTGTCCATTTTTAGCTGGTGTTGTAAAATGTATGATATAAAGATTGAACCTGATGCACTGATGGCCTTGTTTGGTTGCTCCGAAGCGTCTCTTGCACAACCACTTACTTTGCAGCAGACCCTCGTGTTTGGTATGTTAGTGGCAAAGTAATGGAAGGCTACCAGCACTCCCTGTTTTTGAAGATGGGAACTAGTGTCTGGAATACATCTTGAAAGGCCCCCTAGCCACACACATGGGTTTAAAAAATGTGAATATATTGTGGATTTTTTTTTTCTCTATGATGAAAATCTAAATATGATATTAAAAAATAATAATAATAAACCTGAGCACTGATATCTGTATGTATTTTCAATTTGTCACACCAGTGCTAACATTTCCTTCGCTTGTGCCTCCATTCTCATTCAGTGTGAAAATGCAGAACTCGGAAATCAGGGGTTGTGAAACGTGAACACTTGAGGGGGGGATTGGATATCAGTCAGCAGATAGAAGGGATTTAGAAAGACATTCAATCATTTTGGGGAGCGAGAAGAAATAAACGAACATTAACCTTGAGTTGATGAATATAGGACATATAAGAATGTTTGATCCAGCTTGTGTAAACATCAAATATTTTTCCTCTGAAATGCTTCACACCATGGCTCTACAAACACACATTTTTAATGTGATAATTAGGACCCATGTGTGAAATCTGTATGCAAATCAATATCTGCATACATATTTCTCTCTCCCCTGTACCTGCAGGGTTATTATTGAACAGGCAAAGCTTAAGTTTTAATTCCACTGCTGCTCTCTTAACCTTTATATTTGTGAGGTGATAGACCTATTTATTGGCAGTAAAATGTGCCAGGGAAACACAGAGATATCTGGCTGTGTTGTGAGAACCAATTCCAATTCCCTACATAGCTTACCCTACTTCATGGCAGGAGACCATTAAGATTAGATAGGTTGAGATAATTCCGCTATTAGTTACCTTAGCAACAGAAAATACATGTAAAGCATCTGAACATCCCAGAGGTATACCTACGACTTACAATGTTTAAATGGAGACACATGGGATTCAAACTATATTAAGTCACAATAAATGTTAAATATGTTTGCTTTGACTGTAATACAAAAGTAAAAACATAAATCCACACATACAGCTTGTCCGCTTAACAGGACAATAGGCCTGTCACCTGTCATGTGTGCTACACTATTATCTGTCAATGAATGGACCAAGGGCTTATCAGGATCTTTTTTGTCTGACTTGTTAAATCGTCAAATCCTGGACAAAAGTGTATTCAAAAAGTACAAAAGAAGTGTCAGCCTTCATCAACAAGCAACAGTATTTTATTTATATGTTGACACCCTGCCTTACCCTCACTTCTGACAGTTTCTTTTTAATCGAGGCAGAGTCTCCCGATGAATCAGACCAGTGCTGTAGCTCTTCTCCAGCAGTCATCAGCCAATCAGTGAGTTCCCTGACAGCCTCCAGGTAATTTTGATGCTCCAACACCACAGCCTGTGCAAGACGTACTCTCTCAAACACAGAATTGACAATCAAACAAACAAAAAAAAAAATGTGGTCATTCACAATATTATTATCTGTAGCTCTTCTCCAGCAGTCATCAGCCAATCAGTGAGTTCCCTGACAGCCTCCAGGTAATTTTGATGCTCCAACACCACAGCCTGTGCAAGACGTACTCTCTCCTGAAGACAAACAGTCAGAATTGACAATCAAACAGCAAAAAAAAAAAAATGTGGTCATTCACAATATTATTATTTTTTACTCACAAATAAGATAAATAAGTATTGTACCTCAACCAAGGCTGTGAGGTCATCAAACTGTGCCTGCAGCTGGGTACGGGCACCATGGTTAAAGCCAGCGTCACCTGTCTTTTTGAACAGTTCTCTAGCTTTTTCTTCTAGACTGGACAGTGCCACCTGGTGGTCCTCCAAGTCAGCTAGCAGGGTTCTGAGTCTCTCTAGCTGGGAGGCCTTTTCTCTGGGCCCTGGCTGAGGGGTGAGAGGGGCGCACACCTCCCGCTCCACAACCTCCATCCAACACTGCAGCTGGGCAGCACTCTCAAGGTATCCACCCCACTGAGACACAGTCCACTCCAATCGACTGACGGGAAAAAAATGTATCTGTTAGTCTGCCACTGCAGAATAAGAGAGTTGCACATCATGAAAAAAACCGGGGAAATCTCTGAAATAACAAAAAAACATCATTTAGAGATGTGTAGAACTTTTTTTTGTTGATTTTTTTGATGTGGTAAAAGTTCAAATCATTTTTAGATGTTTTAAAATGTGTTAAATGTAGGTAAAAAAAGTAAGCAATGATTTCCACGTTCTTCGTAGTCCAACAGGTACTGACATCATTGACACTGATGGACAGATAATCTGGTTTCTTTTAACTCTGCAATCTTGAAGCATAGAAAGCTATTCTGAACATCAAATCTGAACACAAAAACATTGGTATAACTTCTGTAATTCTAATACATTAGTAGAGTTTATATTTCATACCCATGACATGTCTCAGCGATATACTGTGATTGACTGTAATACTGGCTTAGTGCCTTTACCCCCTTTATCTGGAGGTTCAAGCACACACAGTACAGATACACACCCATCATTTTCCCTGCCATCTGTTACCCCTGCATGAACAAATAACGGCAAAATCTGCTAACACACAGAGACACAAGAGAAAACATAGACACACACAAACACACACGTAAAAACCTCTATGTCACCTGCTACCCCTCGCCTACTGTTCTCCCGTTGCCTTAATACGCAAACACACCCCATGTGTGACTCACTGTTTGCCATCCACCACTTAGTCCCTGATGAGATCAATTTTTTTTGTAGGAGGGGCCATAATTGCTCGATTATACACACACACACACACAGATGCAGGTGCATAATGTCTCACACACACACACACACACACACACAGACAAAAATCAGATTCATCAATCAGAGTTACAAAATGGAAATAAATACGTCTAATTATGTATTTAACCCAATGGTAATTAATAGCATTGAGACATGACTCTGTCATGATGAGAATAACCTGAGCCCAGGAGGGACCATTTTTTGGCACAAGGGTAAATTGCCTTTTAATCCTCCAGCGGTTAATGTTCATATGGTACATTCAAAAGCAAAAAATTAATATGCGCTGAATGAGATTTGTTTAACAGCTGCTTTCGCTTTCAGTAAATTAAGTTCTACATTCAAACAAATTGAAATAGCTGCTTAAAGGCAGGAGCTCTTCTTCATTGAATAGTCAGTTTATATTCCAGGTAAGGTGAAGCGGCAAGTTTACCTGTGGCAGCTCATGGCAGTCACAAGCAGCGTTGCCCAAGCATCCTCCACTTCCTGCAGCTGAGAGCGCACCACCTCCTGTCCAGTGGCACCATAGCTTCGCAGGGCCAAACTCACCCTTACCCATCGCCATATTCAGCTTGACCTCCCCCTCCCCCTTCAAAAGCAGGATGTCCTGTACAAACAGAGCGAGGTCAGAGTGAACTGGATTTCGACGTCAAGAATTCAGATGCAGCAATGTTCAAACTAACAGCTCCCCCTTGTGTTCATTAGAAGAATTCTGAAACGTAACATTTAACTAATATTTCAAGGGAAATTACAGGTATGTGTAGTCTATTTGCAAAACCCCACCTCACCTGCACAGTCTCCAGCCTCTGCTCTAGCTGCTCTTTGGTTCCCATGGTGCTGTCTACTGTACCCAGCCTCTCTTGGATCTCCATATGTATTGTTAAGAATATTTAACAGCCCATACTGTGGTTTCTATAACATATGTCCTCACACGCCCACATACACATACCTTCTTTCAAGCAGTTCCTTATGGAGGTTTTCCATCCTCTCTAGCTCTTCTGTGATGTCCATGACTCCCTGCTGGCTCTCTGCCCCTAAAACAGGCTCGCTCTTGAGGCTGACATCCATCTGCTTCAGCCAGTTTCTAATACCATCAGCGGAGCCATTAAAACTTGGGAGAAGACAGAAAGGGAGCGGAGGAGAGGAATTTTACCTTTCTGTCCAAATTCCTTTGCACACATAAAATACACAACAAGGGTGATAACTGTACATACTTTCTCAGAAGTTCAATACTCTCATGCAAGTCTTGTTGGTTCTGAGAGCAACTGTCCATGTAGTTCTTCCACTCTCTCTTACAGGACGAAAGATGCTCTTGAACCTGTGCCGCTCCAGCTTTAGACAAGTGGACCAGAAGCCTCTCAGCTTCCTCACAAACCCGAGATAGACGCTCATCACCCTCTGACATCTGCTCGACTGACACCTGTGGGTCGAGATCGAGCAGCATGTTGTGAAAAAACAATATTGGAAAACCATTTTTATATTTTCATTTTACCATAATGTTTGCACCATGACAAAAAAAGGTATTCAATTATGACTAATATTACCTTTAGCCTCTGAAACTTAGCCCCAAGGATGCCAACATCTCCAGATTGATTAGAACAATCTTTAAGGTCCAACTTCTGATCTGCAAGCCAGGAGTGGAAGTCTTGGACGAGCTCTGTTCAGAGGATCAGAGAGTACAGGCTATAAGGAAAAACTATAAGCAAAGAAAAACTGTTGTGTGATAAAAGTAAGCAAGGCAAAAAAAGGTTTAAAGCGAAGAAGCCTGAAGGAGGGAGAGAGGAGGTGATGTGTTGAGACAGATGGGGAGTGTGGGCGTGTCCATGCTGTGCAACGCTGGGTTGCCTTGCCAACTAGAACCAAAATGACTCCCTGGAGAGCAGATGTGACGAGAGCAGCATTACTCTCTGAGGCACAGGTGTGTGCCTGAGGATGAGAGCGCACCAGTGTATCAGACAGTGTGTGTCAATGGAGTGTGAGTTGTAGTGGGCGGATTGAGTGTTCTCTGGGGAACATATAGGATAATCAGCAGTAAATCTGCTGAAACACTAACACGAACAAATGACATTGCATCCTGTAGTTGTGCCATGTTTGAATTGGTGATCATGAGGGTTTAAGTGATATTAAAATGCTTTTTTCTCCTTATATGGAAATCAGAAAGTCACTTTATAAGTTATTGTTACAGAACCATAAAGAAAGAACTAAGACATAAATAAACAAGGTGTGATGGACTAAATCTCAACAAAATGCGAAATTGAAGCTGGGGTAGGCAACTTTGGATAAACCAGCCATATTAAAGCTTTTAGCTAATTTAATTGGGTATGAATCACACTGAAATTAATATGGGTGCTTCTATGTGATCTACTAAGGCACATAAGACCATCAATGCCTTATTTGCGGTGCAGGGCAGGTTCTCTAGAGAGCTTCGTATAGAATCGTATTTTCATCCCTAACATGATTTAACTAAATTTTTTAAAGATATATTTTGGGCATTTCAACATTTACAACAAATGCTTCTAAAATAAATTCTTCGCTCTAGTTTTAAGTCATATTCACGTCCCATACCGTTGAAGTGGAGCTGTAACCCATCCTGCAGGTTACCCCTTGTCTTGGCACAGCGCTGCGCAACAGCCTCTGTTTGCTTTGCAATGGTGGTGAGCTCAGAGCTGAGGCATGACAACTCCTGAGAGGGATGAGACCTGCACAGAGCACTCAAGGCATCTCGAGCCGAGTCCATGTCTGCCCTCTGTTGCTGCACAACACCCTGCAGGTCCTGAAAGGGGAGTGTGTAACTTGTAAGTATCATTTTTCAATGTGATATGTTTAGTTACTGAGTTGATTGCGTTGTTGTACCTTAACTGTGCCAATGTCTTCAGGAGAAGTAGCCTCAGTGAGGTCTGATAAGGAGCCCTCAACTGCCTTCAGCCGCTCGGCCATCTGGGACATGAGGTCCTCCAGTCGCTGCTTCTGGAAACTGAAGTAGGTCAGAGTGTGTTTGGCCTGGTTGTACACCTCCTGCGCATGGGCCATTTTCTTTTTGAGGTCTGATTCTAGGACCTGTATAAAAAAAAGAAATTAGAGACAATTTTTTTTTTGTTGCAGCATCTTAAGTACATTACATTTCAGTCCAACATGTTAAAAAGTTCCTATGAGGAATTGTTAGCTGTTTAAGATCTGAAAATGAAACTGATGTCTCTTTATGACCTACAAAAGCAAAACAAGACGCTAAGCATAATGATTGACTATTTGTAAATAGTTATTTTTAATGCCTGAAACCACTGCCACTGTGTCAAGTGAAGTTATGAACTACATGCAGCTGAAGCAGCCTTTATTCACATCTTCCATAGCAGAGATTATCCATGAGCGATAAATATCAAAAATGAGCGTGAGGAAAAGTTCCTCACAGGAGCTTTAATGACAAATATTTCAGATTGAGAGGTTTCCTTTAACCATACAAAGTAATATGGCTACACAAATTAACTCATCATAATGTTATGAAAATAGAGTGACTACTATCCGGTTGCATTAAATCAGATCTTTGGTGGTACATTTTTCTTTGCTCTTAACAACAACATGTCTCTTCCCCACTCACCTGCATTTGTAACGGGGTTTCCTGCAGCTTTGCTCGCTCCTTCAGCTCCGTCACTCTCTCCTGCAGGGCATCGAGCGTCTGCTCTCTCTTCTCGACCTCAGCCTGCAGATTGAAGTGCAGGACATTTCAATTACATCACAGCTGCTATGAACTCAATGTTACGACACCATCATCGTTATTCAAACACTCCTGACCTGAAAGGTGTCAAGATGGGCCTCTGCGTTTTCTTTATCGCTGAGATTGGTGACACTATCGGTGAGATCAGCGATGGAGTTGGCGCTCCATTGGTTGATGTCCTGCTCCATGGACCTGAGGTCGTCCCAAAGGCTTACGCAGTATCCCAGCCTCTCTGTGTTTGTCTGTATCCTCTCTGAGACCTACGGGAAGAGAGACCAGTGGTCTATATGAATACAGAAAACATCTCAATCAACAGGAGAGGTATGATCTCCCCCCCAACCCCCCCTTTGGGTTTACTTTTCTCTCTCCCTCTCTCAGTAACAAGGGACAGTATGCTTTACCAGAAGATGGAAGGAAAGCAGGACTTAATTGGTTTGACAGATGTGGGGATGAGAAGTGAGAGAGACAGAGAGCGAGACAGGGAGGCAGATAACGTGTCTAGACTTGTTTATATTTCTGTCTCATTTGTGACAGCTGAGCAGCCAACTAAATCCCATAAGAGGAGAAAATAGAAAAAAAGGGAAAACACAGAAATAAATATCATTAAAAAAAGGAACAGCATTAGTGCCTGGTAGAGCTGAACAGTGGATCTCATAATTGATTTCTGAAAGTAAACAACATCAAAAGCTGTGTTATTTTCTTCAAAGGGGTTTCCTATTACAGATCTAGACCTGAGGTGAATTTGTGGGATTAGGACAATTCATTAATGCCGTGAAAAAGGTAATATTTTAACCCGCTCATCAGGTAGTGTTTCTATACTAATGTTATATATTTCTCTGATCAAGTATTTTATTTTAGCTGTCAAAGAAAATGTGCAGCATATGTTATTGTGCACCACTCACCTCCAGCCACTGGTCTCTTAATGTCTCTGTGTCTTTCTGGATGAAGTTCGTATCTGAGTGGGGAACCTTCTCGAGCTCTCTTTGCAGGTCCTCCACTGTGCTGATGAGCTGGTCCATGTCTTCCTGTTTTTCTATCAGTTCAGACTGCACTGTTTCATGCTACAGGGACAGAGAACGATGCAGACGATATGACAACAGACCACCACTAGAGGGAGATCGACTGTACACACTTGAACTAGAGGGGCTGTTAGAATGCAATTCCATTTCTGAGATTTCAGTGAACTGACTGAAAAGCAAAATAAATCCTAGTGATTAAACACAAATAAAAAATAAAAGCAGAATCAAAGTTTTGAGCTCTGCAAGATGCACCTATAAATACCTGCTTCACATTTTGATTTTTCTACTTGAAAAGATAATTTTCAGTTTTTGTTTTCAGAGAGATGTTTTGTCATACTGTGGACCAAGTGGGTAAAATATGGAAAGCCCCTACAGACAGATTTTGTTGAGTTGACGAACCATGGATCCCGTGATGCCGTCTTGTCTTATCAAACCTAATTAAATTTGACTTTTTCTCTTCTGGAGTCTCTCCAAAGAGAAAAAAGAAAAGAGGACGACAAAGCTGTCATTGTTTCAGAGCTCAGTTATATCAACTGCTATCCAACAACAAAAATAAAGAATAAAAAACAGTATGATTCCTCATGATGTTAAGATCCTGCATCTTGATTTGATGACAGAAGATTTAATGCAAGCATTTCTGATGCCAAACAAGTTACAATCATGGGACTCCAAACCTCAGAGAATGGTTGGAAATAGTTTAATAAATCTTGTAATGGAAAAGATGATTTTCTCTCTATGCCTTAAAAGGAGCAACTTCTGCTAAGACGTGGGAGAACACATGTTTTTTTGTCTCCATAAAAATTTGATTTTTTTTTTTTTTTTTTTAAATATTAGTAAAAAAAAATGCTGTGTAAAAAAGTTCATAAAGTAAAGTAATCATTGGTTTTTCTGTTCCAACAGACTTGATCATTTAGCTTCTTGGACTTTGACAGAGATGTTTCATAGCTATAATTTAATGTTCATAATATGCTTGCCTTAAAAAAGAAATGGAGGAGTAAATGAAAGTGTTCTAGGAAAAACAGGAAGTACTGACTCGTATGAAAGTCCTCTTGGCTTCCTGGGCATCATGGTTGTGGTCGGGGAGATTGTGTGCAACAGCCTGAGCAGTCTCAACAACAGTGGTGAGGATTGACTTCAGGTGGTGGAAGTGGCGGAGAAGATCTACCAAAACTCCACTTTGTTCCTGACTGGAGGGGGAAAATACGAGGAATAAAAACACAAAACTAGGAATTGAACAAAAAGAGAGTTAAATCCCTCTCTGTCAGCCTTACTCCTTACCCATTGGTGATCAGAGTCCTGACGTTCTCCCAGGCTGTCTTCACAATTGCTACCTCCCTGAGAGCCTCCCCTGCCAGCTCGCTGTCTCTCTGGGCCAGCTGGCCTCCCTTCTCCTCTAACCACCGCTGGGAGTGCTGCAGGGACTGGAGCTCATCCTCGAGCTGAATAAAGAAACGCAGCCTGGGAGAAATAGATGCAGAAGGAAACAAAGAGGATTACTAGCCTGATTCCAATACAATATATCTAGAATTTTGAATCCACAGTTTACAGTTAGGCACAATGATAGAGACACGCATATTCAACAAAATACAGTATTCAAAGAGAACTACATCTGGTAAAGTAGAGACAAAGGTTTTCTGTGGGAGCATTACTTTGCAGTGAAGTACAGAACATGCACAAAATTAGTGTTTGTTAGCCTAAAAAATGGTCATATTGTCCAAGAGCCTTAGCTAGTGGGTTATACGATCTTGCTTAAAATGATGTCAATATTGCGAAGATGCTGGAATTGCAAGGTGCATACCTGTTTTGAAAGGCCTGTACTGAGCTCTCTCTGGCCGCCTCTTGCCTCGCTTCATCCTCCAGTTTTTTCAAATTCTTCATCACCTCCTCCCTCCTCTCCCTGAAGGAGCTCCATAGTGCCCCTAAAGCGTCTGCCTCACTCTGCCTCCACCCCACGCCTCTCTGAACCTCCTCCAGAGCCACACTGAGGGACACTGCCTGCACCCTGCATGATGTTCTTCCATGGGGGGGACTCACATCTTTGGACCTCTGCCACTCTACCCCACACAGGTAAAACTGTGCTTTGGTGAACTGACCATCTAAGCCAACTGCCTCGGCCTCAAGTCGGGCCACATCTGTAGCCACTTCCCCTATTCCATGATGCAGCTCTTCAACTTTGGAGCCGTCCCAGCTTCCCCTTCCTTCCACTGCCTCTTGAAGTCTACGCACAGCCTCAGCTGCTGCTCCATGCTTCTCAAGGAAAGTCTTTAACTCAGTCAGGCACTCTTTGCGGAGGAGAAGTAGACGCTGGGATTCATTGAGGGGTTGCAGGCAGTCCTCTCTCCAGCCCTGCAGCTCCTGTTGGGCCTCTGGTGTGGAACAGCGAATCAGGGAGGACTCTCTTTGCTGCAGAGCCTCTCTCATCGATGCATAGGCCTGTAGTTGCACCTCGTTCTCCTGCAACAAGATAGAGTAATTAGGGAAATCTGTATGAGCTCCAACAAGAATCAATATAAACTTGTTTACTGTAACTGCTCAAATAAACAGAGCCCATAAAGGACATCTTTGTTGACAGCAAATTATTGATTTCTCACCTTCAGCTTTGTAATTGCAGCCTCAAGATCAGCAACATCAACCTGGGAAGAGCTTCTCAAGCCAGACAGGAAGTTTTCACTCCTTTGGGTCAGAGTCAGCAGAGCCTGATCAAACTGCTCCAACTGCTCCAACTGAGGCTCCAACAGCTCAAGTCTAAAATAGAGGAGGAGACAGCGCGGGTGAAGAATATGAGATCATGGTTTTGATAGGCAAAAAAAAAAAATCTAGAATGCTGAATAAAGTTCAGCAGAGGTAGACAAATGTGAATCATTTTGAATACCTGTGTGATATACTGCTCTTCAAAGCAGTGCATCTCTGTTGTATTTGCGTGAGGTCATCACTGAGCTCTTGTGTACGATCTTCAGGCGCTGTGGGATACAGACACAGCCCAAGGTTCAAAAGGCCGTGGAGGAGAGCTTCATAGGATGGCGTCTCCCTCTGCATTTCCTACACGGGTCAATAAAGATTTTGTAATTTCGCAACACAAAATTAGCAGAAGACATCGTGCACAAAAGGAGCGGTAAGAAGAAAACTAAAAAAGGTCAGATCAACACTTGATAATATGTTAAAAAGAAAATACGGAAGCCCTAAGCTTATATGCATCCACATATTTAATTTATAATTGCAAAAGCACAAAACAAACTGAAATAGGCTTAACTTCATTAATTAGTTCACCTGATTGATTCGGGCAATGACAACATGGTATAGTTAACAAAGTGGGCCTATTGTTTTGTTCCCACTATGCTAGAAATTATCCCGTTATCACAAAAAAAAACAAGCCTTGATATTTTGAGTCAATGGGGTAGATTAATCTGTTATAACGTGAAAAAAAAAAAAGATTTTGAGAAAACTACTGACATTAACTCGTTATCATGGGAACAGGATGAATTAAAAGTCTGAATGCAGCTTAGGGCTTCCATAAAGGAATACACAAGTAGAAAAAACGATGTACCTGCACATTTCGTAGTTCATTCCTAAGTTTCTCTTTGTCTGCAGAGAGCAGCTCAGAGTCCGGACAGCAAACAGACTCACATCTTCCCAACCAACTTTTCATGGACGAAAGCTCCTTTTCAAATCTGTCGATGCAGAGATGAAACCAAGCAAAATGTATTGAGTCGAAATACATTTTCTGTTGCACTAATCAGCTGTAAATGACAATCAAACATAAACTGATTTTAGCAGTCTCTGAACTAACCCCATCATATATACACACACACACAAACTGATACTGTCTGTCTTGTGTGTGTTTTTTTAATTTTTTTAAGAACCAAGCCCCAGTATCAGTGACAGTGTCATAATGGGGCAACCATATCTCAGCAGACCATCCTGTGCTTTAGGTAATCCCTCATACACACACACACTTGTCACTTGCAGGGGGGAAGATGAGGTTGACTGCAGAGGAACACACATCCACACAGACACACACAAACCCAGCGAGAGTTTATCAGTAGAAATAGAATATTATAGGTATTACCTGGATAAATACAAAAAAAACCCATCACTTTAAAAATCTGCTAAGTGACTAGCTCACTGTTTTTTTTTCCTCTTGAATACGAAGAATAAGACAGAATAGTCTGAGTGGAAGTCTATTGTGCGATCAAAGAAAGCGATAACAAAAGCATGTTATTGGAATTGAAAGGCGACGGCTGACTGGGGGACAGACAGATTGTATCAGAGACAAGATCACGCTGCTCTGCATCCTCCTAAAATGAGGGAATGTTTCAAGGAATAAAAGAGGAGATTGGCATAGAAAGAAGGATTCAGCAAAAAGAGCACATGCACAATGAAAGGGGAAATAGAAATGTTTATACAATCAGATTGATATACACGTGTTGAACAAAAAAAAAAAAAAGTACTGTTCAGTTAAGGAATAGTTGTGCTCAACTATTTTTACAGGTCCATTTTTTTAAGTTCCTGGTGTTTTTATGGATGTGGTAAACACCCAGTATTTTAAACATAGTTGCATAAGTGACACACAAACAGAGACAGGAGCACATATAACATATATCCAGGATAAGACCAAAGTTAAGATACCACTGACTTTTTTCAACCACTAACAAAAAAGAAATGTGCTTTATGATTCTGAGAACTTTTTCTGTCCTGAAACATTTAAAAAATTTTCTAGAATTGTATAGAGGCAGTATGTGATCACCTGGACAGAGAAAGAAATAACAGACAGCCCTAAAGAGGAAGTCTGAGATGTGCTGAAAGAAGCCTGCTATAATATACCAGAAGATTACTAAGGAAACGTCAAGACGGTCTCCTCAAAGGAGTTAAAGATGTGCTAAGTGCAAAGGGAGGTCACAATAAATACACACTACTCCTGGAGGACATTGTCTTAATAACATTTTTTTTTAATTTGTTCACATATTTGCTGCACTCTCTTGTTCTATTGTATTCAATATATTGTGCAATACATATGAATAGTCATTAAATCCTTGGATATTTAATTCAGTTACACATTCAGCACATTGCTGTGAAAGGCTCAACACAGTGCATAAGGTTATATTCTTTTTTTAAACCACTATACCAGTGTAGTATTATTTTTTCTTCTTCCACTAAGTTCCTTATTCCGTTTTCAAATGAGCCAATATCCTTAAAAAGCTCAAATAAAACCATACAAATGTTGTTTATTTTACCTTTGCCAAAGTGCTAGAAGGCTCTCTAATGTGGATTGCTTCTCCGCGCCTTTTGCCATAAACTCTGCCTGTTGTTTCTGGTGGTTAGCCACCTCTTCCTCCAGCTGGCTGCCCTCACCAAGCCTCTTCACGGCTGAACACAAAGCCATCAGCCTGGGGTTCAGCTGCTCAACAGCCTGGCAGACCTCCTGGAGGACACAGAAGCACACTTGTCATCAGCTCTGATGACATTGTTAAACCACCGAGGGTACCAGTCTGAGTTACTCTTGAATATAAATAACGCTAACATGATAATTATGATGAGGCCAATCGTACAGTGTCAGTAATATGTTATGATTTTGTGATGTAACGTAACAATTCCATTCCTCGTGTGGTTTTTCTTACCATATGGTCCTGGAGGATTTTGTACGTCTCACATGATGATGTGCAGTATGTGACGGGACAGTCCAGCCTCTCTTTAAGATCACTCATTGTTTTCTTGACCTGATAATGACAAAACTTAACTCATTCAGAAGTTAACACACTCAAACTAGCACAGTATTTTTCAATGAATGCCCCCCACACTGTTCAATCAATGCTGCTGTGTACCTGTTCAAGGTTATCGTTATATCTCTGCCTGTATGTGGCGCTCTGGTTGAGCTGGCCTCCGAGCTGCTCTACTCTCCACTTCATCTCTTCCCAGTTACGCCTCATCTGTGCGAGTTGTGTCCGAATGCGTCCAGCTTCTCCGGGGGTCACAAAGATCGAGAGGGCCTCGCAGTCCGCCTCCATGTGAGCCAGCGCGACCCGTCTCTCGTCTAAAACCTCCCCCACAGCCTGGAAGGATGAAGCAGCAAAAGGAGTGATAATCAGGAAAGTATAAGAGGCAGGAGTTGGGGAAAATAAACATGACAGAATATAAAATAGTAGAAAAATAAAAAGTTGATAAGGCGGAGACATTGCTGTGCTTTATCTTCAATGTACTCCCTTATCTCCCTTGGAAAAGGTTGTGTCAAAGTACTGGCTCAGGCATGCATATGAAATCGTAACTAATCAAATGGCTGCTGCAGGATTTTTTGGTGTTTTTTTGCCCTGGGTCGACATGAGATTGACAAGGCCCAGATCAGGCAAGCAGAGCTTATATTTTCTTCAATGTGATCAATCTATTTTCTGTGTCTGAGTCTTTGCTGCAGCTCTGACCCAATTTCCCCTCGGGTTAGATTAAAAATGTCATTTTATTTCCTCCTAATCTTAAGAACCTCGAGGCCACTCCGTTACTGTCATTTATGGACTAAAGCGCAGACAGCAAAACTAATTTCACTCAGAGCTACTTTAATACTTTGTATGATTTATTTGGGAATATCCAAATATATCACAGGAGCTGTGTGTGAGTCAGTATCATGATCATCTATAAAGGATTGACCTAGAGTATAAAAACAAGGTGTAGAATACCTCCACTTTGCTGATTTGTTTGTCCAGGGGATCTGTGGAGGAGGAGGTGCTAACAGCTTCTAACTCCTCCTCTGTCTTGTTCATCCACAGAGAGACAGCCTCAGACTCTCTGCTGAAGCGCTCCCACCGCATACACACCGTCTCCAGCTGGACAACACTGAAAGGACAGGCAAAAACTATTTGAAACAGTATAATATAAATGTTTAAAGAACACTCTAGATTTGTCCTAGTCAAACAAATTACTTTACTTCGAGTATATTTCATATTTCTTTTCATATTTGATTTATTTACTAATTTCAATGTTTGGTTCCCACAAAATATAACACAACATGAAATATTTTCTCATGATAACACTGTCCATACGGGAGCAGGGAGAAGAAAAGCACTTCTTTCAAATTTCAAAGGCATGGGAGACATAAGGATGAGGATGGGACGTACTTCTTGTTGAGGTGGTCTTGAAGTTGTGCGACAGCTTCCTTGGTGGACTGGGCCTGCTGCAGAAGAAGAGTCTGATTCTTTGGGCCGAGCTGAACATCTGCTGCCTTTTCCAGGAGGAGATCTGCTTGTATGGAAAACTCCTCACTCTCTGTTAGGAGCTCCTACAGGCCAAATGAGGGCGTGTTTTAGTACAGGCAGATACAGATCATACGATGCATGCGTGTTCACCAACACACACATGTTCTGTCCATTCATACCTTGTTATGCTCCAGTTCCGTCCTCAGGCTGTCCACGTTGTTGAAAATCAGTTCTTTGTGCAGCTCTTCGTTTGTGTTACTGACAAACCTCCAAACGGTTTCTCTGTCGGCTTCAAAATTCTGCCAGGAGCTCAGAGTTTCCTTGAGAGCAAGAAGAAAAGCAGAATAATCTCAGTGGGCTTTATTCAGGAATACAGAACATGTACACACTTGTCTTCCAGAGACTTTTGGATCAAAATAATCGGGCCGAAATCTCACTAGACTTTTTTTTCCCCTAAAAAAACGTAATTTAATACTATAGGAAGAGACTTTACACGTGTGTTCATTTATGTGCTTAACAATGTTTTCCTCTGAAACACGTTTATTTTCTAATCAATTTGATGACAGTGATAGAGGGTTATGAACAAATCCAAAGACAACAGAAAGAAACTAAATTAAAATACCAGACAACAATCAATAACCTTGTTTAGCTCCAAGAGTCAATGATCACTGTGAGGGCGTGTGGACACATGCACACATTAGCACACTCCACACGTGAGAAAAAACATGGCTCATGGTACCTGCAGGTTGTGCTCCTTTGCCTCTGATTTACGGTCCACCTCTCTGAAAGCTCCCTCCAGCTCCCGTAGAGACTCACTGAGCGTCTCCCCTTTCTGCAGCTGTCGGCAGTGAGACACCAGGAGCTCCGCCTCTCTCCTGTTAGCATGCAGGCGCTTTAAGTGTTGCTGGAACAGACAAGTGGAGAAGTAACCAACATGTATCACAGTGTGGATTACAACAAGCATTATGACCCTCCACAGTGTCAAGCAGTGGCAGTTACTGTCCGGTTGAGTCTCTCACACAAGTGTCTGATAACTACATTTGAGGGATCAACCCAAGAAATGTTTATATCTACACCTATCTATCTCTACAGATCGAACATATCTGCATTATATACTGTATTGATATCGGATGTTTTTTTTCTCCTTTTCTCTCTTTTTTTTTTTTTTTTTTTTTAACTGTAACTGGTTTGCTGTCTCAGCTGATTTCCAATGGGGGTGGGGGGGGGATTATGGGGCATCTCCAGATTAAATAAAGGGTTTGATTTAGAATTTCAAACGTTTCGGGTGACTTTACTTTTAATGTAATGTCAGAGACTAAAAAAGGCTTCAATCTTACAAGAGACTGCTGAGTTGGCTCTACATCTTAAAAATCACTAATGGCTAGTAGTTAAAACACCTTGGCTCAGCAGAACTTAGACCCTCAGGGGCTGTTAAATTAACTTCAATATTATGTGAGGTTACTTTCCTTTACATCAATCAAACCACACATAATCCAAACAAAAATGACATTTCCATTTGGTCAAACTACGTCTTAAAATTCAAATAGAGACGTTGACTGCAGAAATTGCCATGAAGGCAAAGAATTTAGAAATGTTTCCATAGAAACACACTTTAACTTGTGTATAATACTATATATTAATCAACCTATTTCAGTGTCATTTGATCCTCCCATTATTAAAATATCTGTACACAATAAAACCACACTGCGACACACACCTGGTGAAAAAGGTAAAGTTGTTTCGCCTCCTCCAGCCCCTCTGCATCCAGGATCCTGCTGGTCTGCTCCTCAGCCTCCCTGCGTGCTCTCAGAACCTCCTCCAGTGCGCCGTGCACCTCCTCCCTCAGCTCCTCGTACTGGAACATAGCAGAACCCTCCTCACCCCACTGTGGATGAGGATTAGACACAAAGATTTTGTTGAGAAAACTAAGGAGACGGACAGGTTTTATGTTTTTCCTTTTAAACTCTTGAAATACCTGACAAAGTGAAGAAAAGAGAGCCCGCAGGTCAGTGGAGAGTTTGGCCAGAGCAGTTCTCTGTCTCTGGACCTCCAGATCAGAGCTAACCTCAGACAGCCCAGAAAGACGGCTCTTAAGCCACAACAGGCTCTCCTCTCGGGCATCTATTGCTTCCTGCAGAGCCTGGAAATTGTGCAAACATATCAATTTACAAGCAGGTTTCTGAGATAAAGTAGTATTGGATCATAACTTAACCTCTGCTCCAACGGCAGAAATGTGTTAGCTCACCTGGACAGCAGCATCAACTTGCTCTTTGTGGCTGGAATTTCTTGAAGTCTCTTTTAAGAGTCTCACCTGCCTCTTTTGAGAAGAGACCCAATCAGAAAGCTCACAGAACCTACAAAAAAAGGAAATCCTAGTTGAACCCCTTGGAGCAATAAAATTGTCTTTTAGATTTTGAAGATACTAAGAGCGCTTTGCTTTTTTTCCCCATCCCTACCTCTCGTTCCAGTCTTTCCATTTATCAGGGTGCTGCTCCAGCTTGAGGTGGGTGCTCTTGATTTGCTCCATAACCTCTTCTACAACGTTTCTGGTGGAGTCTAATGTGCGATAAGCCGGGTCGTTGTCAGGTAACTTCTGACACAGATCTTCCATGATTCTAATCCTCTTCTCACACGAAGTCAGAGGTTTGCGTTCCCTAAAAAAAGTCTGGAGGTAAGAGAGGAGGACATCGTGAACCTAAGATGCTGAAGGACGCTGATTATGAAGGCATTAAGTGATTTCATCTTTCTTTTCCACCGTCACGTTGATGAAATGTGTTTAAACCAAAGCTTAGTCTCACTCTGTGCTCTTTGATCACTCTCTCGCTGGTGCAGGTACCAGACAGGGCGTGCACTTCTCTGTCCAACTCCACTCTGCAGTCTTGTATGATCACACAGACTCGACTTCGCTCCACCCCCACCTTCAGACGGAGCAGGTGAGACGGTACCTCAGCCTGGATGTCCTGTGGAAAAGACAGAGAAGACTCATTACATACAAGACATGGTAGATAAGATAGTCTGCATAATATCAATTAGTTTCAGTGACTTTTGTGGAGTCAACAAAACTGTCAGAAACCGACTATCCTCTGAGGAGACTACAAGTAAACACCATAGAGGTTGCAGTTTGCTCCGACTAGTACAGGTTAATTGGAAAGAGACCAGAGAGAACTCCATCAAAGCCGAAGGTCTTCCTGGTTAAGTTAATGAAGTATCGGCTATATGCCTCCGGAGATGTCTTGTAATTAGTGAGAATATTAACGCATGTGAACCCCTGACCTTCCAGTGTTTATGCAGCCTTCGGACAGTTTCTTGCAGCCCCTCCTGCTCCTCCTGGGGAAGGATGTCAGTAAGCTCGTCGCATGCCTTCAAGAAAACACTCAGCACACGCTGGTCAAGTTGGCCCAAAAAATCCTGTACGGAAAAATATGCGGGCAGTTTAGAGAGAGGAAAAGAATTTGAGGAGATAAATGAGGGTGTTTTGGCATCAAGAATCCTCAGAGACTCGCAAATAAGTCTTTGTGGCCAAACAGAATGTAAGTAAGAAAAATGAATAAATAAAGAATTTTAAAAATTACTTTCAATCATTGGTTTCTCAAGAACTGATATGAAGCCTAACAATCCTGGTCTCCATATTGGCAATGCTACCGCTGCCTAACTTTCAATGTAGAAACAGACAAAGAGATGGAGAAGGGTCAGGCCTTTAGCCTCAAGTGGGCACTTGAGGACCTGCAGTTTTCTGCACATCTGCATCCGCTTCATTTTGCAACACTAGTAAATTCTACCAACCAAAATTTCCCCCCCAAAACATGACCTACAGGTATTTTTGAGAATTTCAGGAGTTACCTTATTATACACTTTGGGCTTGATTCACTAGAATTGTCGTCAAGTGTGCGTGTGACATCACTTATAAACACTGCGGTGCAATTACAAGTCTCACTATGTTAATTTTTTTCCCATTCTGAATGAGTCACTGTTTGTGTATTAGACACTTTTTGCATCCAAAGGGGCCAAATTCTCCCCAAATGACTGCACAATGCCTCATTTAAATATGCGCAAACCGTCGCACAGAGATGCTGTTTACTCTGCAGCACAGTTAGGGGCGCACTTAACCCATTGAGTGTGTTTTGTGAATTAGACGGTGTGTTTTTGACTCAGAAGATGCACAAGTTCAGCAGGCACAAATACCACACATCCTTTTGTGAATAAGGCCCTACATTTGTCTTTATTGACAAGTTAGCACTTAGTTGTGTTCAATTCAATTCAATTTAAAAAACTTTATTTGTCCCCGGGGGCAATTCTTGTATAAGAACATCATACATTCAGAGACTAGAATTCTTTTATACATTATCTGTACCCTTCATGGACTTGCTCTATTTGCAGCAGAAGGTTACTTGATGAACTTACAGTGTGTTTCTTCAGTAATTCTTCAGCGTCTCCGGTTTCTTTTAAGCAGCCCTGAGCTTTCTTCAGTACTCTCTCCAGCTCTTGTCTTGATTCTTCAAACCTCCTCCTCAGGCAGTTGTTCGCCTCTTCCTGCCTTCTCCATTCCCCAACCTCCTTCAGCAAAGCCTGAAAGGACGGACGGTAGGTAGTTTTGATTGTAATCGGTCTCTTTGGTAATACGGTTTAATTACATTATTTGTCTTACATTATTCAAATGAACAGTGAGACACTTGACTAAATTTAATCTGCACTATTGCCTCCTGGGTGTTTTGATGTCCTTGTAAGCTCATTAATGTAATCAGTGTTGTGGGTAATTCAGGGTCTGTAAGGCATTCTGGTGTGCATTCATGTATGTTTAACACTTACCTGTGCTGACGCCTGTATTTCAGCCACCCTCTTCTGCAGCTGGGACAGGTCGAAGTTTCGGAGCACCTTGCTGTTGGACAGCAACCTCTGCAGGGTGTTGTAATTCCTCTCAATCACTGACAGACAACGTTTACAGGTTTGCTGCTGGTTAAACAAATCCTGAGGAAATGGTGGACACAATGAAGACAAAGGAGAAAATGGGTTGATATCAGTACATTTAAATAGTCTAACACTGTTAGTATAGAATGTCAGCAATTCCCCTCCATTCAAACACTTCAGAAACTTTAGAAAGATGAGGTTGTAAAGACTAAGATTTATATTTTATCAGTGACATCGGGATAGTAGTGAAGGAGCTAGAGCAGGTACAACAGAAAACAGATGTAGTTGTATTTAATGCAACGGGAATACATTACATAAAGACAAAAGTTAATATTTTTTGCTTTGGTTAATTTTCTAAATAATGCAGATATTTATTTTGATAAAAATAACTCCTGATTACTTTTTGCCATTAAACAACCATGAGATACAACATTACACTGTGAAACTTTTTTTTTTTTTTGCAAATGCACTGCACAAACACAAGAACTCTGGAGAAAAGGACCCTACATTCAACTTTTACCTGGCAACCATTTAATTTGTGTTTTGTCATATCCTTCACATCTTACCTGCCACTTTTGTTTTTGCTGGGCCTGGCTCTGTGGGTCTTGGTCTCTGGCAGCAGCAGTGATGCGACTGGCCCGCTCCAGGGCTTGGTAGAAAGTAGTGACGTGTTTCTCCATCTCCTCCAAGAGCGGCAGAAAGACATGACACTCCCTCACAAGGGGGGGACACCGCTCTCTCACCTGGGGACAAATCATACAGGCCATCAAACAGTGACGCAGACACTGACGACAACGAGTGATCAGACTATCTTAAATGTCTCATAAAGGCAAATGTTAAGTGTGATGCTCTATAAGAAAGGTTGGAATAGACTTGAAACTACTTTTATGTTCCAGGTGTAAATAATATCTACCTTGCTCAGCTGACTCTTGGCTGTTGCCATAGTTGCCATGACCCTGGCAGCCTCATCCTGTGGCGCATCTTTGGCAAGGAGCTGAGCACTGCGGCCAGCCAACTTGTATTGTGTCTCCATGGAAACAACCTTTTGCCTGGTATTCTGAGATGAGGCAAAGGGTCATGGAAGAGAGTCTTAGATGAAAACACTTTCATCAAAACTGCATTAGGCTGTAAAAAAACTGTATGTGACTTATTTGTCTGCAACTCTGACTGAAGTGTACATTCAGTGAGACGTACCACAGCTTGGAAGAAAATGTAATTAACTCATTTGATATGTTTCTGCAAAATTCCTGCCATACTTACTTGAAAGTTAAAAAAGAACTGTAATGAACTCAGTCAAATGCATGTAAATGAATCAGTGACAGGATCTGAGTCTAATTGGAGCAGAAACAACAGAGCATGTTCAAGGGTGGTTGTAATGTGCAGCTACTCTCACCTCCACATCCTGCAGAAAGCCTCTAACGCTGAGGAAAGACACCTGAACAGGAGCATTAAGTTTGGCCTCTGCCGTGTCCAGAAGCTCTTTCAGCGTCGTCACAGCCTTTAAATGGTCTTTTCTCCACTTCTCCAGCTCATCTGCACGGGCATACTGCAGTACAATAAAGATCATAAAAACATTAGCATTGATTTTATGAGAGGCGTTAAATGAGAGAAATGGAGGGATCTTTATACATTTTGGCTTCTCAAGTTCAGCATGGTTTAGCCATCAGGGACCTTTGGCTCTGGAATTATCTGTAGTCTTGCCTTTTAAGTGGTGTTGTCTTTTCTCTGTTTTTATTCTTTTTATTTGTGTCTATCTGTTTCTACATTTTTACCAATTATACATGATCCTGCTTTTTATACCATTGTCTTATTGCTTTAATTGGACCCTCATTTCATCTGGCTTTTTGAGTTTTATTCTTTGGGTTTCTGTTTTGTTTTTTTTTGTTCCCCGCACACGGCTCAAACTAAAGGGAGATAGGCCCTTTTCAGTAAAAGCCCCTAAACTGTGGAACAGCCTCCCTCATTCAATCAGGTCTGTACAGCACTTTGGTCAGCTGTAGCTGTTTTCAAATGTGCTTTATAAATAAATATGACTTGACTTATTATTATTCTCCTTTTTTTGGGGGTAAACTTTCAACATTATGTTAAAAAAATATCAGTGTTAATACTTTTCTTTATGTAACAAGTGCAGATGAGGGACAAATTGTTCCAAATATTCAGATAATACTCGTTCAAAATCACCCATGTCCTTTTCTTTTAACAACTAAATTAGCTACAATGCATAATTAAATTGGAGATAGAGTGTGATCCAACTCTTGCTCTCCTCTGACAAACTGTATCTTCTGTTATTTTTAAAGGTGTTTTTGTTTACTTGTTTGACTTTGAGAAAGAGGTCTCTCCATCGTCCGTTCAACAAAAGAAGCTGCTGCTTGAGCTCAAGTGACATGGTCTCATCGCACGTCTCAATCAGAAAATTCCCTGCGTCGTTCATGGCTGAATGCTGATCCATCCAGTGGCTGAGATTCCTGAAAAACTCCTGGAAGAGAGAGAGAGAGACTCATTAATAAGACAAAAAGAAACAAAGAATTAATAGAAACAAAGAAAAACACAAAGAACGAGTGTCAGAAACAAAGACAGTCACTCAAAAAAGGAAACAAAGGAAGGTATTCAAAGATAGAAACAAAGAGAGGACAATAAAAAAAGAAAACTGGGGTAATTAGCCATCTAATCCTTGGTGGGGTGTGAATCTGAGGTAACCATAGCAATACGACAACTGGAATATCCTTAGTGGCTTGTTGTAAGTCAAGGAGATCATTTGATACTTGAGTGGAGACTGCTAATAGGATTTCATTTAGAAGACCAAATTCTTGAAATTAGGCTGACATGGATTTTATTGCTTCTTCTCTGTGGCAGCCCATCAAATAAAATACAAGTCTGAGGGGACACTTAATCTGTCTAAAAAAAAAAGTTAGAACTTAAAGTATACGAAGGCGTTTCCTACAATCTCTTACCCGCTTAGTATTTTCTGGCTGGCCCAGGGTTTCTTCAGCATCCTCTAGCCAAGCTTGTAAGGAGGCCACGATGGAGCTGTACCTCTCCCAGTTAGAGAGCACCTCCTCCAGCATGCTCCTCACACTGCGCACCTCCATAGACAGACTCCTCCACTGGGTCACCACCTCCCGCATGAACCTGCGTACTCCCATCTCGCCTTCATCCACTGAAGAAGAGATACATTATTAACGAAGAAAAATACATCAACAATGATTTAGAGTAGTCATACTTCTACGGCCAGCACCGCTACTACTTCAAATCCTATTGGTATCGCTGCGGTTGCTGATAACAAAGCTACTCATACTGAAGTAGTGTAAACACATTTTTGAAGATTTATTTTCAGGCTTTTATGCCTTTATGTTAGTGATAGGACAGTGGATAGACTCAGAAACCAGGAAGAGTGAGAGAGTGGGGCGTGCAATGACATGCGGGAATGGAGCCACAGGCCGGATTTGAACCTGGGACGCCCGCTTTGAGGGCTTAAGCCTCTGTACATGGAGTTGCACGTACTAACTGCTAGACTACTGCCAGCCCTTAAATGTTAAAATATAACATGTTTATTTCTATGGATTTCGACGAGGTTGAAGCAACACTGTGAACTAATGAACTCTCTTAAAAATAAAAAAACTGAATTTATGAAAAATAAAACTTTTTCTTTTTAATTAATTAATTAATTAATTAATTTAGAAGCAGCATAATTTCTTCTTCAGGCAGCTCATGGTTGCTAATGTAAGCTAAATTTGAGCTAATTGTGTCTGTTATTTTTAAGTCAATTTGATGACTCATGGACTCTTCCCCACTCTTATCTTTGTTTATTTACATTTTCTCATCATATAATTTTCACTTTGCCCCTCCTTCAGGGCAGAAGACACATTGTTCAAACATAAACAACAACAAATAAAGACTTCAGAAAGGCAGATGGGGCAACATGCCTTTACATAGAAGTCTCTGACCTGAAAAACTCTCACCACAGGGACATGCAGTGTCTCTGTAACTGTGTTCCATTTTATTGGTAAAAAAACGCTCTGGTCTCACAAGGCCGGTGTGACAAACTATTGTCAGCCAGTGTGGGGCAGAAAAATAACTTCACCAAATACAAATATCCAGTTTCAGATGCATGTTGATCATATGGTAGTGTCCATTTAAATAGTAGTTCAAAAGTCACTCTCTTTCCTCAGTTTGCTGTAACCCTGAGATCCAACTGATCTCTCATCCAGCCAATCAGAACCGAGTAAGCTAACTTACAGAAAAAAAACATGCGGGGGGTGGTGATGGAGGGGGTCTCTTCAACTGTTGGGTCGACCAATCAAGATTCAAATGTCCTGATTTCTCTCCACACCTCACTTCTCTGCTCTGCATGCCCTAAAGCAGCACAGCCTTGAAACTTAATGAAACCAACAAGCTAGCTCTGTAAGCGCCCAGAGACCTGCAGAACTGGAGCAGCCCCTCACTAGCAAATGGGGTCGTATTCCCCACTGAGAACTGGGAGTGAAGGAACCTCATTTAGCAGTAGCCTGCAGACTCTCCCCATCTAACAGGCTGTAAAACCAGACAGGGGAAAATTGCACAGGTTGGAGGGAAAACCTTGTTGTTTTTTTTTTTTGGTGCGACAGCCGAGAATAAAGTTGAGATATGTGGACAATGGAAAGATATTTAGTGCCGCTCAGTTTCACATAAAAGTAACATTAAGAGGAAAATAGTAATATAAGTCTGGATGATATAAAAACCATTAGATGACTTTTATTTAAGAACATTAAAAGAATTTGGCATGACAGCTACAATGAGATAAAGATGTTATCAGATTGTCTCGTTGCGTAATGCATCAAAGGGTGTTAATATGTTCCTTTCAGCTGCACACAAAGGTCAGAACACTCAGTTTTCAAAAGATTCTCCAGGAAAATGACATACTTAGGATCAGCAATAAAATAATATTAATTTACTTCAAGGAGCTTCCCCATTAGCCACCCTTAATTGCGATAATTTAACAACAAAAACACATTTTTACATGGCATGCTCGTGATCCAACCAGGTTCTTTCAACCATCATATCATCAATTGACTGGGTATCTTCAGAACTCTTACCTGAGCTGTCAGCATTGACATAAGCCTCGGCAGACTGTTTCAGGGACTGGAACAATGCATCGTACTTTTCAAAGAAATGTTGCTTCTCCACGAATGACTGATGAAGAAAGAATCAAAATGTTGTTGGGAAATAAAGGTACAAGTCATATACTGTATAGAGACCTATTTCATACAACCTCATGACTTTAAACCGACTATATCCACAAACACACTTTCAGTATTTTTCTTATCTCTCACATTAGCATAATAAAGGAGCCCCAAAGGTTTAAATACCATTCAGTCCATCATGTTTAGAGTGAGTCAAAGCTTACTACATAGTTGTGGAGCATCACTTCCACAGACTCTTGTCGGCCATATTTTATGATCCAGGATTTGAGCTTAGATTCGGTCAGGGTGAGGAAGGCTTGCATGTGGTGTTGGTTTTCCAAGTATTCCATTCTTGCCAAATGTATGCTAGAAGATGTTGCGACAAAGTTCATCCTAAAGAAGACAAAGTTTTAAAAGTATTTTAGATATACAGCTTGACACTTCAAATCAGAAAAGCTGAATTCAGAGTAAAGCAAAAGGAGTTTGTATGATATTTAATAAAACAGTATGTGTACAAAATGTTACAATTGTTTGAAATGCAGAACAATAACTTGAGCAGATATTACCTCTCAGCCATGTCTTGGAGCTGGTCCAGGGGAACAGGAACTCCATCAACACTTCTGTCTTTATGGATCCTCTGAAAAACCTGCAGGTGACTTTCTAAGCTCTTAAACACATCCTGCACAGTGTAAATACGCACAGCACACGAACACAGAAAAAAAAACAAAAGAAAACTTGTTAGGACCACACAGAAAAAAAAAAAGAAAACGGTCTTACAACATATTCAAAATGACTTGTATATGCAGACTTCAGTTGTGTGTCAGTGGCTCCATGCTAACCTTGTGCTGCTCCAGAGCTCTGTGTACAGTGCTGGCCGTCACATCGTGGGCCTGCTGGACGACAATCTCTTGTCGCAGGGCTCCTTCGGCCTCATGCAGCCACGCCCCAACCATATCCAGAGGAGTTGGCAGGGACCTGTCCAGAAGCAGATGCCAGTCCAGGAGCTGAAATTAGGAAGAGAGTTGAGGAATCAACAAGAAAAACACCGTTATTGTCCAGCTCAAACAATCGCACTCAATCAATCACCTGAGCACAATTTAAAGACATAAACTACAGATAAAACAATCACAAAGACACGCTGCCTTTATATGCAGAATATCTACTGTTCAGCCAAATAATGATATGCTATTGCTTCAACCATTTCTGTCTTAATTGAACCAACTAAATCATTGATTCAGGGAAGACAAATTGCAATCAACAAACCGTTTCTGAGGCAGGTTTTTTTCCTCACCCTTTTAGAGACCCTTTCCCAGGCCTGTTTGACCAGAGCCTGATCCACTGTCAGCATCCCATCCTTCTGAGTGGACTGCAACGCTCCCTCCACCTGTTTATGCCTCATCTCTAACTGGACATGAAGACTTTTGAACAACTGGGCAGAGAGAAGAAGTGTTTAATGTTGACAGCTCCCGGTCACATGTGAAAATATGTACACAAATATTTAAAGGGAGCGTAAAGAAACATCAGGAAGTGCTCTACGAGGAGGGGTCGTATCATCTTTCAGTTCACAGGTTCTTCAGCTAATTGCCTCTGAATAGTGTCCCTCTCTCTGAGTTTAGATTCCCGGACTCTTATGAATAATGTGCAAAGAAAAAAGGGATACCCCACACGCTGCTCAATATGGAAAGTATCCTGAGGCCTAGTGGAATAAGCCAGATTGACTGAAAATATGACTGCTGCTGTCTGATCCCCACAGTGTAATGCAACTGATTAAGCTAATAATAGGAGCGTCTGTGCCCAGTGTGCCCTGTTTAAGCTGCACACACACACACACACATACACACACACTAACCTGGTACTGTTGAGCGAGATTGCCCTCTGTCTCCTGGGACTGTGTTGCGTCTCTCTCCAGCTGGTCGAGCCACATTTTGAGCTCCCTCAGGCTCTTTCGCTGCTCTCTCTAGGAGGCCGGGATGGTGCAGGGGGTGATGGGGTGAACAACGGAGTGAAAGACAGACACAGAAGATGGGAAAGTGCAAAGAAGAAATCAAAACAAATCAAGAAAAATAAAGAGTGGCGTATAGAGTAGAGGGGGAGAGCAGAAAGATAGAGACAACCCAGAAAGATGTTAAGATGGATTGATGAAAGGACGGAGGGAGGGAGAGGGTGACAGAGAGGGCATGTGTTGTTAAACATGTGTTTTCCTAATCCTCACTGTGTCTCCCTGTAGGACAAAACGTCAAAAACCCACAGCTGCCAAAAACACTCAGCTTAAACAGGGTACTTTGACTAAGACCCCCCACTAACACTTCCCTGGATTTTAAGTTACCATGACGACAATATTATGCTGCTGAAAAGCTCGCGAGTGTATTCAGTTTGAGAGCTGTTCAATCGCAGTCTTTTGAGTATTATCACTTCACATTAGCTCCTGCAGGGATTTTAAACGTTATTCTTAATGACAGCCCTAATACTTTAACGTAGACTAAGCCGTATCGGAAGGGAAGTACACTTTTATACAATGTACTGGACTCACCAAAGCTTGTGTAAATTACTTAACATAAAGTGCCTCAGTTGCATTTTGTTGCCCATGTTGCCCATGTTGCCCATGACCCATGCTAGAATGGCTCCCACCTTTCCAACTGTTTCTTTTAACCCAGCATTGGACTATATTAGTCCATCCGTCTTACTGTGTTTTATTATTCAATTAATGTCTGTATTTTTCATATTTGTATTGACTTTTATACATTAAAATGTGTTTAATAGTGTATCCTATCATATTTTATGTATTTTTTTCTGTGCTTTAATTTATGCTATTTTAACTCGCTGTTCTGCACTTGGTTAAAGTTTGTTGTTTTTTAAATGTGCAATGTAAGTCAAGTGGACTCGATTAGATTGAAATTCTTTTTTTTTGTTTTATGTGAAAACACAAGGGCCAATTAACCTTCATTCACTAGACGAATATGTTGAGTGTTATCAAGAACTGTCAGCAGAGAACAAAGCATGTGTGAAACACAACAATCACAAAAGCATCACCAGAGTTGGACAATAACAAAACACGGACAGCTTTACAGCACAACACAGCTCCTGACACTGTTAACCTTAAAAACAGGCAACCTCTTTCCACGAGGTTTCCATCAAATACACTGTATCAATGCACACTGCCGACGCCAGAGGCTTTCATTGTCATGCTAATGGAACCAGGAGCCATAGCGCTAGGTGGTAACGTTAATAAATGGTAATATCACGTCATTATAGCAGACTTCCTTTTGTTATCATCTTAGAGACCCCGAGGCAGGAATATCACATCATGTATGATAAAGAGCTAATAGAAGCATGTCGGCTCTATTTTGACATGGAAAAAAACAATGTTTAATCTGAGCCTTACACTGTGCAGTAAGCAGTAATACTGTTATCCAATAGGCAGAGGCAGAAAAATAAGCATTAATCACATTTACGTATATGGAAACCATGAAAGTGCATGGATGCAAATTGCAGTGGGAAATGATGGAAAACCTGCCCCTGGGACCTTAAAGTTGCTATATAACCTACCTCCAACATTTCCTCTATATCGCGAGGAGCAAGATCATGCTGTAGGACAGAGGTCAGCACAACAACCACAGGAAAGCAGACACAAAACAAAAACACACCAGAGAGAGAGAAAGACAAAGAGAGAAAAGAGGAGAGAGATGTGCAACAAGGAAAGACATAAAACAGTCAAGACATTGCTAGATCTAAGTCACATAGCACAAGTATATATATTGTATGTTTTAACCCTCTTTAATGTCTGACAGGTAGGAGATTACTACATCTGAACTTTTTAAAAAGCATTACATAAATATAAGGACCTAAGATAAAATGCCTTTAATACATATATGATTCCTAAAGTTTGACACACTAACTCGACAACTGAAGAGACACAAAACACACAGGATGCAAAAAGAGAGAAGAAGACATTAAATGTGCGCATTCACACTGAGATGAGTGTGACAGCTGGTTACCTCTTCTTCTTGGCGTCCATCTGAGTCACTCTGCTTTTGCTCGGGATGATGCTTCAGGAACTGGGCTACGTATGTCATAATGGATTTCTCATCTGGTTTGTCTACATCGACATCTAAAGAGGTAAGATAATGAATGTAATCAGAAGTCATTTCAAGTTGTATAGAGTTCTCTTTCAAAGGAAACGACCTGTTTTGTTAAAAAAAATCTATCATTACAGTCATTCAGAGAAACACATATGGCACCCTAAATTTAAAAAACAACTTTCAGCATTAAAGATCAGAGTCAAAGTTGTGTTTGGAGGTTTCATCATACTGAATCCCATGGCTTAATGGACCTTAATTATACTGATGTCAAGCATGATTTGTCAGAGTTCATTGTGAAGGGCAGGCGTGAAGGAGCGCAGATGGTGTTTGAGAGTGACACTGAGGTACACATCTGATCCTGAGATCCATGCTTTATGGAGAACAGCTCTAAATGATGAAAAGCTACCATTACTTTTAAGAATGAATGAGTAACACAAAAGTTTTCACATGTTTTCCATTGACAATGAAACAGGTGAATGAAAAGTGTAAATGTGTGGAATGAATTTGATGCCATGATTTTGTAGATTTGGAGTTAGCAGTTATTTCCACCAAGATCTGTGGAGTTCACGTTTCATCAACCTAAATGAAAAGAGTCCAAATGACATGTGATGAAAAAAATCCATTTACCCTCTGGGTCAAGAAGCTGTGGAATGCCCAGCTCTTTCTCAGCCAATAAGAAAGCTTCCTGCAGGTTTTCTCGGTTGGGCCTCCTCCATACACGCTCCATGTCAACTAGATTTGGCCGAAGGGACTGGATAACGGCATAGAACGCCAACCCTGTGCGCCAGCTGGGGCCAAAGTCCTTCACCTCGACCCCTACACGTCTAGGAACAATATGACATGAATAGATTGAAAAACCAGATGATAACAATGACAGTGGCCCGAAGAGAATGTTTTTACTCTCAAGTTGGCTGCTAGTTTTGTACGGCAGTTAGCATTTTTTGTTGTTGAAAAGAAAAACTGTTTTTTTTGTGAAGGAGGCTGCATACTTGGTGGCTGTGTGCTGGACCCATCTCAGTAGGGCCTTTCTGGCTCCGCCCTGAGGAGGTGGGAGGGGTTTTCTCTTGACAGGGGGGCTGGTGGTCTCAGTGCTGCTATTGGAGCTGTCCAGTGAAGAAGTGCTGCTGGACAAAGCCTGAAGTGCTGGTAGGCTACTGGTAAGCTCTTCAATCTAAAAAGAATAGCATATAAATGACAAATAAATAAACTTTGTTTATTAATTACTGACAGGAACGATGATGAGCATAACACATCTGTGACAAGACTAATACTCCATTTATCTATGCTATTACATTAACAATGTTAGAAATTCTTTTAGCAGACATTTTTTGTCCAAAGTGACATGAAATGGAAATCCTGCAAATGCAACCACTAGATGTTTTGCTTTATTAGTTGGATCCACAATTTTTGCTTGCTCATCAGTCGTATCTGCTTATTCTTGAGTTGCATTGTATTGTGAACGTTATATGTTTAAGATTGGCCAACGTTAGTGCTGGTTTGTGAGCCTGTACCTCTTTTCAAAGCTTGATTTTGAGTCCTCTAAGATCTGGTCCCAATTTTTTTTTCACTTTCACTCCAACATGATGACAATCAGGCCAGTATTTTTCCATAATCCCACTGACCAATTTACAAACAAACAGCACTAAAAACACAACCTTCTTGGAAGAGGTAGTATCGAGCTGAATCATTGCTATTAATAGTAATTAATAATAGTTTGGTTTTTACAACATATGCAGCTGCAGCCATCAGTGATGTACAGCTCTTCTGAACATATACATGTGTGTAACTTTGACATTAAGTGGCTTCAAATGTGATTTAAATTAAATTTAAATTCTACTCTACATGAATTACATGTTTTTTTGTGGGAAAGATTGGTGCATCAAAGTTGTGGTAGAGGCAGCCGATTAACGCGGGGGCACTTTGGAGTTAAAAAAACTTGATTGAGGGCAACTTAATGAAATAGTACAGAGATCAACTATCAGCTTTTAAATGTAGTGACTTGTCTGCAGCTATGATTGTACAGACTGCCAATTCTGTTAAGAAATGATGACATATTTCAATTCCAACAGCCTCAATAATATCAACAAACATTTTTTTTATTATTATTAGTCCTCAGTCTTGGCACTTGGTCAGTTTCACAAGATTTATTGCTATGTATACATAAGCATTGTCTCTGTTTCCTCTCTTCTGCAAACAAACAGAGTCTACCCACAATCTACTCAAAGCAATCCATAAACATCACCAGAAATGACGTACATCAATATGTCAGTGAGTGAATAAGTTAATTTTCCACTGTCGTACATTTCGCTTCATTTAATTCCTCTACGTTTGCTGGAGTAGCAGACATCTGTATGTGCTGATGTTGCTAAGAGACCGTCGCATTGTGATCGAGTTTTTGTTGATCTGTGCATGTCTGAAACGCCTGAGGTAGCAACTTCTCCTTTTCAGAGGGGATGCTATCCAAGATTGATTTTTTTCCCCATCTTAAAATTCCTCCATAGTTCACATTTTTTAGCTTTTTGCAAAAAATAAACATATGAGGTCCTGCAAGTTTGCAGCACTAAACTTATTCTATTTTTTATATTTCTTCAGATTTCTTGTTGGACATTGGCAGCAATGTTCATAGCAGAACCAAATTCATGTTCTTCTTCTGGCTCTTTGTTTGAATCTAGTTTTCCATATTTGTCATAAATAATGTACCTTTTCTAATGTGGTTAATTCTACTCATCTTAATTTACTTAAGGCAAAGTTACCTGGAAATAGAGGATGATCGTCCACATTAACCCCAACACAATTGACGGCCGTCCATCAACAATGTCTGTGGAGTTGATGTTCACAAGCTTGATCTATGACAAAAACATAAAATCCATTATTTCAATATCTCATAGAAGGACCTAATAATCCAGAGTGAAATACAATCTTGCTTTCCGTTTATACCTCACTATAATCTCATACATAAGATTAAGTACACACAATTTCCTAAAATCCGGTAACTCTGTATCGTACATATGTCTACACAAAAAAAACAAAAAAAAACAATAAACTGCATGTGCATAATCCTCAGGTATACAGGAAGCAGATAATCCTGACTTTATCCTTTCCATTTCCTAAACAAACAAGTGCTGGAACTTCATGAATACTGACCGGAGATCCTCTGTAGGCGGACTGGAGGGCAGAAAAAGAAAAGAGAAGGAGAAGAAGAGAGTGTGCATTTAGGGGTACTCTAGATTTGTTTGATTGGAGGAGGATGCCTCATTGAGTGTGAGATAGCAGATCCTGTAACATCTCCAGGGCGAGCTAAACTTGGAGTGGTTGGCTGAGAGGAAAGATCTATCACCACTACACAGACATCAGGGATTATATCCAGCAGAGATGGACAGAGAGAGAGAGTGATGCAGCGAGGGAGAGGGGCAATGAGAAGAGCAAGAAAAGGAGAGGCTGTACATACTGATATGATGAAGTATTCTATATTATCACACCAAGGGTTATATTACTGAGGCCCTGCAGCACAACAGGTCATCACATGGTAATTATACATGGAACCACGTATATGTGCACAACAAGGGGGGGGGAGAGAGTTTGGGAGCAGGCGAGAGCAGAGAGGGATGGTAACTGATAAGAATACATGCAATACACGCTTCATATTAGAAATCACAGCAGGTCATCACTGCAGCTCAAACACAGCGTTGTGAGGCTGGAAATGTAGATGGAAGGTTTCGGGGTTTGACCACAGCAACAACAATGAGAACAAAGGTAACTAACTATATGGTAGTAGTTGTATTGGTGGTAACAATGTGTAGATAACGGCGTAGTTAAGATGATTTAACTGTAGGGGCTTCACTTCTTCCTTCTTTTACCGCTGTCAGAAATGTTTATTTTTCTTCTGTCTGTCTGTCTGTCTGTCTGTCTGTCTCCTATTTCATGACATTTTATGGTTAAGTAGATATATTTCAGCCATTTAAACAGTTTAGAAACATGATTAAATGGTAAACATTATAATGTCACAGCACACTATACACACAAGACAGGAGCATGCATCAGGCATACGGGTCTCGAACGCTAAATGTAAATACAATCTTGACATATATCCAGAGCATATTTACATTTAATTTTCTACACACTTAGATACCCGCAGTTGCACACACACAGACGTATACAGAAGATTTCCCACTCTCGTATCATCTGTAGACTGCAGATTAACGACGTAGGATTTATGGTTTTAACCCTGTCACACTTGAGGAAGAGAAATCAATGTCCCTGCAGACACCAGCTCATACTTATGGCTTTATTTATGTATATCCAAGGACGAGCTGGGTGAAGCTGTGAGAACGTTCCACCACTCTCAGGGAGGGGGAAATTAATGCATTTAGATAATTACATCAACAACTGCATTAAGAGTTTATGATGGAAGTAAGTCAATGCAGCCAGGAAAAGGTATCGTATGTTTGAAAGTCATATGATACAGTGGAAAAGGTGTGGTGTGACCAACAAGTATGTTAGCTCAGCTGGTTTATAAAAGCAGTAAAGTCAAATTCAAATGCATATATTTTTTATAGAACTTTTGATTTAAAGGCAGCCAGACAACTAAATTGGTAAACCAACTTGATAAAGATCAAATGTAAAAAGAGTCTTAGAAAAAACCAGAGCAGAGGATGTTGGTTTCAGGGTATATGGGGGATGTGGGAAGGTGGAGAAGGTAGGAATAAGAGGCAGGGGAGGAAGGGGAAACGGGTCACGCAAGGTCAGGATTCGATGTTTGTACCCACAAGGCAACAGCTGAGCAAGGGAGAGCAGTAGGAGGGGTAAACAGGGGGGTGGTGGGGGGGATAACATAAAAAGAAGGTGCTGAACTATTACCTTTCTACCCTCAAGGAAGGTGAGAGCGGTACCAATATTGGCGACCCAGTGGATCCTTTTTAGCTTCTTGCCCTGCTCACATTGCTGGAAGGAAAAAGGTAAACAACAGTGATGGAGACAAAGGAAGAGGAACAAATAGTGAGGATATAAAAAGAGAACAATTGAAAAGAGTCTTTTTTTTTTATAGGTTATGGCACAGGTGTTGATATTATGATGTGAGATCAAGCTTAGTACAGTACAAACACTATCAGCAAACACATTACATTAAAAAAGGACAAAAGAATAAATCAGGAGAAAGGTAAGAAAGGCACAGATCCTATCAGTTGTGTTTGTCTATAACCAGTCAGATCAATAGGACATGGACAGCTTAGACCTAAGGCAACATCGGCTGAGTAAAATCCTCAAGGTGTGCACCTCTTTGTCTTTGTTGAGTGTTTGTTAACTGGGATCTGTCCTTTTTAATACAGGCTTCTATATTCATCCAAATCCTATAAATCAATGAAAATCTCCATCTTATAGTTGCTCATTGAACATGCACTGCATTAAGCCTGTAGCCTTCTTCAGATTTGTCAAAAGCACTTCCAGCTGCAGCTCTGGCCATAATTATGTATGCAACTAAAAATGAATGACCCTCTTTGTTATTTCACCAGTTAGATCCGTTTTAAATCAGCTCAAGTTAATATTTAATCCAGACAGATCAGAGGATATGAAGTGTTTGAAGTCTGTGGCCAAGTCACATGCTAAGAAATGACCAGAAGACTCACCAGTTTCTGTCCAGAGAGGACTTCCAGCAGGGCCAGCAGCATCACACCATCCTTAATGTCCTCAAACAGGTCTGTCACCACCAGAGGAGGGGCGCGCTACAAGAGAACATAAGCACACTAATGAGCCTTTATTCTGATGATGTTTTTGACTTTGGTTCACAATTTGCCAAAACAAGCACATACAGAAATGATGTAATGCCTCGGAGGGATGGTTTATGCTTGTGGTTCCACACATCTTTCTTTGAACAACTTTTAATGGCGTACAAGGGACATTTTCTGAATGTTTTTTTTGTTCCTGGAAATTTTCAGTTACATAAACGCTGTTTACTGTTGCGATAAACCCACACAAAGCTTTCACAGTTGTCGTGGAATGCAACAACATGTGATTTAAGTCTTAATAGCTCTTGCGATGTGCATGAAACCATAAGGCAAGAGGTAGGTTTTCGAAACACTAACCTACTTTGAGTGGCACAGCGAGTAAATAAACCAAAATACAATAAATTCACAACACTGTGAGACTTTAATTTCAGCTTCTGAAACATGGATAAAGGGAATCCTTGTAAAAAAAAAAAAAAAAAAAAAAAAAACTACTTCAAGCCCCAAAAGAGTTTGGCTGTGCCGAGCCTTACTGACAGCTACAGTCAGCCATAAGCAGAGGCTCAGCAGGATCTGAATGGGGTCTTCAAATCCTAAAATATGCTGATGATTTCAAACTCTATCCTTCTCATTGACTTCCTTCCTGACCTGACACAGACTTCTAGACTCTGGGAAATCCACATATCTCCGCTTCTTGCCGGCGCCACATCAAGGATTTCTCTTAAAGCGCAATCACATGCTGCGGCTGAGGAGAGGTTTAGAGGAGGGGAGGGGGCATTCAGACGAGCAAGCCATTCACAGGGAGATTAGCGGCAAAGGGAGTGAGAGAGAGAAAGAGAGACGTGAGGAAGCCGCAATGTGTGCGGGAGTGTGTCTGTGTTCGCACGTGCAAGTTGAGTGTGTGTGGGGTGGGTGAGAGAGAAAAACATACAACCCCCATCATGCACCACAGAGGGGTATAATTGAGTAGAAAGAGTGGCAGCGAGAAACATGATAGAAGGCAATGAGAGAAGGGACACTAACCTCACGTCTTTCAAAATTAATTAGCAAACACAGTAGCTCTTCTGGCTAATTCCTCTTCTAATGTCATTTCATGGCTTTGGATATTAGACCGTCCAGACAGCACTTGTGCCCCTATCATAAAGTGACAGAAGAAACACTCGCAAGGACCCCTTCAAAGGGATGAATTATACCATGAGCTAATTGAAGTTAAATTTACCTATTTGTTCATTATAATCCCAAAGCTAATGAGGAAATTTCTGACTAATTACAAAATAAGAAAGTAATATCCATTTCCTCTGCTCAGCCACATGAGCTAAAAAAAATAAATCAAGGGCTTAATGAGCTAATTACATATGAGTGTCTGGGCCATAATTGATTGTGAGCAGAGGAGTTTTCAGGATGTGCGTCTGTCTGTGCTCTCATGTTATTCCCCTGGTACACTCGACTACGTAGATTCCTAAAGATCAACAGCACAAAAGACATAAAGAAAGAAAAAGAGGACCGAAGGGTTTCATTTTGAATTGCAATACAGGAAGTTAAGATAGAACAATTGTTCTTCTATTCTGCCCTTCTCATGTTTTACTAGGAATACTTCCTGATTTAATACAGTCATTGGAAAATGACTGAAAACTGAGACCTCAATAATAAAGATCTTGTAAAATAGCCCCCCACCTGACAGTGTAAAGAAAAAATGTACATTATAGGATGGCTGAGCTGTTGAATTAGAGAACAGCAGACTGTCCATGTGTACTTAATGAAGTGGCCGGCGAGTGTCTATTTGCCTACAAAAATGATCCCCTTTTCAACCGTCATTCAAAGAGCCCATTTCTGTATCGAGGTTTTCATGTCATTGGACATACGTAGTTGCCAGTGTAAATATTGTATTAATATAATATCGCATTATGCCTAGATTTATGATTTCATGATAATAAAATAAAACATTGCTACAAATCTAACATAATGACCTGGCAGTTGCGTCACGCCCCATGTGTGGAGGCTGCGGTCCTCTGGGTGGGCGGCCCACATGTCATTCCCCACTCTCTCTCCCTGGTTTCCTACTCTATCCTAACCCTTACCCACAGCCAATAAAAAAAAAAGGCAAAAAACACCCAAAAAATGTATCGGAAAAAAAAAAAAAGTTATAAAAAAATCTATTGCTTTGCCAGCAGCTCAATAAGGCTGAGATACTCACACTGAAAACGCTTACATATTGATATTTAGTGTGGATATATATTTTACCATAGTGCTGTAAGCTTGCTAATATTTAATCATCATCATTAAACACTTGTACAATTTTGACCGGATAGTGGTTGAGAATGCAGAACTTTAGCATATTAATTCATTGTGATGCTGGTTTCAGGTATGTACAGTGTCATTAGAAGGGGGAGACCTTATTCCTAAATCATTAGGATTGATCCTTGGGCAGGTTGAAAAGTGAAAAAATATGAAGAACATCTTGCAACTGAGTTGGCTAAACCACATTTCATGCACCATGAGGTGCTGGGTTTGGATCTTACTGTGCATGGAGTTTGTCAGTCCCCCTCTATGTGAGGTGGGAGCAAGGAAGTAAACACTGACGGAGGAACTGGGAGCTTCGCTTTACTGCAGCTGTAATCTCTAAGAACACTTGGTTCAGTGATTGCTGTACTAAAGCTGTTTGCCTGGAAAACGCCTGAGTGACGAGGAGACCTCCGCTTGCTCATACCGGCCACTCCGTAATTAAGCTTTAACCCTCTCAGAGAGGATTTGTCAAAATGGAAACTTGGGGCCCTGTTCACAAAAATCCCCCCCCCCCCGTCACTCCAGTGTAGCGCAGGGTACGACTTTAAAGGCTCTTACTTGCTTGAGGGACAGAATTCTACATATGAAGCAAAATGTATGATAAGAAATAATTATAAAATATGTGTTATTGAAGATTCAACACAACATCATCGTCTGTTAAAGTAAAATAACCAACCTTAAAAATGTAGAGACCAGCTGCTCTCTTACAGTTTATACCTCTGGTCTATAACTGGTGACTTCATCTGGTGAACTACTGCGAGTAATGAGAGTCATTAATCTCCTGTATAAATTACCAGCTGCAATATGTCCTCTTGTAAAAGCTCTTTTGCAGAGCTCATAAGACTTCTTTTGTTAGACCTGTGGAGTGGAAAAGTAAGGGGGAGGAGAGTGATAGTGAAAGGAAGCCCTCACACCATGTCTCAACTCACCTAACGATTAATCACATACCTTTAGGCGCTGAATTAAAGACCTGTGATAACTAGAGCGGCCTAATCATCTGCCTAGCCAAGGGCACGATCTATCCTTCTGAGAGCCGAGCTAAACCAACTGTTAAAGCTTCTTCCCTCTCGCTATCTCTCCGTCTGTCTCTCACACTTTTTTGCCTCTTTAAATCGTTCTTTGTAGAGTATTTATGGGTGTGATTGAAACAAGGGCCTAAAGATGCCATTCAATCTCTTCTCATCTACAAAATGATCTCCTTATTACAACACATCCTCCACAACATGAAGCTGAATTGACTTTTTAGCCCTTACTCATCACAAAGCTCTACGAATATTTGCCAAGCTGCCATGACGACCAGGACTTTTTTTGAAGACAAATATGGGCCAATCAGTGTCACCATGGCGACGTCAGGCATCAGGTGAAACGGTGAGCCATTTCGCGATGGTATAGGAGGAGGAGGAGAGCAACTAATTTGATCAACTGAGCAGAGAGGAAAGCTTAGAGAACACTGTTATGTCTTCCGATGGAGCTGTGATGGTATCACTAATCTATCGATTAAGTGAATCAGTTACTTAAAGTGGATTTAAAATGACTTTTTCACGATCTTTGTCAGACTTTGTTTTATTGAAAGTACTCTTCACTTTAGTGGCCAGAAAGTCAACCAGCATTATTGCACTTAATGTTACTGAAAAAAATAGTTTGACTGTCGGAAAAGATACTTTTTGTTTTCTTGAAATTTTGATCAAAAAGACTATATTTTAATCAAGTGCAGGTATTTAGCTTAGCTTAGCATTAACACTGAAATGGAAAAAAAAAATTGTCTGTCTCAGGCTGAGTTAGGTGTTAGCAAAGCTTACTGAACAAGTTATATTGATGAGTACAAAAACATGGGGCGCTGGTTTATCTCAGTAGGAAGAGAAGGGGCCCCGTGTACAGAGGCTACAGTCCTGGTTGCTGGTTGAAATCCCTATCAGCACCCATTTGGTGTATGTCATCCCTAACTCTCTGTTCCTCACATTTCTTAACTTATAAAGGCAGAAGGCCAAAAGAATCATCTTAAAAATCTTAAAACAGATAAATAAATATGTACTGTATGGGTGAAATCGGAAAAAAAAAAATGGAGCATTTGCCAGTCAATCGAAAAGAATTAAGGAAGTTGCTGCTCCTAGCAAACAATAATTTGGGCCAAAATCTAAAATTTGATTGTTTATGTTCTGAAATTCCCCAAAAATTAAACTGTTTTTTTAGTCTTCTTAATTCAGATTTTATGTAGGTCTCTTTCCATCTGTCCCTCTGAATCCTCTTCTTCTGTCACTACTCATTCAAACGCTGTCATTTACAATGATCATGACACACCAAAAGGTCTGTGGCTCTTCTCTACTGCATCAAAATAACTCAATAAATAACCAATGCGTTTACCTTGGATTTTTATCAAAAATTCAAGGCAATTAGGTACAGGACTGGGTGTAATTTTCTGCTGGCACGGTCCCGAGACATGATATTTAATATTACGTCAAGGTTTATTCCCTCTTGAGTGCTTTTCAAATGAATTTTCTGCTCCACGTCACCGTGGTTCAAGGCCTCCACAGCTGTCGTAATCGAATAGGAAACCTTGAGAGAAGCGTTGCCGATTGGAAAAACACTTAATTGTGTTGCCCCATGCCGTATTTGCCTTGTCCACCCCTTCTTGACACACTATTCAAGCAGTAATGGGTTAAATTGAGTGGCGTAATGCAGTATAATACAATAATTACACGCATATGATGGCCCCTCAGCATGCAGCTAGATCAGGTATAATTATTTGGTTTAAGTTTAAGGAGGTAAATGGAGGGCTGTTTTTGAATAAAATCTCATATCCTGAACAATCTAAATTGGTCCATATTGAGATAGAGCGCTCATTTGTTATTTAGACTTAAACAGTGACAGTAGCTTGCAGGAAAAGAAGATAAAGCGTGTATTAAATGCTGTAATGTGAAAGTGATAATTACAGTGAGTGTAAATCCTTGCTACAAGCTATATGGGATTGGAGAGGAAAAGGGAATATGAGAGGCATGCGCATAAATCAGACTGTGTGTGTAGTCTTAGCTGGCAGTCGGTCCTTTGACCAGCTCCACGGCATCCTCACAGTGAGCATAGTGTGTGGAGTATAGACGAGGTGAGTGATTCAAAGTGGGAAACAATGAGATGGGGAAGTTTTTAATCCACAAACAGCAGCAGCATTGTTTGTGTAAAGACACAATACAATGTTGGCAGTAGCAGTGGGAATGAACCAGACTCTCTTACCTTTGCCAAGTGGGAATTGATCCATTTTGTGAATGTCCTCTTCTGCACTGCCTCCTGCTCATCTGTAAATCAGAGCCCAGAGCACCACTATCAGTCACATGCAATAATAAACAAAGAGGGAATTAGAACAAGTATTCACATTGTCTATTGTTTAGAGGGTTGTTTTGGATGGTGACTTTAATTAACTTTTATTTCATTCCTTTCCGCCTAATGTGTCTGAACACAGTCACATCATATCATACCTTACAGTGATGTGCTTAGAGAAGGCATATGACATTTAAAGATGGCATTTTAACTCGCTGGACTCCTCTTAGTGTGGACAGGAAATCCTGCTCTCAGAGATGCCCTTTAGATGATAGAAGGGCGGTGATTCTTCCTATACATGTTTTCCTGCCATGCTCTATCAATGGATTTTATTCATCATTAAAACAGTTTAAGTTTGCGATCTAATGGAAAAAAATGTACATAATGCAACAATAAACTATCCTGTGACGAAATATATGGCATTGGGAAGGGCATTGTTTGTGGTGGCTATAGTGATACAGGCCATTTAGCAAAGGCACAATCAATAGTAAAGATGTCTGCTGACGATGTCGCCTAAAAAGCCACTTAACTTGAGTGAGGACGAGACATAAATCAAGCTTTGTCAATCACAAGTGCACGAGCAAAAATATAGAGCATAAACACATTTGCACATAAGGGAATAAAGGCATAGAGATAATTCTAGAAATCGCATGTGTTCAGCAGGCTTTTTAAATCAAACGTTTGCATTGCTGCAGCAATTTATTACAGCAAAACTCGTTATTGCCTGCTGCCCTTACAATAATGATTGGAAATTCTGCACTGGTTACATCTGTAATCCATGTGCAACAGTCACATACATCCTATTACAATGTGCACAAAACAGATCTATAGTCCACCTGGGACACTCAGGATGCAATCATGCACCGTGACTGGCACAATGTTTTTTTTTTTTTTTTTTTCTGTCCTGTCTGCAGCACACAGCAATATCCTTGAGGTATGCATGTTATCAGTGAGAGAGGACGTCTGACACAGTGCTTTCCTCCACCTTAATGAAATATGCTGACGCTTTGATTACACTCAAGTTGGTTAGTGTGTCACTGGGTACTGTGGGCAGACGCACACAGTGAGGGTGTGTGTGTGTGTGTGTGTGTGTGTGTGCATCAGAGAGGTGGAGAGAGAGGGAGGGGTTGTTCATCCATAATGCAGATACATACAGGCATAGTCATACGTGCCACTGAACAGGTCCCCCCTCTCTATGAATTAATCTTTTGATTGGGTCCAGGAGAGATCAAATATTGATGCGAGGCAATATCGGATGAGAATGAGGAAGATTTAGCCTCCCGCATCCTTTAGCAGGAACATGTATGACAGAGAGCACGTCTGCCTGAACGCAGTGCCAGGCGCTCAGTCTCAGGGACGAGGTGACTTTGAACTATGCGCACACACAGTAACACTTAGAGCCCACACGCACACGCATTCACATTCTTTCAATATCACAAAGGGAAACAGCCGTCCTCACTAACTAAGCCTTGAAGCAGCGTTTTAACACTTGATTACCAACTCAGCTAGTGTTGGCCAGTATCATCATTAGTCTCATCTGCAGCCCCCCGAGTTCCCACTTTGACCCCCTACAGAGAAGATGACCTTAATGAAAAATCATTTAAATCTAGTTGGTGGTCTAAAGAGGCTGTTTCTATTGATGAGATGTGATAAGACTTGATCAAAAATAGAAATAAAAATGGTAAGAAAATCAAACTAATTGCAAAAAAAAAAAGTAAATCGACCATTCTGTTAATTTTTAGATTTGCTCAAAGTGCCAGGAAATAAATCCAAAAAACATTCTGGTAGCAAAAATTAGATCAACCTGTTCTAATTTTTCAGACAAACAGACATAGAGAATGCATGGTATGAAATACAGAGGAGCAGACAGGCAGACTGCCACAGGGTCAAACAGAGAGATAAGAAATCAAACCTTCTGACAAGTCTGCCCGCTGTGCTGAGACACATTCACTGAGCTGCTGCTTGTCTGCTGGGTGTGTGCTCTACACCTGCTGTAGGCTCACATCTCCATGCACACAGACAGACATTCTCTGCCAAGGTGGAAACGCCCCCTTCCAATTTCTGCTCATTTTGCGAGCACCAACTACGCAGCCAAATGGAATCTTCCCTGCAGGGACACTTAATGAGGAAATAACACTACAAAATGCTCAATCGCACATTACAGCAGCCAAATACAGTCCACACTGCAGTGCCACGCTAAATATCTCGCACACACCCACATCTCCAAAAAACTCTGCACACACTCTGTACTTGCCTTCTTTTCTCACGCTATCAGCATCAATATGGGACAAACACTAATGCATGCACTGTCCTACTTACCCCGGAGGTAGTGGAAGAACCCGGTCACCAAGTTAAGGGATGTATTCTTTTTCGGGGAGCCTTCGCCCCCTGCTCGTCTTGCCATCTTGTACCCAAGACTATGCCTCGATTCCTGCCTGTTTTCATGGGGACGCTGAGAAGACATTCACAGCAAACCACCGGGAGACGCTTACACACGTGCCTTTGCTCCTGCCCTTGCTGCCTCTCCCCCTTCTTTTTTTTTTTTGGGTGGGAGGTGTCTTTAAAAGCTCCCTGGAGCACAGGACCTCCTGAGATGACAGCGGTGAAACTGTTGCTCTGAGGCTGGGCAGAGAGGAAGGTGTCACACTCCTGTTCTTGTCTTTGAGGTCTTGCTGTCCTCTGCCCTGTCCTGCAGCAACGCGCTGCAGACTAAGTCAGACTCAGTGCTTTTCCTGCCTGTTAAGCAGCTTGGGGAGTGTGATGTAAAGAATGTTCGTGTGTGCGTGTGTGAGTGAAGGCAGTGCAGCGTCGGCATCAATTTGTCTTGCTTAGTCCGTTTCGCCCTCTCTTTTCCTCTCTCACACACTCTCTACCTTGGTCTTTCCCTCCCACGTTCTCTCTCTCTCTCTCTCTCACTCCTAATTTCTCGACTGTAGGCTGCGGGAACAGTCTACTTCCCTCCATCAGCCGGCCAATCAGGGTCCGTGGGAATGAGTGATGTCACAGCAGCCCCGTCCTAATGTGGAGAGGGAGAGCTGAGTGGTGGAGGGTGGGTAGAAAAGGACTGTTTAGCAGGTTAGGAGGGGCAACAGCATCACACACCTACACACGCTCTAATACGGCATCAGCACAGACATGCAGGAATTCCCTGTGTGTCTTTGGCACTCTTATACCCCACCTCTCTCTCTCTCTTATCCAAGCATATACCATGCAGTGCTCTTGGGTTTGCAGCTTTCTTCTCTGTAGAGCCTGCAGGGGTGCAGACTATCACTGGCAGTCATCCTGTCTGATCTGCTATTGTACTCCCTTCAAAAGGTATCCACCATCAACCACAGTTACATACGGTACATTGGTCTGTTTGTTTTTTCCCAGATAGCAAGAACTGAAGAGAACAGAATACAAGAGAAGTGGAAAAATATCTGAGGTTACGATTCCATTTCACAGTAAGATCAAAGTTTAGTCGGAGTGTTTTTAGACAGTGTTGAAAAGTCCAGAATGAATGAAACAATGTGAAGTGGGGATTAACCTTCATTAACTCTGATTGAGTGATCTGCATTGAAGTGGAAATTTTGCCACTGCTTTCAAAGCTTAAGCTTCAAACCAGCCACAAAACAAAAAAGGCAGTTTTGTTCATCCAACCTCTAAGAATTCAACATTTAAAGAGACACTCACCAGCAATAGCCACAACAGCTGATAGGCGGAACTGGATCAAAAGCAACACTCCGTTATAGAGCCAAAATAATACCAACCCCCTTCCTCTGCGGCGGTAAAATATTAGCAAAAAAAAAAAAAATCATTGTCCAGTACCTTGACCTCTTTTCATTCTCACAGTCTGATTTGTATCTGACCTATGCTCTCTCATATCCAATCCGTATTTTCCTCACAGTTTTTCACTCATATTATCTAACACACACACACACACACACACACACACACAACACACTCTGGCAATATTAAAATCACAGGGCTCTTCTTTGAAAACACATTCAGAGACTTTCCAGGAAAACCAATATTCATGCAGAATAGCCTGGTGAGCCCTATATCAGCCTTAGCGATGAAAGGACCATTCATCATTTGTGTGATTTTCCTCTTTTGTTCTTTGGGTTCCCCCCATAAGGGATTTTAATTATGAAAGTCATCAATAACCAATGGCAGCTGTCATCCGCTATCTGTCTACTGATAATCACACTGCTGACACTCCTCTGTTTAACAACCCTGAAACTGGCCGTCATAGTGCTATCATGAGCCTATTCCACAACCCTGTGTCTGTATGTATGTATGTATATATAAATATATATGGTGAGATTACTGTGTATATACATGAGTGTGTATAGGCATGATAGATAGACTGAGTGCTCAAATAATATTCATACAGTGTTGATTTATTTTGTATTTACCATTGCCTTATACTTACCCACTCTGTAGACAATAAAATATTAACTGGTATAAATAAAAATGCAGTGGGGTGTTCATAATGCATGCACTCACAATAAATAATATTAGTGCTAGAAAGTCATTGGACTAAATTGTAGCTGGGTGAAAAGATGAAAATGAATTAAAATGTATTGTTCTATAAGTATTGGCGTTTGCACAGTCCAAACCGTACCAATAATATATTGATAAAGGAAGAGGCTATTGATTGACCAACCAATGAACAGTTTTCTTGTACACCTTATATGAATACCAGTCCATCTTCAAAGGTAAAAGGTGTTCAAATGCCTGATAAATCATTTCCAGGGTGCTACGCTTCAATTCTGAAGTGTGAAGGAACTATCCAAGGTGCTGAACACTTCAATTAGACTCTTTTTAGCCTGACAGTGAATTTGGTTCAATGGAGTACATTTGCAAAGCGGCAGCAGAAAATGAATACCAATGGAAGCCACACTTGAAGTCCAAATGCTGAATTAAAACACAACATTTTAGTTTTTGCCTGTATGGTTTTAAGGATTCTCCCAGTTAGTATACCACAGAATGCTGAACATCCCTGGAGAGCCTAACTGTTTAGAAAAACAACCCCGGGACAAAATCAAAACAAGATGGTGAGGATTCATGGGACTTATTACACTTTACCATGGGAGTTGGAAGTACCAAGCAGGTGCACACACATACACATAAACACACACAACAAAAAAATCATCTGAATGGAGACAGAATCATTTTCATGTCTACTGTATGTGCAAGAATAAACCGACAGACTCCTTGAGGCTGCAGTCCTCAAGAGTCTCCCAGGATATCCAACAGAGGGAGAAAGGAGGCAGAGAAGGGTGGAGGGATTGGTGGGTTGAAAACAGACTGAACCTCAGCTGGTCTTGATCCCTAATGGAGCCCCTGGCAGCCCTACAAAACAGCAAACCTCTCTCTGAGGTTGTGGAGGTTGGACGTGGGTCAGCGCCCAGCGCTCACACAGGTATGTCTGCGGGGTGTGAGGCTTCCTTAGTAAGGGAGGAACAGCCTCTTTTCAGCCATTAAAGGAAAAACAAACGGCCTCCAAGAGGGGAGGACTAACGCTGCTACTGCTCATACTGTAATCTATTCACCCTAAGGATATTTGGGTTTGCTTTCTGAGCAGCCAAGCTTTCTTATCAAGCCTTATGGGGAGCGTACAGAGACACAGCGCCACCTAGTGGATTAATAAAGCTTTGAGTGTGTAAAGTAGATCTAAAGAAGTGAGAGGAGAAGACAAGACAGGACAGTGAAAAATGAACCAGCTCTGCTTTTAAACCGCAGCCTCCCAGATGACCCTGCGCTGCTCTTGAGCATCTCTGATCTCTCTTAATCTATTAATGACTCCACAACTCACCAGCTGTGATTACGCTCAGGCAGATATGGACGGGCACTGCACACATACTGTACAAGGTTACACACTCTGCTGTGGAGTATTAATTTAGTAATGCATTCATTCAATTATATCCCTTAATATTATTCAAGCTGGTGGACATTTATATTCAGAGAACGGAGATGTACCAGCAGCTCTAATGTGTGTCACCGTGTTGATACCATGCTTCTGTACAGTATCCTTTCTGTGGCCGTAATGCATTTTTCTTTCTGCAGCACAACATTAATGGAGCATGCCTGTTAAAACTATCATGCCCTAAATGGACGTCTTTGTTGTGTTCTAAAAAGGTACCCTGTAATTGCTGCATACCCACACACACACACACACACACACTACACACACCACACACACACACACACACACACAATCCACCGCACCGTCACACAAATTGATTTAACAGGTTTTGGTGGCTTTTCTGCCCCTCTTCTTCACCCAAAAGCTTCTTTATCCACTTCCCGGTTTCAGCTCTTTCCTTTCACCCCAACAATTCCTAATTTAAAAACCCTTCTCTGCACTTCCGCTGGAGTACTTTAGCCCTACCGCTCAATAACACCCTCTATCACACCCTCAGAACAGACACTCAGCCCTCACATTCACCCTCTCCATGCAACCTCATTTTCAACATATTTTTACCAGTCCCAACATAAGTGCTGAGACGGAAGTCCAAATGCCAGCCCATTAGCATAGCTAATTACATTTCAGTAATAATGACACCACATTAAAGAGAGTGAAAAGGGGGGAACAAGTCAAAGTGATTATCAAAACAACCCCTTTCCGTCTTTCAAGCACCATGTCTCCCATTTCAGTACCAGATGTGCACGGAAGGCACACAAAACTGTCCAAATATCACAGTGTTCATTAAAGCCACTGATACTGTCATTTCAGCTATTTCAGCACCTGCAGTACTGTGCACACGCACACACACATACACACACACACACCATGAACATGCCAAAGAATGAACTAAACAAAAAATGTTATAAAATAAGACATTTGATCTAAAATTGGAAAAATTCTCACCAAAAAATGAGGTAATTTTATTTATCAATTCAATTCATTTGTGACAGGGATTCTGCAGAAAATTAAATACTCCCCTGAGGCGTAGACAGTGTTACATTAAACCTTATTGGATTCCAGATGCAATCTTCCTCTTATATTCATGCACTCTATCAGGCGAATACAATCACCTGAACAAAGACATATTTTAACACCATACACAAACAGACTGCACACCCTGCAAATACAAAGCATCTATTTCACTGGAGGCACCAAAGGTCATATCAAAAACGCACTAAGAGCATTAGAAAGACTCAATTTGGCTTTGAAAATAAATCAGCTTGATGTTTCTCTGTAGCGCTCTCGATGAATGTGTGTGTGTGTCGTGTGCGTTTAGTTTGTATGTTGTGTCTCTGTGTGTGCTGGAGAGTGCGTCAGTGGGTCAGACAGTCTAAGCTCTTTATCCAGGTTCAGTGGCTCGCCACACATTACAGGGACGACTAAAGTGAAAGGACTGGCGTCAGCACACTAAATAAATCACCACTGCCGGAGCAGGAAAATTCAGTTATAAG